TGTACTCAATTTTAAATTGTATCTTTTATGTAGTTAACATTATACACTCTAGTGCTGTTCCCTTATGTGAAATGTTTTGCGCAAATATCGTCTGGTTATATTCCATTTAGAGCAAAAACTGCCTTTATAAACTATCATACTACCTTTATACTCTCCCAGCAGTGATATTCCTATATTCTGCGTTGCATGTTGCCCAGCTCTTCGTCTGAACTACAAAGAAACTTGTGTGCTCCAACCAACCCTACTTCCCTGCTCACTTAATCACCATAAGTTTTGTAAATTAGCTCCAAATAATATAAAATTCATGTGAGAACGATATTTGAATGTATAAGTTACTTTTATCATGGTCTTAATTATCGTGTGCTAAATCAGAGGCAAATGACTTACCTTGAGGCAACTGGACAATTGCTTAAGGTTACTTTCCTTCGTAATTGTCACAGAAATATTAGAAGATCAGAAATGGGATTAATATGTTCCCTCAAGGATTTTCTCTGTTTTCTCACTGTCTGAATATCATTTCACTTTAAGTACAAATTTCTGCTTCTAAAAAACAGAAAAATGTGTGTGGCTTAGGGTGTAATTGGTTTGACTCGCAGTCAAAGCGATTTCTTTGATTTTGTACAGAAGTTTAAGAATATAATCCAAAAGCAAGGTTATATCTCTTCACATTTAATGCTGCGACTTAGTTTCATATAAACTAACTTTTTAAAGATGATATGTGCCTCAACATAATGAACTTTATTCAAAGATTGACTAAAATGAGTCAACATTTTGAAATGACTGCAAAGATTTTGCATTATCAACTTGATGTAAATGCAAATATGACATATTAATGTTAATCCATTTTATTTGCTTTGATCTTTCCTGCTTTCTAGAAGTTTATGAAGAAGGTAAGTTGATCTCTTATTTTCAACTTGTAGTCCTTTGCAAAACAATGCCAGTTACCTGATAGCTGCATCTACGCTTAATTTCCAAATCTTTTCCTTCAGATGTGAAGCATGATGTCAAAATTGAATAGAAATCTCTATTCTATTTTATATTTTGCTTGGACTTTCACCTGTATTGTAAAGGAAATTGATAATCAGCAGTGCAGCTCTCCGTTTGTTAGATCACCTTTTTTGGTAATTTAGTTGCAGGCACATGGACTGCAGTGATTCAAGAAGACTACCTCCTTCTCAAGGGCAACTAGGGATGGACAATAAATGCTGGCCCAGCCAATGACATCCATGTCCCATGAGTGATTTTTTTAAATGCCACAAATATTTATATTTTCCATAGCAAATGTATCTGTTGTGTTTCCTTTCTTTGATCCATTGAAATGAAGTGAGGTCTTCTACTGATAAATAAAATTTATCTGTCTGATTACTTCAATGAGTATTTGAAAAAGTGTATAGCTTAAGGACTGGTGGCACACCGTTAAACCTGTGTGATTGAACATGTCCTGCTTAATGAGGGACATTGGGAAAGAAAGTTCCCGTTTTGAGGGAATTGGGAGACAGAGAGGGAGAATTGTCCAGGCAAGAGTGTTGGATTAGAATATTTTCTCCTCTTGAAACAGCCCTGTTCACCAGGAGGGCAGAGCTGGAAGACGGATTCAATTCCCAAATCAAACAAATAGGAGAACCACCATTGACCAGTGCTGAGCATCAGGACTGAATATAGAGTGAGCACAGAAGAAGGAGCCAGGATTGTTGGTGAACAAGAACAGAGGAAACAATAGAAAGCAAACAGAAAGATGACAAAATCAAAGTGCAAAACAAGTGATTGATTTTGAGCCTGAAAGAAAATAGTGTAGTGATAAGCAACAAAAGCTGGGAGGCCCAGATACTATGAAATAAGAACAAAAGAAGCAGAGTAATACAGTAAAACAATAGGAATGTTTAAAATTATAAAATAAAATACAAGAATACAAAACTGGGAAAATCCAGCAACAGGGAGTGTACACAGCATCCTAGAGGGTGGCGATAGCATGGTCAAATCATAAAAAAACTGCTGTCAAATTTCAGCAAAATCTATTTTATCTTCATTCAAGATTATTATCAGAAAAAAACTAGATGAATTTCTAAAGCTTTAATCAATTTTCTATTTTAAAAATAATAATGATTGTATGTAAGAAAGAAAACAACAAAACCAGACTAGATTGATAATACAGTTGTTTAAATGGAGTTCTGTAAACTTTGCATATCAAATTAATAGTGAGGGGGACAAAGATGTAGGGATGAATTTTACATTCGTTTTGTTTAGTTTGAGTGGTGTTGAGTTTTTTTGGAGGTTTTCTCATATTCATAGAATCCCTGCAATGTAGAAACACACCATTTGGCCCATCAAGTCCACATTGACCCTCTGAAGAGCATCGCACCCATTCCCCCATCCTACTGCTGTAACCCTGCATATCCATAGCTAATCCGTCGAACCTGCACATCCTGGACACTATGAGCAATTTAGCATGATCAGTCAACCTTACCTGCACATCTTTGGACTGTGGGAGGAAACTGAAGCACTTGGAGGAAAACCGTGCCAATACAGGGAGAACATGCAAACTCCACACAGACAGTCACCTGAGGGTCGAATTGAACCTGGGTCCCTGGCACTGAGGCAGATTTACTAACCACTGAGCCACTGCGCCACCCCATAACTTGCTGAACTCACCTCATTAATTACTTATCCCACCCCTATGGCATCTGTCAAGTCAGATTTCCACCCCATCTTACTGCATGCTCTTCCTAGTACAACTCACCACTCGGATATCCTGAAATCCACTGGCATTCCTTATTCTTGCAGAATCTTGAGAAGGTCAGTGTGCACCTGAACAAGCACTGTAGGTCCTGAGCTGTCTGTGCAGTTCCTAACATTTGCTTTGGGCATAGCAGACAGGGTAAAATTGGCAACCTGCTTTGTAGGCAGGGTATTGGAGGTATTGACACAAGCTGGACTTCCTCTTCCCAGCAGTGGAAGAGTCTTCACATGGTGTGAGGTTGCAACCCAGGTCAGAATACTGTCAGCTATCTGGAGAAATGCCCAACACTACAGGAAAAAGGTTGATGTCCTCCTTCATTCCAGTGCCACCATCTTCTGTCCTATACCTCCTACTTACTCTATCTCTCAGTCCCCATTAAGGCACATGCTCTACCATTCTATCACTAGGGGAGTCATGGCCCAGTGGTGTTATCACTAGACTATTAATGCAGAAACTCAGCTAATGTTTTTGGGACCTGGGTGCAAATCCTGCCATGGCAGACAGTGGAATTTGAATTCAATTTTGAAAAAAATCTAGAATTAAGAGTTTAACAATGACCATAAAACCATTGTTGATTGTCAGGAAAAACCCATCTGGTTCACTATTGTCTTTTAGGGAAGGAAATCTGGCATCGTTACCTGATCTGGCTGATAAGTGTCTCTAGACCCACAGCAATGTGGTTGACTCTTAACTGCCCGTTGGGCAATAAATGCTGGCCTAGCCAGGGACACCAACATTCCATGAGTGAGGAGAAAAAAATCTCAATACTGCCTACAATGTCTTCCCCACTTGCTTACACCCAACTCAGTCTCGATAACACGAACCCTGGATACCTTCATCAGGTCACCTTCCCATCTGCACCACTAGTAATAGCTGTGTCATCCACTTGCATTTTCCATAATACTTGACTCTCTTGCATTCCATGAGGAAAACTGTTTTCAATAGGGCAGAAAGAGTCTAGATATTTAGTATGCTACTGTCGCTCAGCTCCTTTATGAAGACTGACTACTCCAGGGTCAGGAATGGTTTCAGTGGTTGCAGTTGAATTATTGTGCCAGAACCCCGGAGCGAGGGACTACCCTTTGACTTGACTGTGGCCTGCAGACAACTCTAGCAAGCTTCTTGGCTTTGTGCAGTAAAGATAGCAGTAATATGATCCTGTTATCTCTGGTTGATGAGGCAAGGCAGTGCAAGGCATAGATATTGCTAGCATCCAGTTAAGGTCAAAGTGAGTGAGTGCTATGACAGTGAGTGAAGAGCCCAATGATACAACTTGGTCCAGTTCATGAGCTGGATGCATGTCTGAGAGTCCGCAGTGGTCTTGAAGCAACATTACAATGTAATTGCTGGTGCAGCATTGAAGTAAAGAAGTGTCCTGTAACTGGAACAGAGACATACCATGATGTTGGTACATGTCAGATGCCAATGCCTGTGATCAAGGGTGTGTATGGCTGGTGCCCATGGAGAATACTTTGAGATATTGCTGCCCTGTTTCCAGCATGGAATCTGCCACTGTGACTTCCTTATCAAGTTTCTCAACATCTGGCTTGTTCAAGAAGTTTTGTAAAATGGTAGGCTGAATATTAATGAGATGAGTTGTGCCGTTGGCCAGACTTCTAGCGAGCGTTAATCCTCATCAATATCGTCACACAATCCTATGTGGCCTGATTGCACTTTCCTGCCTATTCCCTGTACCCTTTTATCTCAATCAATCAAAAATCTGAAATCTGTCACATTGATATTGTTTGTTAAATGACTATTTAATACAGAGAAATGATTTACCCTTGAGCACATGTTATGTTCTATATTTGGTGTAACTGTGGAAATCTTTAGCTAGAAAATAATTTGCTTTTGGTTTATCTAATTTAGCTAGTGATGGATGCAGTTCAATCTTGAAAACTGGTATTTTTTTTCTGGATTATTAGTTGGAAATTAACAACTGTGAGCATTAATAGTTTGTCATTTTAACATTGATTTTAATCTCTTTTTGTTTTCTTCTACTCCAGTATTCTCCAGTTCCTGATTGTAGTAACTCTTTCTAATTTATTGTAGTATTTTGCAAAGTTTCATTTAACAACACTGGTTAAAGTAGATTACCCCACTGTTTATTACACCTGGATCAGTTGCTCCTAATATCTTGTCACTGAGTTAATTTCTATGCAGAATGCAGGAGCACTTTCTAGCAGAAGACATCCTCATTGTAGGATTTAAATCACTGGTATTTAATAAATTGGTTGGAAGCTAATATTCTCTTTATTTATAGGCAGCTCAGGGAGGTGGCCACAGAACTCTTCTTTATGGTCATGCCATTCTTCTCCGGCATTCGTACAGTGGAATGGTAAGAATAGAGATATGAATGAGGACAATTGTAATATTTCCATTCAAATGCAACATGTACACAAGACTGATGCCTTAATTTATGTCTTACAAAGCCAACAGGAAAAGCAGAGGTGTTTCCCACTTCCATCACTTGACCCCAGAAAAAAATCATTTTTAAGCTTTCTTGTTGTTTTATGATTTCAGTGATTTATAATGCAAACAAATGAAATATTCCAAAGTACTTGACAGAGGAAGGATCTGAAACCCATGCAGGAACTGTAAATGGTTTAGGCAAAGTGGCTAAATGCACGTTTGGAGAGATTATATAGCACAGTGAAGGGTTCAGGAACAGTAATCCAGAGTGTAGGAGTAAGATGCCTAATAGGTTTTACTACCAATGATATGGTAGGAGGAAATACACATCAGTCCACAGTCGCCAAAATTGTAGATTGTTATTTGGGCTGGAGCTGACTACAGAGAGAGAATGAAATGAGTCATTGTTAAATGAGATCAAGAATTTTAAGATTCATGAGCTGGAGACAGGAGTAGGTAGAAACCAGAGGCATGACTAGTAAGTGTCCTTTCTCTTCATCCAGTTTTGTTGTTGCTATTCTAAAGATACTTAATTTGTTGGGGAAATTGAGAGTGAGGCAGCACAACCTTAAAGCTGATTAAGTCATTGATGGTGATGTCAAGAACATTTTCTCATTTTAAAAACTGTGTAAATCTTAAACCCTTTCCAATAGTTCAAATGCAAATTTCAAAGCTAAGACCAATAGACTTGCTAGGGAAGAATATTTAGGCAGGTGTCACCCATGAGTACAACTGGAGTTGATGTTCAATCAATCTTATTCTCATTGAATATCAGAACAGAATTTAGGGGTGGATCAATCTACTCCTGTTACCATATTTCATAATATGGAAAAGGATTATGTTAGTATTTCAAGACAGGGTACTTATGATCTGTTGTATTATATCTACTGTATGTAATGCAGTACAGGGAGGGGATGGCCTAGTGGTATTATCACTGTTAATCCAGACACTCAGATAATGTTCCGGGGATCCGGGTTCAAGTTGCCATGGTGGAATTTGAATTTGATTAAAAAAAACTCTCGAACTAAAAGTCTAATGACCATGAATCCACTGTCAATTGCCAGGAAAAAACCATCTAATGCCCTTTAGAGAAGGAAACTGCTATTCTTAACCAATCTGGCCTACATGTGACTCCAGACCCACAGTAATGTGGTTGATTTTTAACTGCCCTCTGGCCAATTAGGGATGGGCAACAAATGCTCACTCCTACAACTGAATAAAAATAATGCTTCAGAGTTTGAAAATCATATAAAACATCTGAAACCACACTAGAGTGAATAGTACAGTTGAAAATGTAACATTAGATAACTTTTTCACATTTATATTTTTCTGTTATGCTGAAATGTATATGCATTCAAGCAAACTAAAAGCAATAAATATTTTGGTACTTAAATTCATTACCTGTCCAGTTTCTGAGAGCTATTTCAGCTTTTGATCTTCAATAAAATTGAAAATGCACGTTAATTTTAAAATATTTAAAATTCTTGCCTCACAGTATTTGACTTGCTTGACTACATCAACATCTTCAACGGACAAGCTTGCTTTTGACGTTGGGCTGCAAGAAGATTCAACAGGTAAAGGAATACGCTGACTGTATTGTACATTAATCGCAATAAAATTCTTCATATTTATGTTCACAAAGGGACAAAAAGTGCTATAAATGTTGAACATCCATGCTAAAGATTTAAAGAGGAAAAAAAGAGCCAGTTAAGTTACTTCTCACATGAGTATTTCAAAAAATTGATCCTTCATGATTCGTCTTTGTATTCAATTGAATTAAATCCTATACCTTTGTAGACAATCAGCTTTTTTGATGTGTTTGTATAACACTTAGTAAAGTTCTTCTACATTTAGTATTTGAAAAAAGACTCCAAATCTATAGAACCTTTCGTTTTTGATGCACTGTTTAGGTGAGGCACGTTGGTGGACTATACACCCTGCTTCCAAACAAAGATCTGAAGGAGAGAAGGTACGAATTGGTGATGACCTTATCCTGGTCAGTGTTTCATCAGAGCGCTATCTGGTGAGTAGACTTCAATGTGTTCCAAATTTTTAAGAGAATGTAACTCAAATTTGCATTAGACTGATGTATTTCACAATAAACATTATTTTATTAAAAGTAAAAACATGAATGCTGACCGACCTGTTGAGTGTCTCGAGCATATTTTGGTTTTATTTTTGATTTCCAGCAGCTGCTGTATTTTGACATCTTTTTTTCTGTTTAGTTTCATTACATGAATGTGTTATTTGCATAACAGTAAAATTAGCTTTTTTTTTGATTTGTGATTTGATGTAATGAGACAAACACTGGAGCAGCTGATTAAAAAAAATTGAAACTGCAACTTTTGAGATTGCATCTTTTAGTATTACATGTTAAATATATGTCTGTATCAGTTACTTTTTTGTGAAGTGCCACCTTGCTGAGGTTTTTTTGTAACATGGTTTTAGAAACTGCTCAGTTGATTTTAGTTTTCTTGTATTGGCAGCACCTTTCTATTTCCAATGGCAGTATACAAGCAGATGCATCCTTCGTCCAGACACTATGGAATGTACACCCCGTAAGCTCAGGAAGTGGTGTTGCAGAAGGTAGGATCTTCATTAGTTTATTTCATGTTTGTAACATGAAGTCTGATTGTGCTGCATCATGTATATTATTTAAATTATTTGTTTTCTCTCTTTATGCACCTTTGTGATTTTTTGCAGCAATTGTATAAATTATGTATTTTATGTTCAACATAGATGCTGGTTTCATGTTTTCAAATTAGTTACATGATAGACATCCTATTGTCAAGGACTTAATATTTTGCAAGAATAAACTCACTGAAGACAGGAATTTGTTGCTTGTGTTAACTTGTGTCTGTCTTGATTTCCTGAAGGTTTTCTAATTGGTGGACATGTTCTGCGTCTTTTTCATGGTCATGATGAGTGTCTGACCATCCCTTTTACAGACCAGAAAGATGAGGGGGAATATGTGTAAGTTTCATTTAAATTACTATGTTATCTTACAATGTTAAATGCATTTGCATTGGTATCATCTCTGTCCGTTTTACAGAAATTTAGTCAGGGTGAGATGGCAGATTGTGGTTCACTCCCACTCCAGAGCTTGAACGTAGAAATTTAGGTTTACACTTGAGCATTGAGGGAGTGCTAACCTGATAGATGTTCAGTCTTTGGGTGGGGCATTAGAAGCAGGCTTTGGCCACCCTCTCAGATGAAAAGGAAAGATAACCTGACACGATTTTGAACAGACTAAGAGAATTACCTGCAGTGCCCTGGCCAATGTTTATCACTTGGACAACATGCAAGCACAAAATAAACAGATTTTTGGTTTAAACATCATCACATTGCTTTATTATCACATTCTTTGTGCAACTGAGGTATGCAAATTAGCGGCTTTTTGTTTCCTGCGATAAGACAATGACAGTAATTCAAAACTATTACATTGAATGTAAATTGGTTTGGTGCATCCCGAGATTATGGAAGGTGCTATTTAAATAGGTTTTTAAAAAATAAGTTGTGCAAGAAAGAGCTTAGATTTATGTAGCGACTTTCACAACTGCAGGGCATCTCAAAGTGCTTGACAGCTAAAGAAGTACTTTTGATGTGTAGTCGCTGTGGGAAATGTGGCCATCAACTTGCACGTGATCAGGTGTCCCAAGCAGCAATATGATGGAGCGGATGACCTATCTTTTTGTAATGCTGATTAAAGCATGAATATTGGCTAGGTCACTGGGGAGAGCTGTTTTGACCTCCTTTAAAATAATGCCATGGCCGTTCTTTATGTCTACATGAGATGGCAGCTACCTCAGTGTATTTGATTGACAGCCTATGTTTTATTTTCAATCATCAGAAGTCCGTCTAGAACCACGACATCTGCCTTGGGGTCAAGAGTGCTACTATTGGAACTGTCAATATGCATAACTTACCTTTGTAGTAATTATTTCATGAATCTATAGGTAATATGGTATAGACTTTTAAACGCTTTTGCAGCTGAAACTATCCATTATCTTAATAAAAACCAAAAGAACTGCGGATGCTATAAATCAGGAACAAAAACAAAGTTGCTGGAAAAGCTCAGCAGGTCTGGCAGCATCTGTGGAGGAGAAAACAGAGTTAACATTTCGGGTCTGGTGACCCTTCCTCAGAACTCCATTATCTTGTTGTGGCTGTGCTGTCAGTAGAATGCAAAACCATTGTAATATAAGCACGAGATTCAGACCTTGTTTTAAATTTACTGACCGTAATTTGATAGTGCAATTGTAATACAGGAGAATACAGTATAATTAAAGTGTATACCAATCTTGTTTAGGTCTTCATTGGAATTTATCTGTCTATACTTAAAATAGCAGTAACAGCTTTTGACAGATGGCTCACAAAACAGCAATTATTGGAAATTAAATTCAGTTAATTATAGCCACATAGTATTTTTATGAAAGCTAAGGCACCATGACTTTTGAATGTTTTAGGATTCTGTTAACAGCTAACTGAAAACAAAATCTCACTTTCTTATCACTACGTTATTTAGTTATCTTTAGTTTCATCTTCAAAATTTTGTAATATTGAAATAAATCTACAGACTGGCTCCAACACACTTACTAAGGCGTTGCAACAATGTTGACAGGTTTTTTGTTACAAAATTATGCCACTCAGCAATTCACGTTTGATGCTGCACAACAGGACCTCCCCTGCCTCCTCCACCAAACACAATATCCAGGAACTGACTGAAGCAAAAGTCAAAACCCACATATTGACGCAGATGGGAAAGGGATAATTTTAAGATTGACTAATGGTGTCAAACAGGTGATATGAGATCAGCTGCCCATTAAGTGCGCAGGGTTGGATTGAATGTTCCCTGTGCAGATCACAGTCACAGGGTTGGAGAATTCATGGGAAACCCACATCGTTTCCAGTGGGAAGTTCTGAGTTAACTGCTTGTCAGTTATCGAACTGCTCAGTGTTGAATCGTCCCCTGGGATTCCGGATCATGCGGATGCGGAAATCCTGCCCACAAGAGCTGACAATTAAGTAGAGGCTAGCAGCTCTCCATTACCAGTAGCACTAGGAGCAGTTCCCACTGCTAGTCATACAGTGAGGTCTTTGAGTTGGGTAGGTTAGGGGGAGGAGTTCACTGGTGAAAAGTGGGAAGTCTGAAGGAAGGACAGAAGGGTGGTACTCAGTGCCCCCTTCCACTTGCTGGATCTTCGATGGATGCTAAAATCTTTTTGAAGAAGGGATCCCTCTGGGAGGTAGCTAGCAAGCTGGGCACTCTCTTAGGAAACTCGAGAAATGGGAAAAATCCTCTGAACCACTATTAAATCTCAGGGATGGATATTTTCTAACCAACATGGGCAGAGATATTGTAAACCCCAGGAGCAGGTGGAACTTAAACTTGAATCTATCCACACCACAAACCCCTGGAATAATGAATGACCCTGAAGTGGTTCAATAATGAGCCTATTATCCAGGTTGCCTATGTTAGTTCATTCCCACCACTGACTTAATGGAGTCGGACTTCCCATTCGTAAGATTGGATATGTCACCTCCCTTGCAACTGTATTCAATCCCAGCCTTAGGCTAGTTGTCCCTTCTATGCAGCGTTAAGTCACATGTCAGTGGAGCTTCTAACATCTGGCTGTCGGGATGTTTAGGAAAGCTACCCATGGCCCTGTGGATTCAAATATTTTCTTTTATGTATTCTGGAACACAGTTGCCTGGCATTGAAAAATTTCTGTGTAGAGAATCATAAGTATAAATGTAGCCCCTATGCTTGTATGATTTCAAGTAATAAGGAAATCAGTGTGGCATAAAAGACAGCATGTTTATTTGTATGAATTAATGTACGTTAATAATGTAAATTAGGGAAAACTAACTCAAATTTCTGAATGTACAAAAAGTCCAGGTTCCAGAATAAGTTATTGAAGTGTAATTTTAGTTTACTTTTTTGAGATATATTGATACTGCATTAGTTTATGAATTTTGTAATTTAAATGGTTTCTTTGTTTCAATATTATGCATGTTATAGCAACACTTTATAGTTCATGAACCAGCAGCATATTAAAATGAAAGACATGAAGTTTAATGTTCCCATGAGTTCTATGGTTCATTAGAGCAAACAAGGGGGTATTAAATTTTAAATAAATCAAGCAATGTAACACTGTAGAAACCAGCTCACAGCTCCCATTAAGTAGTGATGATTTGAAATTCCAACAGATTTAATTGTAGGAGTCAGCTGATCGCTTACCCATCTGTAGCTGACTGTGGCCACTGTGCATATTGCTGGTAGTCTTTGCTCACTGAGGTTAGTGCGGGGACAAGGGTTCTGGTGGATCCCACAAGAAGGAGTAGAGGGAAATGTGGGTATGGCAGGTTCAGTCCAGGGTAATGGATACTGAACAATCTCCAGAAGAAGGAGTCAGAAGAGGATTCCTGATCGAATGACCTCTTCTGTTTCTGATCCTCTTCCCTTTGGTATTCATCAAACAGGAAAAGTACAGAAATTGTCTTTGCTCAGACTGGAATCAAATGAGATTTAAAAAATAAAATAAAGTTGCCATTACAGCCCAACAATTATCAGTTTACACTGGTGATTTTTAACTCTTTTGCCACTCAATTTTCACGGGAAGAATTGAGTTAAAATTCTTCACAGTATGTCCCCTGTACTGATTCAGCTTGGATGATAATACATCGTGCGCAAAACCTGAACACAAATCCATGTTCTCCCACTAAACTGAGTTAGTTGTACATTGAAAGGGCTTCCATGAACTGATTATCACTGATTAATATAGCCAGCTAGGCCAAAATAAAAACCTACTATTTGATCTCGATAAAGATTGGCTTGGTCCCATGACAGATATTAATTACCTAATTAACCAGAAAATGTCTGAATCATTTGGATATTTAAGTACTGTGGTCATTTGTAATCTGTTTGCAGAACAGTTAACTATGAAAGTGGAGAAACGGGGACCTATGCTAGGTCACTATGGCGTGTGGAACCTCTTCGGATAAGGTAAAATAAAAGACTTCAAGCTTTTGAGGGCTGTTTCTTTTTTAAAATAGAAAAGTGTTGTTTAACATTGACATGTCAGTTCTGAAAGATCCCTTGAAATGCTGCCAGGGTATCTCATTATATAACATCTTAAGTAGCTTTGCACAGTATTTCTCGAAATTCATTCTGTTAATAGTGGGTCAGATGTTGATGCGAATACTGAAAGAGTTTTTGGCATACACTGTAGATGTTGTGAGGCTTTATGAGCACAATGGAGTGGTGAGACCAATACAAGGAGAACATTGCTGTTCAGAACTGAAAGGACCAGATTTTGCAGTCCCCAAAATAGGACCAAAATAGGGAGGAAGAACAGCCAAAAACAAATGGCCACTGCCTCCATTTTCACTGACAGTCATTTTGCAGAGAATGGGGGTAGGAAGCCTGCTTACCCGTCTCCAGAGGGCTAAAAGCAGAGCTTGAAGGAGTTTCACTGTGGTAGGTGAGTTTCAGAAACTCATTGCAACCCTGCCAAGTGAGAAGAGGTGGTATTGGCCACAGAGATCAGATAACACCCCAAAACCAACTTGAGATTCAAATTTGAGGATTTTTAGAGGCTTCGGTGTGTGATGGCAACAAGCTAAAGGGATGGGAGTTCATGACAAGAGGGGGCAAAGACAGGGAAGTGACTCAATACAAAGGCCAAATTTTGGGGAGGCATAGAATTTGATGGGCTCTCTCTGAGAAGGCTGATATCTGCATTTTGAAGTACCAAAATGATTCTTATAAGGGATCATCAGAAATCTTGAAAGAAACAATGAGTGAGTTGGGCCTGTTGGGGACCCTGTTCCAGCCTGTCTCACCTCTGTTTCTACCTTGGGTATGCTGAATCAGTCAGGCACCAATTGGGGCATCAAGCCAGGAAACACACGCTCCCTTCCTGACGGCCTGAAGAGGGAGTCAGAAGCATGACTCAGGCACAGTCCTATTGCCTGATTCCTCCCTCCAATGGGAAAACTGAAGAAATGATTTCTGAATTCACCTTTAAGGGCTGAGATCTAATTTGAGGATCATACCCTATGATTCTGGAAAATCCCACCAAAGGAAATAGATTCTCTGGACCTACTCTGCTGAATCCCTTTATCATTTTAAAGATCTCCATATGATCGCTTTCCAAATTTGAAGAACTAAAATCCAAGATTATGCAACCTGCTCTTTAAATTAACTGTCTGAAAACTAGTATATTTTTGGTACCTATTTCATGTCTAATTTATCCTTTTTGAAAGTCAGTGCCCAAAGCTTAATGAAGTATTCCTGGTGGAGTCATTCTAAAGTTCTGTACAGCTAGAATATCACTTTCTCACTCTTGTATGTTAGCTCCTTTTGAAATAATGGCCAATATTTCATTGGCATTTCTGTCAGTGCTCTCTCTGATTAATTCCTGTATATATACTCCCAGACAGCTCCTGATACCTCATCATTAACAAAATAGCAAGAACTGAAGCATTATTTTGTTGTTGAAGACTTTTCATTTCTTCAAAATATGTCATTTTCGCTGTGGTTTTAGTTAACCGTAGTAAATAACAACAACATTTCTGTACATTTTCCCCTTATTTAGTTGGAGTGGCAGTCATATTAAGTGGGGCCAGTCTTTCCGCCTACGACACCTCACATCAGGTCTGTATCTGGCGTTAGTTGAAGATCAAGGTCTGGTGCTGCTGGATCAAACTAAATCAGACATCAAAGCAACATCATTCTGTTTAAGAACATCTAAGGTATTGTAATTATTAATGTATACTTGCTCTACTGTAACACAACATACAGTAATCAATAATTTTGTTCTCAACTTTTTCTTTGTTATTATCATTCCTGATTTTCACTTTAGATATGTTTTGCACAAATGGGATGTTGAAGTGACTTGAAAACTCAGGCACTCCTGCAGAAACGCAATCTGGTGTATTGTCGTTCCTGTACCTTAGTAAAACATGGCTTGCTTACATCACACCTAGAATGTGTAGGAAATAGGCAGGAGACCTGCCAACTTTGCGGAATTTGTGAGGCCTTTGGCTGCCCAAGCAGGAAAGAGTGGGAAGAATCACAAAAATGAGAGGCAGGTCTGGATTATGGAAGTCTGAAATCACGATGTGGAGCATGGAGAGACCATGACATGATAGGGACATAGAACATAAGAAACAGGAGCAGGAGTAAGCCATATGGCCCAGTGTCTAGAGGACAAAGCCAGGAATTTTTGGAAATAAGTGGACTCATCATACCTCTCATTTTGAAGTACACAAGACAAGCCTGACCAGTGTGTCTCATTCACCAGTTTTATCTTTTTATCCTTCTAGCTAGGCGTGCTCCCCTACTCAATAAGTCCATAGCTGATCCAATTGTGGCCTTAATTCCACTTTTCTGCCAGCTATGACCCCAACCTACATTGTAAATCAAAAATCTATCTGACTCAGCCTGGAATATATTTAATGACATAGACCCCACTTTTCACTAGGGAAAAGAATTCCACAAACTGATGGCCCTCTGAGAGAAGAAATTCCTTCTCATCACTTTAATGGGAGAGCCAATATTTTTAAACCGTTTCGACGTTTTGTATTACCCCACAAGGAGATACGTTCTCTATACACCTACCCTGTTAGCCACCTTGGAATCTTGAATTCTTTGATATGATCACTTCTCATTCTGCTAAACTCCAATGAATATAGGCCAAACCAGCTCATTCTTCCTCATAAGACAATCCCTTATCCTAGGAATCAGCCTAGTGAACCTTCTCTGAAGTGTTTCCAATGCAAGTAAAACGAACATATGATCAAGGAATGAAAAATGGCCACTCGGCCCTTCAAGCCTGCTCCAGCATTCAATAAGATCATGGCTAATCTGATTTTAACCTCAATTTGACATTCCTACATATCCCTGATATTCTTTCATTCAATTGATACATGTGCCCTTTAAGTAAGATGACCAAAACTATACTTGATACTCTGGTACAATATCGTCAAAGATGCTTCTTAATGCCTTGATTCTCCTCAGACCTGATACAGCCTGGAAGGAGATGCAAAGAGGCTTCCTGCTCAGGCAAAATTTGAGACCCCAAGATGCCCTTGGGTCCTCACCCGTGTATATCAATAAAGACTGTTGGTGAATTGTTCTGCTGTATGTTCAGTTACCTAGGTAGAACATGAAAATTGCTGAAGCTAGGTAACTTTCTGGCAGTAATGTCGAGAGTTAAAGAATTGTACAGATAGAAACAGACCCTTTGGCCCAACTCCTCCATGCCAACCAGATATCCTAAATTAATCTAGTCCCGTTTGGTGGCTTTTGGCCCATATCCCTCTAAACCCTTCCTATTCATATACCACCCAGATGCCTTTTAAATGTTGTAATTGTACCAGCCTCCACCACTTCCTCTGGCAGCTCATTCCATACAAGCACCACTCTGCGTTAAAAGGTACCTTAGATCCCTTTTAAATCTTTCCCCTCTCACCTTACATCTGTGCCCTCTAGTTTGGACTCTCCATCTGGGGGAAAGACCTTGGCTACTCACCTGTCATTGGGGCAATTTTACATGTCCAGCCATGCTACAATTACTCTAATATTCTTTCTGCCCCAAAACAGAGATATCTGACCAGATATTCTGAAAATACAGCAGAAGGAACCATTTCTAGTTCCCACATAATTCTCAGGTATAGTTAGAACAAGCAGCTACGAGCTGACCCGGGAAAATAAGGATAATACAGGTATGGTAAATTTTGATGTATATTGGCTAACAGCTCTTTGTAACATTCAGGCCTATGTTCTGAGTTGCTTACATTTGTGACACAGTGGATTTTATGGCAATAAATAAAATAGGTAACTATATTATCGATAAAAAGCAATGTAATGTCACTAAACAATTTTTTGTCAATTTTTTTTAACCCTCAAAGGAAAAATTAGATTCTCACCCGAAGCGAGACACGGAAGGAATGGGCGTCCCTGAAATTAAGTATGGTGATTCGATTTGTATTCTTCAACACGTTGCTAGTGGCCTTTGGCTGACTTATAGGGCTCCAGAAGCCAAATCAGCCCGTTTAGGACCTTTGAAACGGAAGGTTGGTACTAACGTTAAAACAATAAATAAGATTAGCACAGTGCAATGTAATATAAGCAACACGCGAAAGCCCCACTAGTTTATTTAAACATAAATGCTTTGTTTGCCTTGGCTGCTGTGTTAGAGACAAACCGCTACTGGGGTTTCAAGACAGGACAGTGAATCTAATAATGTTACGTATATGGTGCTGAACTTTCCAGCCATTGAAAACTAAACCAATTTCCTCAAGAGCTGTAACATTTAAAACTCTTGTAAACCAAATCATGTAAGTTCTTGTGCAGTAGTTTGGAATTCTGTATCAAATTGTGCTGTTTGCTGAGTCAACTGACTAAATAGACCGAAGGAATAGTCACATTCTGGCTTGTTAGAAATTCTGCATTTGACAGAGGTAATTACAATCATGAGGAGAAATTGTTTCCACTCCTGTATTACATAATGACAAGGTACTGGTTTAAAGTGTGGTAAAAGAATCATGAGTTGTTATGAGGTAACTTTTTCAAGCAGCAAGCGGTAAGGTACTGGAAGGCACTTCCTGAGAGCTTTTTTTCCTTTATTCATTCACGGGATGAGGGCGTCACTATCTAGGCAGCATTTATTGGCCATCCCTAATTGCCCAGAGGACAGTTAAGAGTCAACTACATTGCTGTGGATCTGGAGTCACATAAAGGCCAGCCCAGGTAGGGATAGCAGTTTCCCTCCCTAAAGGACATTAGTGAACCAGATGGGTTTTTCACAGTTATCATTAAACTCTTAATTCCAGATATTTATTGAATTCAAATTCCACCATCTGCCATGGCAGGATTTGAACCTAGGTCCCCAGAACATTATTTGGGTCTCTGGATTAACAGTCCAGCGATAATACCACTAGGCCATTGCCTCCCTGATGATGAAAGAAATTCAATTGAAACATTCAAAAGGGAACTATTATCTGTAAAGGAAGAAGGTGCAGGGCTGGCACGGTGGCTCAGTGGTTAGCACTGCTGCCTCACAGAACAGGGACCCAGGTTCAATTCCATCCTCAGGTGACTGTCTGTGCGGAGTTTGCAAATTCTCTCCGTGTCTGCGTGGGTTTCCCCCGGGTGCTCTGGTTTCCTCCTACAGTCTAAAGATGTGCAGGTTAGGTGGATTGGTTATGCTAAATTGCCCGTAGTATTCAGGGATGTGTAGATTAGGTGGGTTATAGGGGGATGGGTCTGGGTGGGATGCTCCGAGGGTCAGTGTGGACTGGTTGGGCCGAATGGCCCGTTTCCACACTGTAGGGATTCTATGAAAACTTCAGTGTCAATAATTTTGGCTGAGAGATTGTTAGCTGCTGTTATCAAAGTATGGAAAATGTGGGTTGCTGTCTTTTGTGTTTTTCTGAAGGAGGAAGGAATGTTAAAAGAAGGGATTAAAGTCAGTTTAGATTGAATCAGAGATGGATTGCTGAAGTCCCCAAAGCTTTGACTGCAGCCAAAAGCACACCCTTATTGGAACAGTGTTCAATTCTTAAGAATGAACTTGTGTTTACAAAGCAGCCCAACATGTCTCGATGCACATTGCATTCAACTAATTGCATTTGAAGTGCAGTGACTACCGTTGTGTTGATGAATGTGGTGATCCATTGCAAAGTGCAGAAGGCTGAGCACTGGTGATGCCATTAGTTGGGAGTTGAACATTGAGCCAGACACAAAATAAACTTCCCAGCATTATTTGAATGTTGACTCTAGGCCAGTAGAAACAAAGTTTATAGTCATACCCATCAATGCAGCTTTCCCTGAATACTACTGCCAAGTATCAATCTAGTTTATGAGGTGAAGTCCTAGAGCATATCAGTAACAGAGATGTATTCTGTTTTGGAAGCCGGCTGGATATCAGATTCCAATACAGATTTGCACTGGTTGTCAATTTATCCCAAGCTTGAACTTTTTATGCATATCATTCAGTCCAAGCAATCCATAGAACACATCAACAATGTTGGTAATTTACATTTCATAAACATATCCTGGAGGACACTGATTCTTTTTTATCAGGGTAAAGAATCTCATCTATTGCCATAGGTAGACAATAGCAGGAAGAGAGGATTTCAGCTTGCTTCACCAAAGTCCGTGCCATCACTGGTAGTACATAAATGGCCAAAGACGTTAAGATTTGGGAACAGAAGTAGGGCATTCAGCCCACCAAATCATTTCCGTCATCCAATGAGATTATGGCAGTTTTGACAATCTTCACCTCTGTTTTCCTGCATTTTTCCCATAACCCTTGATTCTTTTATTGATTAAAAATCTATCTGTCTCAGTCTTGAATATATTTAAGAACCCAGCCTCGACTGCCTTCTTTTATAAAGAATTCTACAGATTCACTGCCCTCAGAGGAAAGAAATTTCTCCTAATCTCTAAGTACATGACTTAGGCATGTGACCATTTGTGCTGAAATTACCCTCTCTGGTTCTAGATTCTCCCACATGGGAAAACAACCTTTCTGCATCTAGCCTGTCGATTCCCCTAGGAATCCTACATGTTTCAATAAGGTCACATCTCATTCTTCAAAACTCCAGGGTGCCTAACCTACTCACCTCTCTACATAAGACAATCCCTCTACATAAGACAATCAGGCTAGTGAACCGTCTCTGGACTGTCTCCAATGACAATATATCTTTCCTTAGATAAGGGGCCCAAAGCTGTTCACAGTATCCCAGCTGTGATCTGACTATTACCTTGTATAGTTTTAGCAAAACCTGTTTACTTTTATTCTTCATTTCCTTTGAAATAAAACCCAATAGTCCATTTGCTTTCCCTATTATCAACTGAACTTGGATGCTAGCTTGTTGTGATTCACGTGCAAAGACTCCAAACCCCTTTGTTTTGGAGCTTTCTGCAGTCTTTCTCCATTTAGTCACTTTAGTCTTCCTGCCAAGGCATAGCCTCACAATTTCCCACATTATATTCTATCTGTCAAGTTTTTGCCTACGCCTTTAACCTATCTGTATCCCTCGACTGACTCTGTGTCATTCTCATTACTTGCCTTTCCAACTATTTTTGTGTCATGCACTCTATGTGCTCACATGATCTTTGTGAGAAACAAAGGGGTCCATTTGATTAACACAAAGTTTGCTGTCACCATAAAGAAAGAGATTATATGAATGATTGGGAATATATGGCAAAGAAGGAAATGTTCAAAGATGGTTGTTAGAGGACAGCCTCTGGGATAATTGCAAGCCATAAATGTGACATCCATGCAAGCATCAGAACCTGTTTTGAACAGAGTTTCAGATACTTGGAAAAATATGATGCATCTTCGAATACATCCCTGTCACAGGCACCATTGAAAAGAGTAGAAATGAAAATTGGCGTGTTTCTACTGTGGAGGGGTTGATCTGAATGATCAATTTTATAGTGGGGAGGACACATGTCTCTCTCTGGTTTCCCAAGTTAGATTGGGCTGAGTGAGGTCCCAGAGAGCTGTCGACACCAATACAATTACTCCCATGCATGAATCCCCATACTGGGGGAAGAAAATAGTCCCTTACCCGAAAGAGGCCATGTTATCTCCCCAAAAAAGAAAGCAAATTCATGTTTAAAATGATTTCATTTTTTAATCTCTGTGTTTATTTGTGAATGTGAAAAATTGTTGGAAAAGAGTTTGAGAACCCAGTTTCATGCTTTCAGGCCATATTACATCAAGAAGGACACATGGATGATGGTATCATTTTGCAACGTTGTCAAAGAGAGGAATCTCGGGCAGCTCGTATTATACGCCAAACAACCAACTTATTTAATCAGTTTATCAGGTATTTGACTGACTGATGAAGATCATTCTTGGATAATTATATTGATGATATTATTGAAAATAGAGGGAACTGTTCTCAAATAATGCTGCTAGATACAAATTCAATTTTCGTTCCAGTGCAGTTGATGAGCTATAACTGGGAAAAAGTAAAGAAAAATTTAATGCCAGTTTCAAAACGTTCAGCTCTGGCAACTCCCTTAGTTTTGATAAAATATTGTAAAGTTGACGGTGAGCTACTGGTTAGCCACCAAGCTGGCAATATCAACATCCTCCACTAGCAGCTGGGCCACATGACATTGCCACCCACCGACCTTCCCCTTCCGTCATTTTCACCAAAACCTCCAGGCTCTCTTGTTTGCTCAGCGAGATCACTTCTCCAGTTCTTCCCTATCCCAGGCATAGAAGCTCAGTGCATAGGCATGTTCTCAAAGTGGAGTAGGCAGTTCGAGTGGTTAATTGACTGGTGACTATGAGGAGTATCCAGGAGCTGATCAAGTCTGGCTGGTGTAGGTACGTTGGGATACCACTTAGACCCAGATTGGTGTTTGCCATAGGTCCCAGTATGAACCTTGCAGCGTGAGCCCCGCAGTGTGTGCAGTCAAATATTAGCATAGTTCCCCAAGTCGAAGAAATGCTCCTGGAAGAAGGTACAGAACAGCATCTGCCACCAAAAACCTCTTCCAGTTCTGTAAATGTGTTCCATGCTTGATATTGAAGATTTTTGGCAGCCACTTTTTGAGCAGTGTTGGCTCTGATGCCATTCAGATCATTCTCATGGTTGCAATGAGCAGGTTGTAAACTGTGGGACAATATTCTGACCTATTCAGGACTGTAGACATGTTGTACAGATTCTTATGATAAGATTGTTTTAATTTTGTGAGATTTTGATTAGCATCCATTTTTCAGGTATAACATTAAATGAGGGATAACTGTATTCTTTAACCGTTCAAAATTCTACATCACAAAAACACAAATCCTACATCTCTCCCTTGGTCAGAACCATAGTTTAAACACTGTGTTTGATGTTTAAATCATTGGTCCCTGCTCACATTACTACTGTGTGTTATGTTATAAAGCAGAGGTCGACCCCACTCTGATAAATAAAACCAAAATATCCACAGAGATGTGCCTCGCCCTATACTCTGTTATAAGCCCCCAGTTTGTTATAAAGGAGTGGTTAAATAAAAAAAAAATCCCTGACACTCTCTTTATAATTTATTTTATCTGACTCTAACAGTGAACAAACTAATTAAACTATTAACAAACTGAATAAACCCCTTCTAACTACTAACTTTTCCCGAATAAAACAAAATTATAATGGTATGCTGTTCCAATAAATAGAAGTCCCACTTATAGGAAATAAAATTTAAAAAAATTTAGCCTCTCAAAAATTACAGCCAGGTTGTGTCTTCCAGAATGTTCTGTGTCTTCTCCGACGACTTCTTCTGACAGGAATGCTTTCTCGGTAAATCCTTCTGTCAGGAATGCTGCCTTCGTCAACATTTTTTATCAGGAACCTTAACTGTCTATGCAATAGGTACCTCTAATTTAGATGGAGCTTACTCTAAGGCTTAGAGACTTCTGTGAGAACCAGTGATTCTTTCTTTTAGAGCTGATAGCTGTTCTCTTGGCAGATGACAGTTGGCTCTCCTCCGATTTTCCAAATGCCCTCATCTTTTATATCCTTGATGACACATCAATTTCTTACAATAGCATTGGCCCTATGTTGTGAAAACTATCAGATTTAAATTTAATTGGTTTTGGTATCTAAGGGCCTATTTTAAGTTAATTAGCTAAACTCAAAAACCTGTTGTCTTGGTAAAAATGCTGCTTTGCCTGATAACAGTATAGCCTTTTGATATAAATGTTTCATTTCAGGTGAAAAAGCACATCATCTTTTAAAGGGACCACACACTGCTTTCCCCATAGCATTTTAAAAGCATCAAATTCTAACATCCTGCCTTCCAATTCACAAATAGTCTACCCAACTTTGTGACAGTTAGAAGAAAAATCTAACTATAAGCTTAAGTGAATGCTAGATGCACATATTTGGCAGTAAGGACAGAATTTTTCCCCTTGGCTTTTTCTTGAAAGGGAGATTTGGAGATCACTGCAATTTGTTTTAATACAGCAGAAGCAATATGACATTTTTCTATAAATATTGCTGAATTAATACAATATTATTGATTTGCTTTGTAAATGAATTTGTCCTTTATTCTTCCTTGCTGCTGCTTAGGGGCATAATTCTTAGATAAGGGATTGGGTTAAATGTATTTACTCATGAAGACTCTCCAACACTTCCCTTGACCTCTTGATGTTCTCTGTGCTCTAATCAATATTTCAATGTCAATCTGGTTGAGTCAGTGTTTATTCTACAGTTCTTTCTCAACAACATCTCCGATTTTCTTTATCTGTACAGCTGCTGAAAATCTTCTCCATGTTTTCATCATTTCTAAATCTAATTTCCAACATAAAAAATGCCTACCCTGCGACAATCTTATGTCAATATATGTAATGCACTCAGTATGTTTCACTGAATCCTGTTTAGTCATCATCTCAGTAATTCCTCTTTCAAAACTCATTGGGTTTATATTCCTTGTATTCATCGCCAAATCTGTGACCTCACCCTATCATACTTTTCAAATCTCCTTTATTGTTATAACTTTTGCCACAATTTTTATGTTCTGACATTTACTTTCTGTGATCCCCTTTCCTCTCAACCCCCGAGGCACAACCTTCACCTACCTCCGTGAAACTCTCCAAATCACCCTTTTCCAACAATTTTACCAATCATATTTTTCCTCAACCTTTAAAAGCAATTTAAAAACTGTAACTTTCAGCCAAACTTTAGTTAGCCCTTATAGCTGTCCTATAATGACACACGTTTTTATTTTTCTCTTTCAAAATACCTTATGGTGTTTCACTCTGTTAAAAATGCTATATAAATGTTATTTAAGAGAAGTAAGTTATTTTATTCGGATTAAAACCGAACAAACTGCAGATGCTGGAGGGGTCACTGGACCCAAAACTTTAAGTCTGATTTCTGTCCACAGATGCTGCCAGACCTGCTGAGCTTTTCCAGCAATTTCTGTGTTTTATTCTGATGGTTATCTGAATAATGCTTAAGTTTCTTTAGAAATACTCACAGACACATTTCCACAGGGGTCTTGATTGTCTTGGTAAAAGTACAGCAGTCAAGTTGCCTCTTCAAGAAGTTATGGAAGCTTTGGTGGACCTGATCACTTACTTCCATCCTCCAGAGAAAGATTTGAGACATGAAGATAAGCAATACAAGCTACGCTCTCTTAGGAATAGGCAGAACTTATTTAAAGAAGAGGTAAGAAATGTTACCGCAGTGTATTTGCTGTTGAGTATATTTTTATCTCTCCGCATTTTTAATGATTGTGTTTATCGATCTAAAATATTTATTTTCACAAATGTTGGCTTTTTAAATATCACAAGAACATAGAAACATGAGAAGAAGGAGTAGGAGCAGAAGTAGGCCATTCAGCTCCTCAAACTTGTTCCACCGTTCAATAAGATCATGGCTGATCTGATTGCAGCTTCAACTGTACTTCCCTGTCTGCCTCCCCATTACTGTTGCCTCCCTTTCTGATCAAAAATGATCCAGCCCCCACTGCTATCTGGGGAAGAGAATTCTCAACTTTTCTTGCAGAGAGCAAAATATTCTCATTCTCTTGTCTGTTGAAGTTTATCTTGCAAATTATTTTGGTACCCTTTAACATCTTGGGTTTGAACATTACAATCGACATTTTCTTCTTGGTGCTAAATTGATTCCTTTGGTTGAAGCTTTCAGAGCTGTTTTCTTTGAAGTTCCCCCTTTGAACGGTTTGACACTTATATCAGAAAATCACTTTAACACATGCCAACACAAATTATATCAATTACAGTTTGTTTAAATTGAAACATATTATAAACAACATGGCGATTCTTCTTTTCATAAGTCACTTTAACTTTTCTACCCTTTCACCTATTTTTGATCCCCCAGTACAATGGATTATTGTTACTGCTGCCTGAGCATTGCTAGATGATATGCAAGACTTCCCAAAATGACTTTCCTCCAATATCGCCTTACTATCTGTGAGAAGATCCTTAATATAGTCACTTATCACCTTCCTTGATGACATGTCTAATTGGGAGATCATCATGGATGTGATGCACTCTTGAGTCATATAACACATTTGATATTGTCGTGAATTGAATCATCATTTTAAGAACGGAAAATCTGAAAATCATACCACTGACTTGATTCAAAAACATATTGACAGCTTTGAAATGAGGAAAATCTTTTTAGTAACTTTACCTTCTTCCAAGGGATCATATTTTATAGTAGATTAGCACACTGATGGGATGAAATTTGTTAGTGGTAAGGCTGTCATGCAAATTTAGCTTCTGCACTGTCTCTCCCCACACATAGCTCTAATAGGTCTGAGCAGGACAATCTCGCAGCACAAACAACTCTCAATATGGCTGTAATTGACAATCTCACTCAGTGCAGAAAAAATGTGGTGTGAGAAGTTTAGTGCAGTGGATTGACATTTAAATGGACATAGCCAGGGAGAGTAGAGGCGTTTTCTTCTGTAGCTTGCTGTGCGATTCTGACATAGGAATGCTTGATAGGAATGTTTTATAACAACTTCTATCAAGCATATTGTTGTGTAAAAAATACAAAGTTCCTTAAGCATAAGAGAACAGCATATAGGGTGAAGATATATTTTCTTAAATTTGACTTGCAGGAAAGAAACGATCAAAATATTTCTCATGGTTAAATCCCTTGCTTTAAAATATAAATTAGCATAACAGTTGGATTTTATTTTTGATTGCAATTTGATGTAGTTTTTGATCAGTTGGATTCACAGGAACCGTAAACAACAGAGCATAAAGTCAATAGGGCAAACCCTTTTTCTGGAACAACCCCCTCTTAGAATGCAATTCATGCAGTATCTTTGTTCTCTGAGTCATACAGTCTCTGGAATTTCTGGCAAGGTTTCTAACTCAGAAACCTGAGCAGATGATATGTAATTCACTATTTCAGGATCAAGTTGCATGTGGGAACATAATCTCGCTCCAAATAACCGAAGGTAAATTCCAAAATATTGAGGTTGCCAATGACTGGAGAACTTCGCTGATAAATTGCTCACTTGTCAATTGTCTGTATGCAATGATCCTGTTGTTGCTTTAATTTTTTATGATACTTCTATGCTATGTGAGCATTGTTGGCAAGGCCAGCAGTTGTTGCCCATCCCTAATAGTCCTTTGGAAGATAATGGTGATACGCTTTTTAAACCATTGCAATCTATCCAATATAGGTGCACACATAGTACCAACTTTAAATACTGAGCTACTTTTCTTATCCCATAGCTGATGTAATTATCATAAATTACATGACAAAATATATTTGGGTTAGCTGTGATTGAATGTTGTTCCAACATTAGAAAGAAAGTATAGAAAGAAAAGATACTGCACACCCTTTCATTTGTCTTATATCTTGGACTTATCTTCAATCTCTCAATGTTGTTAGGCAATGCTGAGATTGGTCCTGAATTGCATTGACCGGCTAAATATCTACCACAGTGCGGCACACTTTGCAGAATTCGCTGGTGAAGAAGCTGGAGCAGCATGGAAAGATATCTTGAATTTGCTTTATGAGCTGCTGGGTAAAGTCCTACAATTGCTCTTTAAAATACAGGCAGCAGAGGAATTCTTAAGTGCTGACAGATGTATCTATGCTCTGCCATAGTTTTAGTTGCTCTTAGAATTAAAAGAATAAGCACTGAACAGTTTTGTTAGCTAATGTGAAGGTCCCTGCAGAATTATTAGTTTTCAATTATTGTACATTATTGTGCAGAAATGGAGAATTTGGCTGAAAATAACATAGGGTAGAATGTCAAGATGGATTTTTTTTTGTTGTATCATAGTGATCAGAAAAATCGAATCACTGAATTAACAGGCTTGGGGGTGCTTAATCCAATTGAACTTGATGGCGAGAATGTGGAGAAGAATAACAGTAGTAGTGCAAGTTCAATTCTGTAATGGCTATGATGGTTCAAGAAAGCCTATCTTTTCACATTGCCCCATGATTAATGTAAAGTGTTACTCCTCAATCTAAATACACAACCAATTGATTCTCTCTAATGGAGACAGATGCCCAAAGGTCCTTTGTGGACTACAGCAAATAATCTAGCGAAACTCTTACAGAAATTAACGCATCAAGAGAGTAACAAAATACAAATGGAAACAATCACTTGGAAATAAAATGGTATAATAATTGGAACCTTAAACTAATTAACTTAAGGAGTCAATTAATATTGGTGAATAGATTTTTCTTTCACATACTTAAATCAAATACCCAAGTGGGCTGCATAGTTAAAACTAAGGAAAACATCAATACAGTGTGAGAAGACGTTAATAAACTTGCAGAGTTAGTACATCTTGAGGAATTTCAAAATAGACAAGTGCGAGGTGATGTATTTTCACAGGAACAATGAGGGGATGTGCCAATGGAAAAAGGGGTCCATTTAAACCGAGGTGCAAAAGGATATCAAGCTACAGCTTCACAAAATATTTAGAAGAGCAAAAGAAAGTAATTATTTTAAAACCAAAGCTCAGGGTTTAGCTTCTAGAGGGATTTGAATGAAAAGCCCAGAGATTCTGTTGAACTTCGATAGAACCTTGGATAAGCCATATTTCAGTGCAATACAGTTGTAGCCTTCATATTATAAATATGATGCAGAAGCACTGGAGATGGTATAAATGTGATTTACAAGGAAGATTCTTAAACCGAGCATCTATTAGGAATAATAGAGCAGGCTAGGGCTGGTTCCTTCAGAAACAAGAGGTCATAAATGAGATAGGCACTCATATATCCAGAAGGAAATTTTTCTTTACCCAGATTTGTGTGAGTATAGAACACTCGATCTATCTAGCTTCCACTTAAGTCAATGGAAAAGCAATAAAGGGAATTTGCTGGTTGGGTTAAATGAACTGGGCTGAGGCTCGCTGAGGCATGAACACGAGAAAAATCCATTTGGGCCAGTTGGCCTGTTAACTGTGTTGTACATTATATATGGTTCTGTGCATTTTGTTCTAATGTTATCGTTAACTTTTGAGAAGTACTGTACTTCACATAAGTTTACATTTGTTATATTCTGTCTGTTCTCTCTAGCTGCATTAATACGTGGAAACCGTAGCAATTGTGCCAAGTTTTCGAAAAACTTGGACTGGTTGGTCAGTAAATTAGACAGACTGGAATCTTCTTCAGGTATTGGAGCATTTTATTTGCGTATGAAAGAGATGTTCTTCTACTCTAATAGCAATTTGTCACTTGGATATTAATCCAGAAAGTCAGCGAATGTTCTGGGGACCTGGGTTCAAGTCCCGCCATGGCAGATGGTGGAAGTTGAACTCAATAAAATGTCTGGAATTAAGAATCTTATTATGACAATGAATCCATTGTCAATTATTTGAAAAACCCATCTGGTTCACCAATGTCCTTTAGGGAAATAAATCTGCCCTCCTTACCTGGTCTGGCCTACATCTGACTTCACACCCACAGAAATGTGGTTGACTCTTAACTACCGTCTGGGCAATTAGGGATGGACAATAAATGCTGGCCTAGCCAAAACCACCCACATCCAGTGAGTAAAAAAAAAAATTAAAAGCATTATTTAGTAAGAAACTATGAGTGTTTAATAATGTGTGCTGAAATACTAGCTATGCGAGAATAGGCAGCATTGTGTTCAGCTAGGATTCTGCCCTTGTTTTCTCTCCAGCTGTTTTCTAGTGTGGTGACAAAGCAGGTACATAGCAGAGGTATAGGTTCCCCCTTTGTCAAAAAGGTTTATCAGGAGAGTTATCGGACTACCCTGGAAATTTCATACCTTGCATTCTTGCAAGGCCTAATTGAGCTCAGGCTGACTTAATTGGTCAACCCTGGTTGGCAGCATTCTGGAAGCTATGATTATGTGACATTCTGATGAACCTTCATCTTCTTGAGACCTCATGCCCAATTCATTATCTTGCCCTGAACACTCCTCCTTCCAACACCTAGAGCCCTGATCTCTCATTAGTTTCTGATCCCACTGATCAGTGCCAGCTCTCTGTTGTGGTAGGAGTGACATAAAAAGATGGGAAATTACACAGGAGGAACCTTGAGCAACTGGCACGGAATAATGCAAACTGGTAAAAGCTCGGCTGTTATCTGAGTTCATTCACAGTACCAACACTAACTGTTTAAGCAAACATTTCTCATAAGCTGTTGATTTTGGGACACTTCAGACAAAAATTTGTTCTGATTCAATCCAATTGAGGGCTGATTATTTCCTGCCAGGAGGCAAATGGGATCTGAAGATTCTTAAACTTTAGTCTGGAAAAGCATGATAGGTAAAACAGTTAGAAGGCACTACACTTTATTTGCATTGTTTGAACACCCTTGCAGTTGACAGCAGCCAAATGCAATTCTGTAGGTGACCTTCAGCAGGGTGTATGCTTATTGTAAAGGTTCCAGCAGATATAATTTGCTACCGGGATAACACTGTGAAGTTTTGGCTCATTGAGTATTTGAAATTTTAATGCTTGTTACACAGAATAAACGCATATAAATATTTTTGTTGGTATACCTTCACATTAAGTTACTTGAATAAGTGGGCCAATATGGTGTGACTGTTTAACAAACAGTACCAATTGAATTGTACATAATCTATAGAGTGATAATATTATGATATATCAATGCGTGCTGCTGTAAACTTTGCAATGCAGTTCATCTCTGATCCCCCAGCTTAATGCTATTGTAATGTTTTTGTGGAAACACAATCTATTTGCCTTGACTTTCATCTCTGTATGACACTGCTACTGGTTTTAATTTTCCTGCATGGTTCCTGGCAGCAATAAAATGCAGCTTTTTTTTTCACACATCTATTCTTATTTAAAGAAGTTTAATGTCTCTGACACTATAAACAGTGAACATCTTAGAACTGCATCTACAATGAGTAATTGAAGCATTAAGATAAATGTGCCAACGTGTTCCTATAGCCAGAGCTTGGGAAAGGGAGCATGCTCATAATGCTAATCACATGCTCAACTGGGACCTGGGCTAACTGGCCATGTAGCAGCACTCAAAACACATGGAAGCAGAGGCCAAATTTACCCCAAACATCTGGGAAAATTCAGTGATAGGTACAGGGTAAGTTGACGGGATAGAATCTCTGAGGAGTTGCGCTTCCAACTATAGGTTGGTTCTGTCCCATGTTTGCAGCTGGCAGGTTTAGTTTTGGTTGCCAGTCCAGGAAGGTTAGATACTTCAGGTGTGTGAAGAGATGGAGCGGAGGCTTCAGGGTCACAGGAAGTGACAGTGGGGAGTCTGCAGGAATGGGGTGTTGAAGCAAGGGATAGAGGAGTTGTACTGAGAAGGAAGGGAGGGAGGAGGCTGCAGTGTTGGCAGGGAAGGGAGCGAGAGCATAGGCTGCAGGGTTGAGTAGGAGGGAGCATGGGAGGCTGAGTGGACAGGGTGTGAAAGAGAGAAAGAGACGGAATGCTGCAGGGGTGATGGAAGGGAGAATGGGTGAGGCTGCAGGGTTTGGGGAAAGAGACAGTGAGGGGGCTGCTGGTGTGGGGGGAGAGAGAAAGCAGGGAGGTGGCTGAAAATTGGGGAGAGAGAGAGTTGGGAAGGGAGTTTAAATGAAGATTGGTGAGGGAAGAAGGCTAAAAAACAGAGTAAATGGTTTTAAACCTGTCAACAAAAGAACACTGTGCAATTAGGTTCTTGACCTCTCTGTTTCCATTTTTGGTGACAGTTTACGGACTGACATTTACTATAAACCCACAGACTCTCATAGCTACCGAGACTACACTTCCTCCCACCCTATATCCTGCTAAAACTCCATCCGGTTTTCCCAATTCCTCCTTCTCGGTCACATCTGCTCTGACGAGGAGATGTTCCACTCCCAAGCAACTCGGATGTCCTCCTATTTCAAACAACGTTCTTTTCCTCCCTCTGTCATCCAGGCAGCCCTCCACCACACCTCTTCCATTTCCCGCTCCACAGCTCTAAACCACCACCCCTCAAACATAACAATGATAAGGTCTCACTTCTCCTCAATTTCCATCCCAGCAGGCTCTGCATCCAACGTATCATCCTCAAACACTTCTGCCAACTCTAATTAGACCCCACTACCTGGAATATCTTCCAGTCCCCACCCCTGTCTGCCTTCCGCAAGGACTGTTCCCTTCGCCGCTCGTTAATTCACGCCACACTCCCCACCAACCACTCCAACCCTTCCACCCCCTCCCCCGAAACCTTCCCCTGTAACCATAAAAGACGCAACACCTCCCCGCACACCACCTCCCTCTCCTCCAGAATTTCACCTACATCTCCTCCAACCTAGTCTAATGCATCCAGTGCTCCCGATGTGGTCTTCTCTATATCGGTGAGATCAACTGTAGATTAGGTGACCATTTCACCAAGCATCTTCGCCTGGCCTGTAATGACCAGCCTAACCTCCCGGTCAGCGCCAATTTCACCTCTTCCTCCCCCCGCCCTTCCCGCCCACATGTCCATCCTTAGCCTCCTCCAGTGTCGCAGCGATTCAGAACACAAATTTGAGAAAGAACACCTTATCTTCCGCCTGGACACCCTACAGTCTACAGGACTTAACACTGAGTTCTCTAATTTCAAATGACCTTCCCACCCATCCTCCGGCTCCCTTTTGAGCCCCATCTCCTCCCTTCCATTCCACCTACCAACTCACCCTTTCAGCTACCAACTGGATTCATTCCTCCCATCGACCAACCAGATCATATCTACTACCGGTGTCCATCTATCACCACCATTCTGCTATACTCCCAACCATGCACCCCCCCTCCCCCACACTTTATCTGCAGCTCCCCTACTCCCACATCCAGTGCTGAAGAAGGGTAATACCCAAAACTTTGACTTTTCCTTTCCTCCAGATGCTGCCATACTTGTATTCTTCCAGCCTCCTGTTTGTCTACTGTGCAATTAGGGTCGGGCAATAAATGCTAGCATTACCAATATAGTAGTGTGTAATTTATTTTAGAAAAAATTTACTCACCAGCACTTGCTGTCTTGTGCCAATTTAAATACTGTGGCGTCTCAGACTTTAATGCCTTCTTTGTGGGTTTATGTTTATAGAGGGTTAAAAATTATTGAGGATATTGATATATTCTTTTAATGCTGCATCTGTGCAACTCCAGATGCCCAGTATGACAACAAGTGCTGTCACTATGTGATTGCATTACTGAGTAAATCAGTTAGAATGAAAAAGAAGCAACTTCAAATAGGATGTAACCCTCAAGGAGGCCTCCAAAAGCACTTGGGGTGGAATTCTGACTCATTCTCTATTTGAGAGGATGTGGAGGGAAGGGTTAACGATATAGGGATGTAGGTGAAATAGAGTTGCCAGAAACAGGAAAAGCACTTGGTCCCATGATTCCTCTTCCTGATCCTAGTTATCATACCAACCAAAGTATGAATATTACTTTTGAGCTAAAAAGCGGTTCTTCTTTGATATCTAAAATCTATGTGTAAATGACGAAATGTAATGTAAAGCTAAAGTAAACACTGGAAGTATTACACAAGAATAACTCATTTCCAAATCTTTAAATTGAAGACATTGTAATATTTATCATCTTCCTTAAACCAGGCACCTCCCCTCAGTACAAATGTATATTTGTCCAAATATGTCAGACACTTGACTGGCAGAAAAATTGAAGTGCCTCTCACGTACTTAAGGAAACATTACATTTTGGCAGTGCTGCCCTTACAATGAGATCTTGTGCGGAGATCCTATCTACCTGTGCTGATGGCCCAGATGGATAGTAAAGGCCTTGTGATATTGAGAAGGGCAGGAAGATTTCTCAGCCAACATCTTTACATCTTTGCCACAGAAACCATCAAAAACAAATGAACTGGTTACAAAATTGACAATCAAAAAATAATTTCTACTTAAAATGCAATTTGCTCATCTGTACAAAAGGTTCATTTTGTTAGTAAATGAAATAGCATGAGAATAAGCATAGCTTTTTCTTGCCAGGGACCTTAACCTAGAGAAAAGAAAACAATATATGATAATTTTGTAAACTGATTACATCTGCATTTCAAAATCAACATTATATGTTGCTAGGTATTTGCCATATCACTGTAAAATATCTGATATTCTTTGACAATTTTGATTTGTATTTTTTGACACAGGTATCCTGGAGGTATTACGTTGTATCTTGATTGAAAGTCCTGAGGCGCTCAATGTGATCAAAGAAGGGCATACCAAATCTATCATTTCATTACTGGATAAACATGGACGCAACCACAAGGTACATATATGATCACAAAACAATGTGTGTTGAAAGTCCTAAAGTATAAGAATGTAAAATAATAATTTGTCAATGTTTGCTGTCATAAACTGCCTCTAAAGGCACAAAAGTTTAAGAATTTAGAGGATAATGTAAATAATGCCTTAAATAAAGTAAGATATTTGAGCGATGTAATATAAAGGGTCAATGATAAACATGCATATAGACAGTTACATTGTCAGTGATACAAGATGACATGATAACAAAGTTCACTGAGAATGGTTGTTTGTGAAGCCTCAGGCAAAGCTTTGTCCTGTAAGTAGTTATACTATACACATAAGGTTATGAACAGTCTTACCTCTTTACGCAAACCAAACTAAGACCCAAAATAACGAGCAGCAATGAAATGGAAAAAGAAAGTTAAATTTCAAGCCAGAAAAAAGGTGGTATTAAAAAGCCAGCCACTGCAAAAGCAGCAAGGAAAATGACTACAAATCAAGGACAGTGCAGGAAATGGTAGCAAAGCTTAAAGAAAGGCTTAAGTGAAGTGAAGCAATGGAGAAGACCTCTCCCTTGCTGAAATGCTTCAAAAATTTGAGAGGCCCAATTCAAACTAAGAAATAGCTGAACTGGCATTGAAGATTTATGCTGTACAGAACTGCGTTAGAATTAGCAGAAAAGCCTAGCAAGGAAAAGATCAATACCCTTCTTCTTGTCATAGGAGGCACTGCAGATGACATATTTGTTCCCTATAATTGTTATATAGGGAACTAATGAAAAATATCAGTGACATAAAATGATGTTATGAAAGCATTTAATACATACATTAGCCTTGGGAGGAGCACTATTCTCAAATGGCAACATTCGATGGATGTAGTTAATGATAAGGAGAGAGAGTTCGTTCCCTTATTAACAATCTATGTTGACAGTCTTTGAATATGGATCCTGGAAAGATGAATTGGTTTTGAATCGTACTGTTGTAGGAGCCTTAATAGATGCTTTCTCAGATTTTCAGCAGTCAAGGGAAAATTTTATATTACCAATGCTTGTGCAGGCAGGAGGATATCAGAAAGTAAAATCATGTGTTTATTAATGGTGACAGAAAACTTTGTGAAGCAAAATGACTGATACTGGGTAATTTGTGGGGTACTGGGGTAGAAGCATACTTACGCAGGAACAGCAAAAGGCAGCAATGGCTGTCATTACTCAGTATTCTCACTATAGATGGAAAAGGCAGCATCAGCACAAAAAAATGTCAAAAGTGCAGAGTGCCATTCCAAAAGAAGAAGAGATATTTTAAAACTGTAAGATGCAGCAAAATGGCCCCAATTCAGAAACTAAAAGGAAAAGCTATTAATGCCAGTAGCTTTCAAAACACTGAAGATGTCAAAGACAATGAAGTGCTTTTCCTGGGAAAAATTACAGAATCAAATGAATAGTATTGGAGTGCAGAAATGATGGCTAATGGATAAATTTTTTTTTCAGATTTGCTGTAATGGTAATTGAATGCCAGTGCACAATATGTCTTTGACTGAAACCGAACTAAGATATACAGTAGTTGAAAAAGAAGCATTAGCCATTACTTGAGCTTGTAATGTCTATGCACTATGTCTCGGGACTTCAGTTCACATTTGAGACAGATCTCAAATCACTGGTTGCTCTATTGAACGCTAAGGCATTAGCAAATGGGGCACCAAGAGTGCAGAGAGTTTGCTGTGGATTGATTAGATTGATTCAAGGAGAAAGCAGACTACAACAAACTTTGCATTGTTACATATTCCTGTCAAAAAGTCTGAATGAGAATACATGGATTTTGTTGAAGATGTCAAAATCAATACTTCATTGACCACAAAATATCTACCAACGCCAACACAGAGGCTAAATGAAATTCAAATTGCACAAAAATCAGATGAAAAATGTACTTAAACGTATGTGTACTGTATGTAAAGATGGCCAGAATATTTTCCAAATGATCCTATTCAGGAACTGTACGTTGATGAATACAATCTGATCAGCGTTCAGGATAACTTAGTGATTCATGATAAGATGTGCCAATAGCAGTTGCCATAAAGAATAAGTTAGAAAATGTGGCAAGGAGGTCTTTCCAGGAGGATAATGTTGAGGTTTCTGAAAGCAGCTTCTCTCAGTGAGAATTAACTTATTAGAAATGTAACCTTCTGTTTGGGGGTCCAAACTTCTTCAAAGCCTGAACCTCTAGCTAAGAGTTATACCTATCCACAGTCTTGAGAAATGCTTCAACCAACCATACATCAGATCCACAAAGTTTAGGACATATAGAATCTTTACTCCAGCCTTTGGCTTTCCCATATTAATGCTCCAGAGAAAATTTTGGCACAAGATCAGAACCTGCTTCAGCTTAAAATATGGCCAGCTTCTGATATTAAAATGGGCATAATCCCTGAGTGAATGCGCATTTTGAGGTCATGATGGCCTTTCCTATAATATATAACTTATAAGCAAAGAATACTATAGGTTTAAGCCTTTCACAGTATGATGAAATTAAACAGATATCAAACTTTCTAATTCGTGATTGTTTTGGATAAATGTTTGTCTAAAATTTTGAATTATGCACATATTTTAGCCTATCACCCTGTTGTGGTGAAGAATTGATCAGAGACCCTAAACTGATATAGGATGTCTGGCCACAATGGAATCATCCCTACTTCTGGGCTAGAAGCTCTGGCTACAAGTCCCTCGTCCTGACTTGTTGGCCGTTGAAGGTTTGTTACATGGCCAAACAAGTTGTTTGTCAACCCTTAAATTCTTCCAACAATCCAGAAGGCAGGATGTAAGAGTGGAAGAGATTGAATGGCCAACCATCCTACTGAAAATAATAGCAACCATTCACAAATAAGAGTGAATCCAACAAAAGTCTATGGAACAACCATCTGATATAAGGATGGGAAAAAAGATATACAGACCCCTAAGATGGACAATATTTCACCAGGAATCTCAGCACATATTCACAGTGGCAAGATTTAAAATATTTTCCAGTTTTTTTTCTTGTATAGTGATGATAATTCAAATGACTTTAATGCATCCATCCCAAGTTGACAATTTCCAGGCAGGTCAATTCCTGACTTCTGCCATTAATTTGACCCTTAGTACTGGACTGAAATTTCTTGTCATCAGCTTGAGTTCCATGGAAAAGCCATTATACCAAATTCAATGACCTGTACTGGTTCTAGGCATACTGTGTGAAGGCATACCTGTGGGTCTGGACTTTCATCCTGGCCTGGACTTCTTAAAAATTCCTTCAGTTTGCGAGCTTCATTGTCAAGTCCAGCATTTGTTACTAGTTCCCAACTGTGCTTGAGAATATAGTGGTGAGTGGGTCTTGAACTGCTTCACTCAGTGTTGTAGATACACCCACAATGCTGTTAGGAAGGGATTTCCAGGATTTTGAACCAGCAACAGTGAAGGAACAGCAATGCATTTCTAAGGATGCGTGAGGCTTGGAGGGGAACTTAAAGGTGGTGGTGTTCCTGTAAATCTGCTCCCCTTGTGCTTCTAGATGGAAAAGTTGTAGGTTAGGAAGGTACTGTTGAAGGAGCCTTGAGGAGTTGGTCCTGTGCATCTTGTAGAGGATACCAAAACTACCACTGTGTGTCAGTGTTGGAGGAAGTTCCATGAAAGTCGGTTCTTGCTTTGGCCTGGATGGTATCAAGCTTTTGCCTTTTAGACGGTGAGTGGGCTTTGCCGAGTCAAGGGGTGGGTTACTTTCACCACAGAATTTCTGACCTGCTGTTATAGTCACAGTATTTATAACATTGGGTGAGTCAATGTTAATGTTAACCCCAGGATGTTGGTAGTATGGGAGCTGGTGGGGGGTTGGTATGTTTCAATGGCAGTAATGAAATTGAATGCCAAGGGAAGACAGTTAGATTCTCTTTTGTTGGAAATGGTCATCATTGGGCACTTGTGTGATGATGATATAGCTTAAAAGCCAATGTGTGGATATTGTCCGGGACTTGCTGCATACGGACATGGACTACTTCAGTATATTAGGAGTTGCGAATGGCGCTGAACATAATGCAATCATCAGTGAACATCCCCACTTCTGAAATCATGTTGGAAGGACGGTAACTGACAGACCAGCTGAAGATGGTTGGACCGAGGACACAGTGCTGAGAAAATCCACAAACTAACATTGGGCAAAAATCAGACCCAGTATACACGGAGAGGGTTGACCTTTGAAAGAATTCTGTGTGCTGGGCTACTAATTAAGTACGTTGACCGTCACATTTCCTGCTTATGGGCAGCATGATGGCTCAGTGGTAAGCACTGCTGCTTTAGATCCCCAGGGAACCAGGTTTAATCCCAGCCTTAGGTGGGTGTGTGGAGTTTTACATATTCTCTCCATGTTTACATGGATTTCCTCCCACAATCTAAAGATGCAGTTATGTGGATTCCCCATGCTTATTTGCCAATGATGTCCAGGAATCTGCAGTCTAGGTGGATTAGCCATGCGGGATTATGGGGATATGCTGGGGTGTCTGGGTCTGGGTGGGATGCCTTTCGGAGGGTTTGCACAGACTTGATGGGCTGAATGGCCTCTTTCCACACTGTAGGGATTCTATAATTCTACTTCTTCCTGGAAAGCAGCCAAAATGTAGCCCAAGTTCTGCCACTGCTCTGCATTAAAATCCAAATAAAGTTCTGAATATTTTGACGGGTTGGGTATGGAGAACGTTGCAGGGCATGTTCCAACACTGAAACCGGAAGAGACAGCCCATGCAATATTTAGCTCTAAGAAACCTGCAGAACTCCATCAGCCTTAAAGTAAAGAGCCCCAAGGAGTTAGATGAATACTTTGAAGATACCATCCTACTTCAGAAAAGACATACAGCTAGTCAAACTGTAGCGTCCTCTCTGAAATCTTTTGCTGTCAGGAATTTTCTTAACCAGATGATATTAAATAATACTTCCAGTGCTCTCAATCCTAGCAGACTTCAATTGTTTAATTTAAAATCCAAAATAAAAATTACTTTGAAAACAACTAACAATACTGAACTGTCTTGTATATATCCTGGGTTGTAACACTTCTAGGCTTCTAAAACCAAATCTCCTAGTAGTTGCAATGGTCGTACTGGATTAATCTGGTTTTTCATTCTATTTTGTTCGTAACTCGATTATCAGTCAGTTTATATTTATCAAAGCTTTGCAGGTCAAAATTTCTCTATACTCTGAATATGGGCATTGTAATTCAAATTAACATGATTTGATTACTATGCAGTTTTGTCAGGTAACAGTTCAGAGTTTAATTTTCTTCTTTCTCCTTGATGTACTCTTTGATATAACTTTCTCTGGACGCTTCCAACATTTATCCCCTTTACAGCAGGTGGGGCATGTTAGTGTTGAAGAATGGAATGCATCCCATTTCAAGCATTCTAGTGTCAGCTATAGCACAGCCACATTCTGAATAGAGCTGTGTGTTCACTGCCAAAAGGGCAACTTGCTAATGCACCAATTTGCCATTTTGCCCAATTCCCACTACAGCAATCCTATAGCCTCCTTGACAGAGATTAGCAACCAATGTGGGATTTGGTTCAGCGTTGTGCCATAATCTTAAACCCCCTGAGTAACTTTTCAAAAGGGACTGTACTCCAGGAGTTCTGTCATCCATTAATCTTTCCTCATTTTGAACGCAATTCCCACCAGTTTTTTAACCCAGTAACGCCACCCGATTTCTCTCTATCCATTTCTGTAAAGTTTTCCTATTCCTCTTCAGACGGGAGGATTGGACAGTTTATTGCCCCTCTGTGTCAGCCAATAGGAACAAGAGTGGAATATGACAGTCTCCTGATCACCTTTTGGAGGCAGGAGTTAAATTTTAACTCCCTCAGAGTTTATGGTGAGCAGGTGCTAAACTTACTTTCAGCCTGAATTAGAGGCTCAGCTTACTTTAAGTGCTTGGACTGAAATACATCTGGTCTGTCAGCTGCTAGTAAATGGACAAGACAGGTGGAAAACAGATGCAGGTTCACAGCCAGCTCAGCCTGTATTGCTCTCGGAAGCTGCCAGTCCACCCTTACCTGGTGGGAAAGCTGCAGGAACTTCTTTGCTCAGGAAATGTAATCAGTTTCATTGTCTAATCAGTCCCCTGCTTTGCATTAACTCTTGGAGCTCCTTGGCCTTGTGACTGGAACCTCTGCTGCCTAACCGAGGGTAGATGGTTCATGAGATTTCAATGGAAACAGGGCAGTGAACTGTACTGAAATCTCTCTGCTCCTGCCCCACTCCTTGTCACCACGCTTACTGTGGGCAGGGCTAAAACTGACAGCAGGATGTTTCTTTCCTCTTAAACATTCTAATTCAGGAAACTGAAACAGATAAAACAATTTAATTAACACATCCCAAGGTCCAGTGCTACGTGTTGAAGGATGCACTAAAGGTTGGAGCAGTTATGATTAAGGCACAATGGGGAAAGACCACCATCTGATGTTTTTCTGCCAAAGTTAAATTGGGGCCTCAAGTATATTTAAATAAGATCCTGCACAAGTGAGAAATGCCTTGGGTTTGTCTGTTGAGTCAAGCTACAATGTTTGTTTGTTTTCTTTACATGCTACTGTACAGAACTGAACTGCATTTGTGACTCTGTGTGTGTGTGTGTATATATATATAAATAAATGAAGATATTTTTATGAGTAAAGTTAATTCTTGAAATTAATAAAACAGTTAAAATGGAGTTCAGTGAGCTCAGTTGGCTGGATGATTATTTTGTGATGCAGAGTGATGCCAACAGTGAGGGTTCAATTCCCGCGCCAGCTGGGGTTACGATGAAAGATTTTCTTTCTCAACCTCTTCCCTTGCCTGAGGCACGGTGACCACTATCAGACATCGCCCTCTAATGGGAGAGTAGCCAGCCCTCTGGTCTGCTAAGACTATGGCAGTTTTACCTTTTACTTTGAAACCTTAGCCTCAAATGATTTTAATGTGAGTGACCCAGTCATGGTGCCTAACTACGTATCTGCAATTTATTGCCTATATTAGTTTAGTGATAAATTAAAGTATTAGTTGACACTATAATCTCAGATTGTTTAGTTTAGATCTTGACGTTTGTCTGTTTGTATTCAGGTGTTGAACCTGCTGTCGTCCCTTTGTGTATGCAATGGTGTTGCTATACGAGCTAATCAAAACCTGATCTGTGACAATCTACTACCTCGTCGTGATTTACTTCTGCAAACCCGTTTAGTTAACAATGTAACAAGGTAATGCAACTTGATGTTTATTTCTCTTTAATTGAAAAACTGAGAATTTTAAGATCCAAAGGAGGCCATCTGGGGCATCATTGCTTGTCATAAAGACCCAGCCAGCCTGATTCCACTTTCCAGCTCTTTGTCTGTGGTCCTGGCATTCACTGCAATTCTAATGCTTATCTCTATATCTTTTAAACCTGACAAGAGTTTATTCCTCTACCATCATTTCAGGCAGAGAATTCCAGACCACCACCAAACTCTGAGTGAAAGAAATACTTCTTAATTCTCCGTTAATCCTCTGACAATTACTTTATATCTTATGCCCCCTGATTATTGACTTCTCTGCTAAAGGGAATAGATCTGTCCTATGCCCTGTATTGCAGTTTCTTATAATTTGATAATTAACCTGATTTCTTTTTCTACTCTCCAGTTATCAGGACCAGTCGCCTCCATAGGGTTTTGATCAATTCAGACCTTAATAAACTGTGAACATCTGATCGGGATCAAACTAATAAAAATTGTACAGTTAATTGTGACCCAGGCAAGGCATAACTGTGGAATTGAATTTCTCTCAGCGATTTTTGACCCAGGTATTTCATAGGGGAGGGGGTGAAGGAGAGATTTTCCTCCTTCATCCTATCACTCCTTCCCAGCCTTGGGGAATTTCTATGCTATACCTTTTAAAGGTCACAATGGCACTCAGAATTTGAGCGAGATAAATATTACCCATTCACCTCATTTTTATGCTGGGCAGGCACAATTAATATCTGCCCTATAATAATTCAAAAGTGAGTGAGCTGATGAATGGTGTCTCATTAAATATGCTGTCTATGAGAAAACGGATGGAAAATGGTGTTTATAATTTAACTTTGCATCTTGTTTATCAGTTCATGAAAATCAGTAAATAGATACAGTACTGATGATTATTTTATACTGTTTTTTTATAGCATAAGACCGAACATTTTCTTGGGAACCAGTGAAGGATCAGCTCAGTACAAGAAATGGTATTATGAGCTGGTCGTTGATCAGGTCAATCACTTTTTGACTGCTGATCCTATTCACTTGCGTGTTGGATGGGCATCTGCAAAGGGCTATGCTCCCTATCCAGGAGGTGGGGAAGGATGGGGAGGCAATGGAGTGGGAGATGATCTGTATTCCTATGGATTTGATGGACTTCATTTGTGGTCAGGTTTGTACCTGTACAAACATGTCTTAGCTATGTTAAAACCAAATATTAATGCAGTTTACAAGAAATATTTTCTTCCACTTGGCAATTTGATATAAAGAATGCTCAATAACCAATTAGACATGATTACTTACATCTAATTTTCTTAGATAAGCAAATAGATATTTGATATCTTACATGCATATGTCATAACAACTATTCAATTCCATATGTGCAAGGTTAATTTATATAAAAATAATTTGTGGATTACAAATAATGGCCACTTGGCTCCCGATTTCTGTATCAAAGTGGTCAAAAAATGTTGTCTTTTCAGTGATGGTAAGGGATGGTGGTTAGATTCATTCTTGATGGCAATAATAATTGCCTGGTTCTTTTGTGGTGCTAATGTTACTAACCACTTATCAGCCCAAGCTTGAATGTTGTCCAGGTCTTGGTGTACATTGACATGAACTGTGTGAGGATCTGAGGAGACAGAAATGCTGCTAAACATTGTGCAATCATTTGCAAAAATCTGCACTGCTGACCTTATGATGGAAAGAAAGTCATTGATGAAGCAACCGCCTGTGGAATTCTTGCTATGATGTATTGGGACTGAAATGTTAGACACTCAACAACCATAGCCATCTTGCTTTGTGCTACATATGACTCCAATCAGTAGAGGGCTTCCCCACTCGTTGTCATTAACTCCAGCCTTGCTAAGGCTCCTCGAAGCTATATTTGGCCAAATTCTTTCTTGGTGCCAAGAGCAGTCACTTTCATCTCACCTCTGGTATATAGCGCTTTTATCCATGTTTGGACCAAGAATGTGATAATGTCAGGAGCCAAATGGCTTTGGTGGAACCTAACGTGAATGTTAATGAACACTATTATTAACTCTGTCTCGCATTGTTATTACCATCCACTTCTCTAACATAAGAGGATCCTGCTGAGGGAATATTCTCAGCTTCCTTGGCCCTATATTCTCTCTGTGTGCTCTGTAGTCTAATTCCAGCTAAGATATAGCATGAGACCCATTCAAGGCTGTAAAAGGTTCCAGTGTTTTTTTAAGAATCATTGCTTGTTTGCTGACACAGAGGGTGAAGGCTTTTATCTTACACTCATCAGAACCAGACACAAGTGCTCAAACACCAATTTGAGTAAATTTAAGCAGAGGGTGGACATTTTTAATTGGTAATAAGTTGAAGCATTATGGAGAGTGGGATAGAAAGTGAAGTTGAGGCCAAGATGAGATCAGCCATGGTTGTATTAAATGGTGGAGCAGGCTCGAGGGGCTGAATTGCTAACTTCTGCTCCTAGTTTTTATGTTCTTATACTGCATGAGAAGAGAGTACTAATTGGTTTGGTTTGATCATGGTTGGCACAGAGATTCAACAGGGTCTGTTAACTGTCAGTCTTAGCTTGCTGATTAACATCAGATCAGGCAGGTATCCTGTGATTGATTAGGGGATTGTGTTATGGACCAGACCAGACCAGACTCCTTCAAAATATTTTAAGAACGTAGCATAGACTCTATTTTTTTCTTATTTTAAAGGCAAATATAGCATGTTGTGTTCCAAATGCAATGCAACTGGTCAAACTACTCAATGGTATGCAAAACACAATTTATTTAAACACGGTAGTTACAAATACAACCAAAGTAAGAGGAATTTAGATTAACTTGACTCTATTAGAAAACTTAACCGAATAATAGATAAATAGTAATTATTACTAATTAACTGTTCTAATATAGTAACATCACGTAAATATACCCCATGGCAAAAAGGCAAATTCAGAAAAATAGATTTGTCTCACAGGTAGCTCAGCAGCAGAGAGAAACCCCAACTTCTAGGTGTAACTGAGAGAAGGGAAAAAAAAGCTTCTACTTCTTCAAAACTTCAACAGCTTCTGCGAAGTTGGGACTCTAATAGCAACTACCTAAAGCTAAACCTAAAAACGTACAACAAAAAGCTAGAAATCCTGGTCTGTGATGGCCATACCATCACAGGCTGCTTCAATTAATCCAATTTTTTAAAAAAAACTCCAAGGCCTCACAACCTGATTACTGACTTTCCAAGTAGACCAGTCAGCACCCCTGTCTTAAAATCTCTCTTTAAACAAAAAAGGACAAAATAACCTCTTAAAGTTACAGCATTGTCACAGTTGCCATGAGGAATGTAATGGGGATTGGCAGACTCATTGACAACCGTCAAGGGTTATCGAGAAAGGATATAAATGCCTTAAAAGCTGTCCAGAGAAGGTTTCACTCAAATGCCTCATCTGGGGTGAAGAGTTTATTTTATGAGGCTTATGTGGACAGGCTCAGCCTGTATTCATTGGAATTTAGGAGAACAAAACGTGATCTTATTGGAACATATAATATCTTGCGGGATCTTGACAAAATGTATGCTGAAAGGATGTTTCCCAATGTGGGAGGGACTAGAACTAGGTACACTGTTTAAAACTAAGGTGGTTCCCAATTAAGGCAGTGATAAGGAGATAACAAGGTGTAGAGCTGGATGAACACAGCAGGCCGAGCAGCATCAGAGGAGCAGGAAAGCTGACATTTTGGGTCTAGACCCTTCTTCAGAAATCATTGATAAGGAGAAACGTTTTCTCTAAGGGTTTATTAGTTAGAATTCCCTCCCTTGCAATACAGAGGAAGCAGTTTTTGATTATTTTTAAAGTAGATGTAGAAACATTATTGAATAACAAAGGAATGATAGGGATAGGTGGAAATGTGGATTTGTGTCCATAATCAGGGAGACAATGGCCTAGTGGTATTATTGCAAGACTATTAATCCAAAGACACAGGTAATGTTCAGGGGACCTGGGTGCAGATCTTGTCATGGCATAGTGAAATTTGAATTAAATAACAAATCTGAAAATAAGAACATAATGATGACCATGAAACTATTGTCAATTATTGGAAAAACCCAACTGGTTCGCTAATGTCCTCTAGGGAAGGAAACTGCCATCCTTATTTGGTCTGGCCTATATGTGACTCCAGACCCACAGCAATGTGACTGCTGTCTGGGCAATTAGGGATAGACAATAAATGCGCTGGCATAGCTGGTGACCCCCACATTCTGTGAATGATTTTTTTTAAATGACAGAGCAGATGCAACAGGCGATTTGGCCTACCACTGCTCTTATTTCGTATATTCATATATTAGTGAAAGGTGAAAATGAAATGTTTTGAGCAAAAGGTTGAAAAGGAAGGAATTTGTTCTATTGAAAGGAAGTTTGGATGAGACATTTAACCAGGCAACTGATCCAATCCCTACAGTTTTCTGCATTCACTGGTCACTTCTTGGGATCTATACAAAGGACAGAGCAAAGGAGGCTGCTCCTCTGCAAGAGTAGTTTTGCCAGTGTCTCTCAAAGTTACCACAGCCTTTACCTTGTTTGCCACTCACTCCTTCCTAAAGTGAACATTTATTCCCATTTCACAGTTTGTAGTATGCAAGTGTGTATTGAAGGACACCAACATCATGCTTACTAGAGCAAACCTATTCACTACTATCCCATTGACCTTGACACTTGATGCAAAAGAGCTTGAGATTCGCAGCGGTAGTTGGCTTCTGTCACTTCTTGAATGTTGTTGTTTGCAAACAAGTAGTTATCCAAGCACCAGCCAACAGCATTCATGAATATGAAAAGCTTTATCCATTAATGTCTATCTGGCCTCCAGTCATTGAAATGGGATCATGCAAGTTTATGCAAAGTACCCAGAGAGCTATCATGATGCACTTAGCTTGTGACACTCAGATGAATCCTATGAATGTCTGAAAAAAAGTCTGAACATGAAAATATGTTTTCCTTTGAAACGGTTTTTTTTGGCTGAGATTTTTAAATGGCTACCTAATGGAACTTTGTCATAATCGTGGACTTAGTTTCTGAAAGTTATACTTGTTTGTATATTGTTTTTTCCTTAAAAAATGTATAATCGCAATTAAATAGCTCCTAAAATATGTGCTTGATTCTCTTCCTGCCATCCTATTCCTATTGGAAGTAAAATGTTATAGCAGATTAATTAAAGAATTTTGATGATGACAGCGTCAATGTTCCATAATCAGTTAGCATTGTCTGTTTTCCTCCATAACAGGTCGAGTGGCCAGACCTGTAACGTCAGCTAATCAGCATATACTGAATTCTGATGATGTAGTTAGTTGTTGCCTGGATTTGGGTGTTCCTAGTATATCTTTCCGCATTAATGGACAACCAGTGCAAGGGATGTTTGAGAGCTTCAACACTGATGGCCTGTTCTTCCCAGTGGTCAGTTTTTCTGCAGGTGCCAAGTAAGTTTAGCTTCTCTGTCATGTCAGGATATGAAAAGCCTGTTCGGATTTCAAACATAAAATTATAGACAAAAGCTTCAGAGATACAATCCACAATATAGACTTGGATGTTTCCTGTCAGAAAGCTCAACTGCTGACTTACCAGCATCAAGGGAGTGCTCCTCATCATTTAAGTGGTGGGACCTGCACCACTTTGGATGCATCTAAGCACTCAGGGGAGGGGGATTATTGGTCAGCGGATTCAGTGACAGACAAAAATTAGAGAACACAGAGTTTCAGAGAAAATTAGTTTTAAATGAATAACTTATGCAGAGTATCTAAATGCTGGGATTTTGCACAGTGGCAGTGACACCCCCCCCAGCTAGAAAGCTGGAAGCTGTGATTATAATTTACATTGAACAGGCAGTTAGTTGCCTGAGGTCCTTGCTCCTGCTGCTGTAAGACAGGATGTCCTGCCTCCAAGAATTGCTAGCCAGTCAGAAAGCTGACAGTTCTTCAGTGCCTACAGCGCTGCCATGGCCCCTGCTGGTACTGCAGCAGGCTGCAGTCAAATTGAAACAAAGTGGAGTGTTGGGGATCATTGGGGATAGTCAGGAAGACGCCTGGAAGGGTTGGGTGCCATCAATCGGAGGACTGGAAGTGGATGAGGTGGAGGTTGCCTGAACCATGGGCAGGCCTCACTTCCAGGGGTCAAATTCTCTGGGTGCCTGATCAGAAGCGACTCCCAAACCCCACCTGCAGACCTCAGTGTTGCCACCCAAAAGCTAACAGGTAGGTTGCCATGGGTGGCCTTCACATGTGGCAAGATGGAACGTCTGCCAGTGATAAACAAGAGGAGGCACTTAACTGGCTTTTAATTGACCACTTAAGGGCTAATATTAACCAAAGAGCATCAGTGCTGTTTGCCACCTTCCTGGCTGCAAGTAAAATGCCAGTAGAGGTGGGAAGATAATCCCATATGATTGCATTACACCGACCAGTCCCACCAACCCTCTCTATAAGATTGCTACTGGGGTAAGAGGGGTGGGGCAGAGTGTAAGATTGCTGCCATATTTACAGCATATTTTTCTGATGTGACTTAAAGACCAAATGCCACCGTGTAGAATTAGAGATGTGTATTGTTGTGGACACAATGCTTTATTACAGTTCCATTGTAAATCCTGTCCATAAGACTGTGTTGTGATATTGGAGCCAAAGTAAATCTTTCTCCCATCATTCTCGAAAGGACTTGTCTAAGAAAAATTGAAACATGATCCAGTACTTTAGGTTTGAAGTATTTTTACGCACAGTGTAATGCAAGGAATACCATAGGATATTCCATGTTTAACAGGAAGTCACAATTAAACTAGACAATTACAGCAATCCGTTTTTCTCTTTGTTGCACCTGGCAAGTGCAAAGCTGAAGAGAAAAATGGGGGAACTTGGAGGATCTGGTCCTGATTGCACCACCCTGACTCTAAGGCATTGCTTATACAAAACATGGGACAAGCACTGGGGAGAGAGAATTTCATACTCCTCTGCCTGACTGCAGCTAAAAGGAAGCATGCCTTGAAAGATTGATGTTGAGGCTAGTGCCAGGACTCTCTGTAGATTAGAGGAAACTCTGAGGGTTATAGGATGCTCTAAAGAAACAAAAGAGCAGTAGGTTGGACATGATCAGTTAATTACTATCCTCTGTTCAGCATCACCTTTGGATCTTCTTGAGCTGTGGGTAATAGTTCAAGATTCTGTTTTCAGTAACACATCCAAGGATTCTCATGTGTTCTTTTCCCTGTTGTACTGAGGACAGCCCTGAGCACACCCAGGAATTGCAAATAACTTTGCCCTGAATAAGTTGGTGTTCTGTGCCAACTTGTGGGTGGGGTGGCGGAGGGGAGATTTTTACTGGTAGTGGTGGTGGAGGGGCATGGAGGAGGTGTGGGGGAGTGCAATTGGAGTGTGGAGTGGAGGTGTGGGTGAAGAAATACATTGGTCCCCAAATTGCTAATTATTGTCACAGTATAGGAATTCTAATCATATCTTGATATGAAGAACCATACAAGGCTTGTCAACTTTGAAAGAATGATTTGTGATTCACCTTTACTTTTTTTGTCCTTTCTTCAAGAGTACGATTTTTGATTGGTGGTCACCATGGAGATTTTAGGTTCTTGCCTCCCCCAGGATATGCACCTTGCTATGAAGCATTACTGCCAAAGGAGAAGTTGAGATTGGAGCCAATCAAAGAATACAAGAGAGATTACAATGGTGTTCGAGATCTCCTCGGGACAACAAACTATCTTTCCCAGGCCTCCTTCATCCCCAAGCCTGTAGATACCAGCCAGGTACTTAAACCTCCTGAGATGCAACACCATGAATAAATTTGTTACAATTTTGTGATTTTAGCAACTAAGTAATACTAAAAACTAATTTTTTTTATTATTTGTGGTTCAAAAACTAAAATCAAATGTAAATGGAAATTGTACAGTAATAAATGATTGTAACTTTGACACCTTAAGTTTGTGATTGTGAGAATGGCCTTTCCAAACTGATCCGATGCTTGGTCTGGGCATCCTTCTTTAACTAGCCAAATACTGGCCCACTTAACAAAAACTGAGTGACGCATCAGTTCTCAGAACGTGAGATAGGACAATGAGGACGTATTTGATTACAGATATGATTTTCAGGTTCAGATGTGTAAATGGACCCAGTCATTACTGGTGAGCTTCTGATATTACTAAAGACTTGCAAGGTACTGCAAACCTCATGTTATTTGATTATTTAAAAAAGAATTCTTTTTGTCCATTTCCATAATCTTAGTTCTGCTATTTTAGTACTCTAAGAATATCAGTGCTAATAAATTGAAAAACATTATTCTATTTGCAACGCTGTCTTTTTTTGGGCTGTTAAGTAATATTGTGGTTATAAGAGCATCTCAGATGCTGAAAACTCTGGGGTTAGTAACTCACCTACTGAGTCCCGGAAGCCTATGCACCGTCTAGAAAGCACTGAGAAGTGGATGTGCAATTGGCAGTATTGGTTAGTGTATTGGGATGAAGTGTACTGTAGGATGTTAAGGGTGAAATCTGAGTGCTATGATGTTGCTGGCGGAACGATAAGAGAGCGATGCATTGAACAGAGTGAAAAGAGTGGGGTCTGGTGGGAGAGATATGAATACACCTTGATGCACCTAAGTGAAGTCATTAACTTCTGCCTGATGGACTTTCTCATCCCTTGCTACCTGCTCCTATTCCCTTTGCGGGCTAAGTCCCAAGTGCATCCTGTTCCCCACGGGAAATGTTGCCTTCTGTCCAGATTAGGGACAATATTTGGAAGCCCTTTCCTTCCTCTGGTGTGTCATTGCTTCTCTCTGAATGTTGAACTATTATTATTCAGCAACCTTCAAGGCATTACTACATCTTCCCTTTTACAGTGACTGCATCTCTACAAGGGGAGGCTGCTTAGTTCACAACACTACTCTGTCAGCTTGGACCATGCAGAGGGCACCTACAAATAAAATGGAGTTTGAACCTGTGTGGAGGCCACTGGTGGCTAAGTTGTTATCAGGGAAATGAGATAGTTGACTAATTTTGAATCTCTCTCACAGCGATGACAACAGTATGTTATAAAGAACAGACTTTCCAAGAAGCCTGAAGTTGAACATTAATTCTAAAAGGTGAAAATTTTTTAAGTGGTTCATGCACACAATTTTGACTTGATTCTACAATCATTCCTTTTTTCAGATTGTTTTACCTTCACATCTTGAGAAAGTACAGAGTAAACTGGCTGAAAACATTCATGAACTTTGGGCAATGAACAAAATCGAGCTTGGCTGGACATATGGGAAGGTAAGAAAGTGACTTTCCAAGGTAACGTTAGAAATCCATTCTCCTGGCAAGGAATTTTGCTGACTGGGAATCTGACCAGAAAGGGTTTGCAGTGTGAACCTAAATTTCTAATCATACGACAAGGATCAATTTCTACTGCAGTGTCTAAAATTTAATTTAAAATCTTTAGTGTATCTAGTATGAATTGTAAAGTATGCACAATCAATTTACTTTTCTTAGGTCAGCACAAAATATAAGCTGCAAAAAAGCATCGAGTCAACTAAGATAATCTACATGGTATCACATTGCATTATTTTATTACAACAAAATGTTTACTTGCCTGTAAGTTGTTTTAAAAATAGGTGAACGTTGAACAATATGGTCATATTGTATTCTTAGCCATGGTAACAGAGACCAGTTGTAATGTGTCACTTTAATATTATTTTCTAACAGTATTCTGTGCAGTAATAGATTCAAGGTTCACTCTGTAGTTTCTGTGAAATTTGTTAGTTGATATTGTTATGGACCTTCACCTATTGCTTTTATTTGGAAGATGTCCCAGCTACGTCTGGCTGTGCTGATGCTTGATGGCAGCTTGTGGTACAAGATTTATAACCAATTTAGAAATAATCTGATGACTCCTAAATGGCAAAGGTTACAATTTAAAAATTTAGACAACACTACCCATTTTAAATAGAGGCTGAAATGATGCATGAATGGCAGCCTGAATCCAGTTATATCATGCTGAATTTTTCTACACAGTGTCATCTATTCTCATTTATGCTATTATCTACTTGATCTAGTTAGATTGTTATTGTATGTAGGAAGGATGATGCTATCATATGTAATAACCATGGTAAATCTGGGTCAAGTATACAATATTTAGCAATGCAAATCAATAGCAGAGAGAGGTTTAAGCCATAAGAACAATTAAAAGTGCTGGTAAGATTTAGAAGGCCAGGTGACAGTAATGAAGAGAAGAGACAAATTTTGATGTGTTTTACGGATCCTTTGCCAAAAGGGTTAAATCACTTCTGTTTAAAGTAGTCTAACATAAAATGCTAGAAATATACAACAGACTTGTCAGTATGAATGAGTGATTTTGTTGTCCCATCTATCTAGGGTGATACAATAAAAAGTGTTTTGTTGCCACAATCCAACACAACTTTAAGTTACAAATGAATAATAAGAAAGTACTTGAATAAAGTTCATCAATGATCGGTGTCCCAAACACGGCTCCAGGGTTTCTGCAATGTCCCTACATGGTTGGCCACGTGGATGCCACTGCAATCAACGACCCATTGCCGCTTCCAAAATTCCCTGCTGCGGGCCTACTGAAGCCAGGAATCTCTGCTTCAGGCACTGACACTGCCTAGGCCAATGACCTGATACTGCAGCCAGGAGTCCCCACTCCGCCACCGCTGCAAAGAGAAGAAAAAAGAAGACAAGGAGAGCGTGAAAAGGATACAGTTGGCCTGGAGCGAATGGGTACAGTAGCCCGAAAGCTTACCTACCATGCCGGCACTGTCATTTTTTTTCATATCAGTATATGAGAATGTAAAGGGACAGAATTTGGGTGTAGATCCTTCAAAAGAATCGAAACCTAGAAGGTAAACAAGCCTCATTATTGTTCTCAGCAAAATGAGAGAGGAAGTGAAATGGAAATGTTTCACCCCTCTTCTCTACGTCACGTCTGAGGGATTCCTAGGTTTAGTTTTCTCAGACAGGTTGTGATTACCATTGAAATTCTTTCAAAGTTTTGAGGCCTACGTCAGACTAAGGCAATCAATTACAGATGGGTTTGTTTACTTACTTTCTGTTGGAAGATGAAGAATGGCTGCTTTCTGAGATAAAGAAGTCTTTGCCTATATTCTTCATCCCAGGAGCAACCTTGGTGAACTCGAGCTGCTCCACCTTATGTTGATAATGATCCACCATGATCACAGAACTGTGCTTGGGCCAGGTTCCAGGTCATCGAGATGCTGTTGATAGAGAGAGACTCCCAGAATTCTAGACCTGGATCATTTGATTAGAAAACTTTTCAATCAAATGGAACTTCAAGACACTGATGAACAAGCATAAAATGTCATATGTCTTCCCATCGTTTTGTCTTTCTGTACCTGATTTGGCATTGAATTTACCCACTCGAATTAATGCACCCTTCTCAGTCATGTATTATTTATTTCACAATTCCTTAATCTGATTGGATCAATTATTAAAGAAATCATAACAGAACATTTGGAAAATCATAAATCAAGCAGAATCAGCCTGGCTTCATGAAAGGGAAATTGTTCCTGACAAATTTATTAGAGTTTTCTGAAGAAGTCTCAATCAGACTGGATAGAGGGGAACCAGTAGCTGTGTTGTATTTGGACTTCCAGAAGGTGTTTGACAAGGTACCTCACAAAAGGTGTAGTCATAAGGTAAGAGCCCACAGTATTGAAAGTAGTACATTGGCATGGATAGAGAATTGGCGCATGGGTAGGAAATAATAAGTGGTGGGGGATCTTTTTCAGGTTGGTGACCTATGACCAGTGGGTTCCACTGGGATCAGTGCTGTGACCACAACTGTTTACAATATATATTAATGACTTAGAGGAAGAAAGTGAATGTACTGCAGATAAATTTGCAAATGACTCAAAAATAGGTGGAAATGAAGATTGTGAGAGGGATACAAACAGTTTACAGAGATATTGGTAGGTTAAGTAAGTGGACAAATGGGAGGGAGAACAAAAGAACAGAATGTTATTTAAATGGAGAAAAACAGCAGAAAACTGCAACATGTTGGGGACTTGGGGAGCTTGTATGTGAAACACAAAGCTAGCACACAGGTACAGCAGGTAGTCAGGAAGGCTAATGGAATGTTGGCCCTCATTTCAAGGAGGTTGGAGTATAAGAGTTGGAAAGTCTTAATGCAACCATACAAGGTGCTGGTGAGGCCACATCTGGAGTACTGTGAGCAGTTTTGATCCCCTTATTGAGGGAACGATATCATTTCATTGGAGGCAGTTCAGAGAAGGTTAACTAGGATGATCCCTGTTATGGAGGGATTGCATTATGAGCAACAATTAAGCAGGTTGGGACTCTACACACTGGAATTTAGAATGAGAGTGATCTCATTGAAACATTTAGGATTCTTAAGGGGCTTGACAGGGTAAATGCTGAGGGGATGTTTCCCCTCATGGGGGAGTCTAAGACCAGAGGATATAGTCTCAAAATAAAGGGACGCCAATTTAAGACTGAGATGAGGAAGAATTTTCTCTGAGGGTTAAGATTCTTTGAAATGCTTGCCATAGAGAGCTGTGGGGGTACAGCCCTTGTGTATGTTTAGGACCGAGGTAGATTTTTGTTCAGTAGAGAATCAAGGTTTAAGGGAAAAGACAGGAAAGTAGATGCGAGGAATATCGGATCAGCCATGGTTCTTTTGAATAGTGGAGCAGGCTCAAGGGGCTAAATGGCCTATTCTGTTCCTATTTCTTGTGGTTTTATGATTGTAAAGGAGATACACTCACTTACCTAATCACTGCATCCCCAGGCCCTGTTTCTCTTGATGGGAATGCTTTAGTCTTTTCAAGCCCAGCTGAAAAGCCAAGAGGACCCTGCCCATAACCTCAGCAGTTGCGGTTGCGGTTGGAGACATGACCTACACCACAGTCTCTGAAGGAGGTGCACATTTAAGAGCTGCCAACCAACCTGCGAAGGGGCCAATGCTGGCACCAGAACCCAAAAATGTCTTGGGTCAAGGTACTTGCCAGGTTAGGTTACTTGTGTGATGGTGGGGTGGGAGGGGGAAGTTGGAGAGGGTGCCTCCAATGGGCCAAAGGGGTTCACAAAGTAAGTCCTTCTATCCACGATCAACACTAGCCCATGTAACCACAGCTGTCATGCTCAGCAACTGGCATGGACTGTCCTGTATCACCACTGGTATTGTACAAGGGTCTGAAAGGGTTACCGCAGAGGAATACTTTAAGCACCATCCAATATAATGATGCCATATGGGGCTCAAGCAGGGAAACAGGACCTCGGAGGTGTAAGACCTAACATTGGGATTTCCTTCATAGCCTTTGTAGCAATGTCTATCATATACTTGTAACTTGTACCTCAATGCTATTGTGTAATAAACTACATCTTGTTTAAGAACAGAGCCTCCTCATGCGATTAGCAAATGATTTACCTCCAGACTAACCAGTCCTTGTAAATCCCTGCCAGGAAAGAGGAGGATAGCAGGAAATGTGTTTCCCAGATATATCTTTTACTAAGATGAGCTGTGGTGAGGATCCATTGTACAACAGTGTGCCAGTTGGCATTGCATCACCTTCCAACCAGGGAGCAAGCAGTGGAGGTCTGAAGAATCCTATAAAAGCTGCTTGTGCAATTAGGCAGCAGTTGAAAGAGCTGAGCCTTCAAGAACCCTGCAGAAATGAAACTCATGGCGAGGCAAGACCTATAGTCAATCGTATCAACCATTTCAATCCTTGTAATGGAAGTGCTGTAGCCCGGCTAGATCAACCATAACGTGTAGATCCAAACCAGAAAATAGGATGGTAGCAGCAAATATATCAGATGTATCTTTCACTAAGATGAACTGTGAAAATCCATCCCAGAACAGCTGTCTTTTACCACTTGATGTTGGCAAGCTGCCTGGGGGCTATGTTATGCCTTTTAATAACAACACTCACACCCACAATTCCTTCCAAGCCACCGCAGAGAGTGTATGATTCAGCTCAGTGTTTTTCTCTTTCCTTCAGGTACGAGATGACAACAAGAGACAGCACCCTTGTCTGGTGAATTTTGATAAACTACCAGAACAAGAGAGAAATTACAATTTACAAATGTCCCTTGAAACTTTAAAGTAGGTTCTAAAATTTTGTTCAGCATTTAAAGAGGAAAATCTATTTGTTATTTAAGTTTGCTCTTTATTTCCATTTTGTCAATGTGTTCATGGGGTTTACTGAAATGTCTTCACAGGACCTTACTGGCTTTTGGCTGTCATGTGGTTCACATTAAGCCAAAAGCTGAAGAAGATTTACAAAGATTGAAACTTCCCAAAAAGTAAGTTTATCCTAGTCGTGAAAATGTTGTTGAGAAGTTTTCTTTTTGAGACATAGAGACGTACAGCATGGAAACAAACCCTTTAGTCCAACTCATCCATACTGACCAGATATCCTAAATTAATCTAGTCCCATTTGCCAGCATTTGGTCTATATTCCTTTACACCCTTCCTATTCATATACCCATCCAGATGCCTTTTAAATGTTGTAATTGTACCAGCCTCCACCACTTCTTCTGGCAGCTCATTCCATACACGCACCACCCTCTGTGTGAAAAAGTTGCCCCTTAGGTCCCTTTTAAATCTTTCCCCTCACACATTAAACCTATGCCAAATAGTTTTGGACTCCCCTACCCCGGGGAAAAAAGACCTTGGCTATCCATAACCCTCATGATTTTATAAATCTCTGTAAGGTCACCCCTTAGCTTCTGACGCTCCAGGGAAAATAGCCCCAGCCTATTCAGCCTCTTCCTATAGCTCAAACCCTCCAACCCTGGCAACATCCTTGTAAATCTTTTCTGAACCCTTTCAAGTTTCACAACATCCTTGCTATAGCAGGGAGACCAGAACTGCATGCAGTATTCTGAAAGTGGCCTAAACATTATCCTGTATAGTTGCGACATGATCTCCCAACTCTTATACGCAATGCACTGACCAGAAAAGGCAAGTATACCAAACGCTTTTTTCACTATCCTGTTTCCCTGCAACTGCCCTTTCAAGGAACCGTGAACCTGCACTCCAAGGCCTCTTTATTCAGCAACACTCCCCAGGACCTTACCATTAAGTCCTGTCCTGATATACCTTACCAAAATGCAACACCTCACATTTATCCAAATTAAACTGCATCTGCTACTCCTTGGCCCTATGGCCCATCTGATCAAGATCCTGTTGTAGTTTTCATCGATCAATATATTTGGTTCTCTTTTATGCCATAATACAGCTCTCAGTCCTTTTACTTATTCTGTAGCTATTTTGTTAACTTTTCAAAATAATGTTCACAATGCCAACTATTGAACCTATTTGCTGCCTTTTTTGTGGTACTAGTATTTTATTCAAGATGCACATCACAGCTCAAGTAATCAGACTAAAACCTGAATGCAATCTTCTGCTGTTGCTGGTGGTGAGAATGGAGGCAGAAAGGACATTTAATTAGTTGGGAAAACAATAAACCTGAACATCTCCTGGAGTGCAACTGGAAGAGTGTAAATCTGCATTTTTGTGAGCAAGGAAGTAATATTAACGTTTAATTTATTTTTTATAAAGTAAGGTATTGCTTGCTTGTGATTAACAGTTGACATTTTACGCTTTAAGCTTAAGGTTTCTTCCAGGCATAGATAGGGTTAAATAAGCCCTCTGTTGGAGAGAAACTGTGATTAATTAATTAAGTAACTCTATTCCAGATCAGTAACTATAAGAGAATTCGCTAAAGTGACCAATTAATGCTGCTCCTGGTATTAATCAAAATGGACCTGGCACCAAGTAGTGTGCACGTCAGCTGAAACTGTGTGGCCAGCTTGTTACCTTGGGGGAGTAGACCCCTTGATCAAAGGCAGTCATTGGCCATTTGAAGGTCTGGACATCAGGAAACTGGGGACCCTGCTAAAGGCCATTGTCTGCCCATGCCAGTCCCTCTGCTGCACCCTTATTCCTGTGAATCCCACCCTGAGAAAACCCCCTCTCCCTGCCTTCATATAACTTACCTGTGGTCTAAGTATTTCCACAATCCTAGCCCTCTGATGGGTGTTCTTCCTGCAGAAGTATGGCCTTCTCTGTGACACTGCTGAGCTGAAGGACTGCCTGCTTCTGATTAAGCATTAGCTCGCTGTACATGAGATTTAGGTCCCTGGAGTCTTGATTCCGAGGGAAGTCCTGCTGATGGCCTTCCCACCCTCTGTTTGGCCAGTAAGCCTTCCTGATAAGGGGCAATTCACAACTCTAGTTGACTCACTTTCCTTCAGGTGAAATGGTTGTGCCAAAATACTTCATCTTCTGAAGATATTTTTGGGGGAGAAAATAAAAAGACATTTGTTTGTAATTCTTTGAGAAAAAATGAAATATTACAGAAGGAATGATTTTAAGCAATAAATTCTTCTTTCTTTTTGCTTTAAACCAAAGGAGAAATTTGGCATTTTTTTTGTGTTTTTCTTCTCCACGTGCTTTTCTGTTTTATTTTTATTCATTCATGGGATGTGGAGGTTGCTGGATCGGCTCATTGCTAATTCTGCAAAGGGCAGTTAAGAGTCAACCACTTCACTGTGGATCAGGAGTCACATGTAGGCCAGACCAGATAATGATGGCAGATTTCCTTCTCTAAAGGACTTTATTGAACCAGATCAGTTTTTACAATAATCAACAATCGTTTATTTCATGGTTGCCCATTAGACTAGCTTTTTATTCCCGAGTTTAAGACCGACAAGAGGCATCAACAGCAATGATTGTAACAAGGTCAACCAGGTGGACTGTTTAGAATATGAGTTCCTGATTGGGACTGTTAATCTGGTCCAATCAGGGAGCCCTGGCTGACAGATATAAACAGGCATGTCAGGCAGCCTATTCATTCTGAGAGCTGGCTCTGAGGGAGCTGGATCAACGTTGAGGACTCTCCACATGTACATAAAGGGTGATTTAGTGATGGGATACCGGCCTCTGGAGTTATTTCAGAAACCATGCATAAAAGATTGGTTAACACAAAAATGCACAGGCTTATTTTAAACAGTTATAGAATCCCTACAGTATGGAAACAGGCCATTTGGCCCAAAAAGTCCACACCAACTCTCCAAAGAAAGCATCTCTCCCAGACCCTATCCCTGTATTTCCCCTAGCTAATCCACACATTGCTGCTCTCTATAGGAAATTTAGTATGGCCAATCCACCTAACCTGCACATCCTTGGACTGTGGGTGGAAACCAGAGCACCCAGCAGAAACAGGGAGAATGTGCAGTCACCCAAGGCTGGAATTGAACCCAGGTCCCTGGTGCTGTGAGGCTGCAGTGTTACCCACTGAGCCACTTTGCTGCCTTGCAGTTGGAGAATATGTTCGAATTAGTAGCTTCCTCAAAACAAACCGACTCAGTCTGAATCACATGATGCATTACATTGTTGACTCTATAGTAATGTGAAAAGAAAACATAACTACATCTAATTAAATGAGTGCCATGATACTTGTGATCTGAAATCTGCTTGTACTTCATGTTAATCATCAAATATTTAAAAGCCATTTAGCTTTCTTTGATTAAATATTGCTTGTTTTATCTGACTGTATAAAATGTTTTATTTTGTGGATTAATTAAATGTACTTGTAATTTTGCAATTGTCAATGTTTAATGAATGTTAGTTACATGATGTCAAACGGCTATAAGCCCGCTCCGCTGGACCTTTCGGATATCAAGCTACTCACTGCTCAAGATGTTCTGGTTGACAAGTTGGCAGAAAATGCACACAACGTCTGGGCAAAAGACAGAATCAAACAAGGATGGACCTATGGCATCCAACAGGTAATTATGATTCAAAATAACTGAAGTAACAAATGGTGTGTAGCTCCATATCATCAAATCCTGCTGCAAAATGTACTTTGCCAGAGAGACAATAATTAAATTTCACTGCGATAGGATTACAGTCTTGTCATTGAGGCATGTTATGTGATCGCAAAGAATTCCAGGGGCATAGAAACTGACTAAGATCAAACAAAAAGGAGGAGCGGCATGAAACATTGACATGGTTTCTAGAGTCCAGCACCACTGCCAGTATGGTATGGTCTGAGTGCTTTTCTATATGTTAGCTCACATAGCTTATAGAACAAAGACTTGTTCAGATGGATGTCTTGACATTTATTAACATCGCTAACTGTTTATACTGCTATAGTATCACAGGCTCGCACATAGTGTGAACTCTCTTTTCCCTTTAAAGAAAGGGGACTCTTTTATGATGACATGTACAAGGCTGCATATAGATAATTGTCTCTACATGTTTACTTAGCATTTTAGACCTATGACATAATCTTTTACAGTTATCACAACTTGTGGTGTGCTGTCCGTCATTGCAGATGGATGTTTACCATTTTTATAGATGTGTGCATGTTTTCTGGCATGAAATCTGAGTCTTCATCCTGATTGACAGGTGATTAAAAATACACTGTTTGGATATGTTGCCTATTTCATGACCATTGTTCATTACAACATCATTAAAACATCATATGGCCTAGCCACAAAGATGTTCTATCTTCCCACAAACACATGTCTTCATATAAAAATCTCAAACTGTTGTGCCTTTTCCCCTTTAAGATAGGTTAACTGTCTATCTGCTCATTGATTGTGTTCTTGTACCATTTCCCCGTTCTTTCCAACAATATATTGTGTATCTGTTTATCTATTCATTCACTGGATGGGGGCTTTGCTGTCGGGTCAGCATTTATTGCCCATCTCTAGTTGCCCTTGAGAAGATAGTGGTGAGCTGCCTTCTTGGACCACTGCAGTATTTGCTGTAAGTAGCCCCACGGTGTTTAGACAGAGAATGTTCCAGAGAATGTTTCATCGACTGACATTGAAGGAAAGATGAAATAGTTCCACGTTAGGACAGTAACTGACTTGGAATTATAGTTGAATAGTGACTGTGTGGGAGAGAAGAATTCAAAGGATCTATCTTCCAACATGAGAATTGCTGGTGAGGATAATTCATTAGCTTGAGAAATAGCAAGTAGATTTAGCATAGCTGCAGGAAAATCTTGGCAAGTCAGTTTACGCCTGACTATCATGGATTTTACAATAAGGACAGTATGTTCTGTGAGACTATGTAAGGGTTATGAGGAGAAGATGTAACATGTTGTAATACCTCATCTCCTTCACATGTATTGGAATGGTGCATTAGTGTACTGCTGACAATTTTTGAGGAACATTGAACATAACAAATGTGGTGGCCCATGTGCCAACAACGAGTGCTTGTGTGTGTCTGTGTGTCATTCCAAATTTGATAATGTAGTCAGTCACCAGAATGTAACCATGTCTTTGGAAATATAATCTTGCAGGAAGACTCGGAAGAAATCAGGTGAGGGATGAAAAGTTCTCCCAATTGTTGAGATTGATGCAGTTGACATGTTTCTCAATTTGATTACCTGGGTTGGTGGTTATTTAAATTGGACCAAGAAATGAATTCACACAGCAATCTTTTGTTTTTTCTTTGTTCTGTACCTATACGGCCTATATATATATGATCAAGCATATCTCAACATAGAGCTTGTGATATTACTACTTGCTCACGTATTAAGATTACATTTCTAGAGAGTCGTAGTTCATATCTGAATTACTTGAAAGAACATGGTAGCTCAGGGCCCTGTTAGGTGTAGTCAGACCACCAGGCAAAAATGATCTTTTTGAGCTGTTGCATCTGTTCATCATCTGACATAACTTGCTACATCTGCCATGCTTGGTTGTAACCAGAATGAATGAGATTGATGTTGGAGTCTGGACTTGTGTTTTGCCACTAATCGCTTTATTATCTTAATGATTGTAATAATACCTAGATTTGTGCATGCCGGTAGACCAATAACAGAAGGCCCTCATGATGTAACCATGTGTTTTTTACTTCATTCATGAGATGTGAGCATTGCTGGCTGGCCAAGATGTATTGACTGTCCCTAGTTGCCCTTGAAAAGATGGTGGTGAGTTGCCTTCTTGAACTGCTGCAGTCTACGTTAAGCTAAGTAGACACACAATGCCATTAGGGAGGGAGTTCCAGCATTTTGACCCAACAACACTGAAGGAACAGTATTATATTTCCAAATCAGGATGTTGAGTGGCTTAGAGATGCTGGTGTTCCCATGTACCTGCTGCCCTTGTTCTTCGAGATGAAAGTTGTCCTGGGTTTGGAAGGTGCTGTCTAAGGAGGCTTGGTAAACTTCTGCAGAGCATCTTGTACATGATGCACTGCTGCTACTGAACACTGGTGGTGGCGGGGAGTAGATGTTTGTGGATGTGCTGCCAAACAAGTAAGCTTCTTTGTCCAACATGTATCCAGGTTGACTGTGTTATTGAAAGTGCACTCATCCAGTCAAGTGGAAAGTATTCCATCACACCATTAACTTGTGCCTTGTAAATGGTGGACAAGATTTGGGGAGTCATGAGATGAATTGTTCATCATCTGCTTTGATCTTCAATTTCAACAGCATTTTAACATCACCACTAAATTCCTATATGGCAGCTGTTGTGCATATGACATCTTGTGTATTTGTGCATGTTAGTGCTATATAGTTGCATCCAATTTTATACAATCCTTGCTGCAAGCCTCGTACCATATAACAAAATGTTTCAATTAGCTTCGTGTGACAATCCCATAACGGTGCAAAATGAAACAGATTATTGTAATAAAGCACAAGATTAGGCAAGCTGGTTTTCTTAGAGTGTGGAAACAGGCCAGTTGGCACAACAAGTCCACACCACCCCTCTGAAGAGCGACCCACCCCTCTACCCTTTCCCTGTAATCCTGCATTTCCCGTGGCTAATCCACATATCTTACACACCCCGTGACACTACCGGCAATTCAGCGTGCCAATCCACCTAACCTGCACATCGTTGGATTGTGGGAAGAAACAGGAGCACCTGGAGTAAATCCATGCAGGCACAGGGAGAATGTGCGAACTCCACACAGACAGTTGCCCAAGGGTGGAATTGAACCTGGGTCCCTGGTATTGTGAGGCAGCAGTGCTAACCACTGAGCCACCATGCCCCAAAATTGGTTTTGTTGAGAGTTATTGGAGCCAGAATATCTGACTGGAAATAGTGACCGATGTTGAATCTACAACAACTTTGAAAAGCAAATGTAGAGGCTAAATAAAATCATAGAGTCATACAGCACCGAAACAGACCCCTCAGTCCAGCTCATCTGTGCCAACCAGACGTTCTAATCTGACCTAGTCCCATTTGTCAGCATTTGGCCCATACCCCTCTAAACTCTTCTTACTCATTGAGGCATTCAGATGCCTTTTAAATGTTGTAATGTCTTGGCTTAAACCTAGGCCTCTAGATTTGGACTCCTCCACCCGAGGAAAAACACCTTGGCTATTTATTCTATCCTTGCTCCTCATGATTTTATAAACCTTCATAAGGTCACCTCAGCACCTGATGTTCCAGAGAAAAATGCCCCAGCCTATTCAGCCTCTCCCTATAGCTCAAGCCCTCCAGTCCTGGCAATATCCTTGCAATGGTATGTGAAAGAAGGATAGGCAACTAAGACTAAATGCTTGTTCTTTTAGAGCATCAGCACAAACATGGTGTGCCTTCATGGCATTCCATTGTGCAGTAATTTGTGTTTGCAACCTACAAAATTAAATCTAAGTGAATGAAAATATTTATAAAAATTATATAAAAAACCCGTGTGGTAATATTGTCTATCACTTCCTGTAGGATATCAAGAATAAAAGGAACCCTCGATTGGTGCCATATAGCCTCCTTGATGAACGAACCAAAAAGTCAAACAGAGACAGTTTACGTGAAGCAATTCGCACTTTAGTTGGCTATGGTTACAATATTGAACCATCTGACCAGGAAATCGGTGAGTTTAACTACTACAGATCAGATCATTAAATTGAGAATATCAATACTGTAAGTTTATAAAGTGTAGAAACAGAAATCAGAGTTATTCTAAAAATGTATATAACTTTCCTGCAATTAGGGGCTCCTGAGGTTAATAGTAGTTGATTTTGTTGGATAATCTTTCTGAAAATGTATCTTTTCCTCTTTGCTACATTAGTGCCTTGCTTAAGGTTTGTCCGAAGTCATAGCTAACCGTTACTTTAGGTTATTTTGCTGTTTGTAATGGCTGTAGTTTGTGCACGAGGTTTATTTGGTGGATGTCCGTTCTTACTTTCCAATTGAAAAATTGCACAGGCAAGTACAGAATAAGATCTATTGCCATAAAACAAGCAATTAATCTGCTTGTTTCGGGGGTGGGATAAGATGTTAGGCATTCTTTTTGTGAAATTTTTTTAGATGAAAGCAATTTTTTTAAAAATTACGGTGCATATGTTGCCTTTTATTTTTGGCCTAAATGAAACTTGAATCAACCAATTTCTTGGGTTGACATTGCAATGTTTCAGCACTGACATTGCGGCATAACTGCAACAACAGGGAATACTACCACCACTAATTTATTTGCTGGGTGTTTAAAATTTTAAACCTTTATTGTACTTTAAATTCTCCTTTGTACCATGCTCTTAAGACATACATAACATTTCAGGTTTCATATGCTTGCAAAGTTTGGGCATTAGGAATTTTGAGAGACTGGAGAAACTGTCCCTATTGAATTTACGATTATTGTTTTCCAATAAAAATTGTAAACTGAATGGTTCAGTCATTTATTCCAATCTTGAGTTATAGTAAAGTTCTCATCTCTTTACCCTAGACATTAAAAAAAAAACAAAACCTAAACCTATCAGTTTTATTTCTAACTTACAAATGATTTTATATCATTGTTTCCTTGTTTAATACCATTTTACCCCGTACGCCAACATTTGCAGTTGCCATAGATGATGGCATATAAATCATAGTGGTTATAAAATAACCCAGGTTATTCAGTCACAAAAGTTATGTATATAAGTAAACCTTTGCTTTTTGGTCATAGCATGCTACGTTCGCATCAAACCATAAATGCATGCTTCACTTACTGGTACTTTATAACTGAGTGCAAGTGATCAAGCAGGTGACAGGAAACAAACAAGGAGAATGCCAGAGAAAAGGTCTGCTAGCATCTGTGGTGACAGAAATAGAGCTTCATCTCATTTCCTGTCAAGAGGTCAGTGCTGCAACCTGACAGTAGGTTTTGGAAAGAAGGCTGGCTTCTCCCAGGTTCAGACCATTATAGACCGTATACAAAGTGTGTTAAAAGGCCCATTTCATGATGTAGTTGACTTCATCAATACCAAAAGGTTCCATTCCATCAATGTGCAAGTTATCTGTGATCATTGATACCACATATTTAAAGTCTGTTCCAGGTACCCTTGGAGCTGTATGCTGACTCTATCCTTGAGGATGCTCATATTCTCAAGGGCCAGATGCCTTACAAGGATGGTTACTCAGAGATGGGTGTTGCCCTCTGCAACCAAGGTTTATGACTGTCACATAGACCCCCTCCCCTGACTGAAGCCGACTGCAGGTACAGTGCAGATCATTCTTCAACCAGGGTCATGTGTATCAGACAATAGGACTGCTGAAGGAGAGGTTCTAATGCTTGAATCTGTCTGAGGAAACTTTGCAGTGCAATCTAAACAGATGTGTCACATAATTCTTGCATGCTGTGCTTTGCACAACTGGAACAGACAAGGAATTGATATCATAGATTCTGAAGAGGTGGGAGAGTAGCAGGAATAGCACTCAATTAGACAGCATTGAAAGTTGAAATGAGGCAAAGGATGGGTAAGCTGTGTAACTTGGTTCTTAGAGTAAATTTACTATTTTTAGATCCTGGAAATCTGAAATAAGAACTAAAAATAAAGCTGAATAAATCTCATCAAGTCAGAAGCAACTTTGAAGAGAAAGAAAATTAATGTTTCGTGTCAAATAAAAACCAAAGGAACTGCAGATGCTGTAAATCAGGAACAAAAACAAAGTTGCTGGAAAAGCTCAGGAGGTCTGGCAGCATCTGTGAAGGAAAAAGCAGAGTTAACATTTCAGGTCCAGTGACCCTTCCACAGAACTAAAGGTTCTAACAGTTCTGAGGAAGGGTCACCGGACCCGAAACATTAACTCTGAAAAGCTGAGCTTTTCCAGCAATTTTGTTTTTATTGTTGTTGTTAATATTTCATGTTGATAGTCTATCATCAGAACTGAGGGGAAATAGATGTGGAAGAGTAATGCATCTGCTGGAAGGGGAGTAGGAGCAAGAAGAATAAAGGAGAAGATCTGTGAGAGGGTGGAGGCCAGGGGAGATGAACAGTTTCATGATGTACCAGCCTGTGTGTGTAATAATGGATATAGTAGGGAAACAAAGGTTATATCCAAATGAGGCTGAAACTATATATCAAGATCTCTGAATGCAACATGGTGGGATAAAGAAAGAAACAGCTTGAAGATCAATTCAGCAAATCAAAAGTGCACAGAACAAGATGGAGGAATGAGTTATGACCTAAAGTAGTTGAACTCAGTGTTGAGCCCAGATGGCTGTAGAATGCTGTGTCAAATGATAAGGTGTTGTTCCTTGAGTTTATATTGAAGTGTACTGGAACACTTCAGGCTGTGGATAGAATGGTCAGCATTGGAGCAAGGTGCAGAATTAATCTGACAAACCAGAGGAAAATCGGGTTGCTGAGGGCATCTTGCAGAGATTTGGTACCAGTAATCACAGGTGACTTGCGCACTGATGGAATAGAACCTTTCTCTGTTGTTGATGTCTGCTGCATTATATGGTGTTTCAACACGATATGTGGCAGTCTATATCATCCTGCACCTTGGAGTGCATATTGGCAAAGCCTATGGCCCAGACTACAACACTGGCCTCACCATGGAGTTAAAGATGAAGCAGTGTGATCTGGCACAAATCATATTGGTAACAGCCTTAATGTATTTGTAGGTTGGGGGTTGAGAGATCCCACACAGGTCCCCAGTAGGTTCTTGGAAGAAGCCAGTTGCATAAAGTGCTTGGGTAGATTCCACCCTATGTCTTTCAGGTTCTTAACACACATAGTATATTAATACAAATCAAACATTTGAGTTATTTATAATTTCACAGCTTTAAAGCCCAAGATTTTAAATAATAATATGTCATGAGTCATCGTTAGGAAATTCAAAAACAGTTTTCCCTCCAAGTTTTTACATTTGGATGCACATAATGATGGATGAAGTATGTAATTAATCTTTAAGAAATTAAAAGTGGGATTTAATGTTGGCAATGGGACTGTCAAATGCCAGCTGATGAGGACCTGTGCCACCTTCATTGGGGAAGTAGCCATCATGCGCTTCATTAGTCAGAGTCAGGCTTTCCGCAGGATGTAGGACCCTGGGCGTGGAAATACTAGACCTGAGAACTACTGGCATCTGATTGGCTGACAGCTCTTCATACTCTGTCACTTCCACCAGAAACAGTGGCTGTTCCTGGTAATGCCAAAGCGTGCAGGCCACCAGTGGGTGAGTGGGTGACTGGGTGAGTGGGTGAGTGGGTGGGGATTACAAAGAGGGGACTGGCTGGCTCTTGCAAAAAGAGCGGGTCTCTCAGCCTCCCCACTACCAGGCAATGAGAGACCCGCAGCTGCCCAGGTTTGTCATGTGGTGACTCCCCTGCTTGCTTAACTTCCCACTTAAGGGCACCAATTAGCAGTTGGCTGGGAAGGTCATGAATGGGTCTTCTCACCAAGAACTTGATTGGCTGGTGGTGGGAAGGCAGAGGGGGCCCCTATGTGCTACTTTCCCGCCACCAAACTCACTGCCAAGGAAAGGCACTTAATGCCACTGTATCGGCATCTTCTGACAGGAAACTGTATTATTGATATATTGAAATACATTTGAAGAAACATGGGATATTTAAAGAATAATAATAACGATAATAAAGAGTAAGGTAGTTTACAGGATGCATCGTAGAATCCCCATATGCAGAAAGAGGCTATTCAGTCCGCCAAGTCTGCACCAAAGACCAACCCACACAGACTAAGTCCCCCACCCTATCCCCAAAGTCCTGAATTCATCAAAGCTAATCTACATAGTCTGCACATCCTTGGACACGATGGGCTAATTTAGCATAGCCAATCCACCTAAACTGTGCGTCTTTGGAGTGTCGGAGGAAACTGGAGCACCTGGAGGAAACCCATGCAGACACAAGGAGAATGTGCAAACTCCACACAGACCAGTCAACCAAGGCTGGAATCAAATCTGGACCCTGGCACTGAATTGTAGCAATGCTGACCACTCAGCCACCATGCTGGATCTGTATGTCTAATTAATAGTACAACCAAGAAAGCATCTTCATGAGCAAATCTAATTTTTTTTTTGTATAAAACTCAAAATAAAATTGCAGTACGGTGTTTATGTATGGAGTTGAAGTCACAAATAAAATTATGTTGGCCAGTTGCAGTGAAAATCTGACCTCAAGTCACACAAGTTGCTCCACTGATATGATGCTTACTTTATTGATTTCTTCCTTTCGTGGGTTAGTGAGGCTGACTGCAGCTAAGTTTAAAATAAATAAACAACAGACAATCTTGCTCAAGACTGCCATCTTCAAGTACTCAGTATTGATGCAGGGTGTTATTAACAATACAGTAAACATCTAAAATTGCCGGGCACATCACCAGCCTCAACATAAATTATGTCCACAATAAGTAATATTTATAATGTTGTTTTTGGAAGATATGCGAGTTTTGTAATCCAGAATTATGATAGCCCATTTCGTCAGTGCAAATGTGGTGGAACAAACTTTATGATTGCCTCCTAAATTCTACAAACAGATCCATTGATATACCTGGCATCAAAGGGGATGCTTCAGAGATGGCCACCCTCATGTGGAATAGCCCATTCTGTTCTGCAGATACACTAGAAAGACCCTTCCTGTCTGCAGAACTTTGCTGTGAAAATCCTTAGCTCCAAAAAAGTTGTATATGCAGTCAATAAAAATAATGAATCTTGTTTCTTTAAAGAAATCGCAAATATAGAACAGTTTTGGGATCTATTTCCTTGCTTATTGAACATTTGGGAGATCTACAAGGGCCCTGAGAAAAGACCCAGACCACTTTTCAACTGGCCAGAGTTCTGTTGAGCCATGAAAGGGTAAATTGGGTTACCCAGTAACTCAGCCTGACATGTCTTTGATGTGTGGTGTAGAGGATAATAGTAACATTCTCAACCTACCTATGTGTACAACCAACGTACCATCAGAACTCAAAAGAATGAAGAAATCCAACAGAATCTGGTTCCACTTCAAAAGCATGTTATCAGATAGAAAAATGGCATTGGAAATGAAAATTTATCAGGTTACCAGAGACTGAAATTTGTTTAGTTTACCTATAACTGTGAGGGAAGTGTTTGATGTCAAAACTTTTATCTAACAATGTGTTGATATTGAAAAAAATCTTTACTTGAAATAGCTTTTGTCAACTATTTAATTTGGTTTTTTTTATTTTAAGCTGGTGAAACTGTGGAAAAAGTTAGCATCGACAAGATTCGTTTCTTCCGAGTGGAGGAGACCTATGCAGTCAAGACTGGAAAGTGGTACTTTGAGTTTGAGGCAGTGACAGCAGGAGAAATGCGTGTTGGCTGGGCAAGGCCATCATGTAGACCTGACCTAGAACTCGGAGCTGACAGTAATGCCTTTGTATTTAATGGTTATAAGGTTTGTGATTTACTGGTGTGTAAAATTTGTAAAATGTGGGCAGTCAACTTACTCAAAATCTAAGGATGGCTTCAGTTTTCAAAATGTAAATACTCTCAGTGAAAAAAAAGCTTATTTATTTTGGAAAGTGGATTTGAAATATATTTCTCACCTTTAGTGAAACTATTTTGAATCAAACTATCACTTGTCTAAAATGTTGCTGACAAGAGAGACATTTTGCCAAAATCTTTTGTTGTGCATTTATCAGTTCAAACGCAAGAATACAAACTGTCAAACAATCACAACATTTTATATTACAGGAGAAACAGGTACTGATTGGTTAGCAAATTCCCTATTGCTTTGTTCTGTCCATGGCAACACATTGGGCAATCAGAGTTGCCTTGCTCATCAGCCACCACCTTTTTCTCTGGTAGAATATTTTGCTGGATTGTTTGGGATTTTTACATGTCACAAAGACTGCAAGACAAAATGTTTTAGCAACATATTTCTCTCTCCAACAATTTTCAACTTCTGTACTTGTCAGGTGATTAATCTAAAATGTTACTTGGTACAGTCAGACATCTAATACATATTCTACTTAGTTACAGCCAATCAAAATAATCTTTGACTTCTTTCCCAAAATAACCTCAAGTTGGCAGGAATAAATTTTCAGTTGTTAATGCTGAATTGAAGTAAAGTGGTGCGTAATAGCTGCCTGTCTAATTTGAAGTAAAATGACTCCCAACATCACACAGGCAGGTTCAGAGAACTAACCGTGTTGCTGTGGGTAGTTTGCTGTTAGGCTAGGTTTATTTTTCTTTTCATTGCTTCACCATTTAAAGGCCCATAACTGCCTAAGTGGGGATATATTTAACAAAATGGATTTATTTCTAACAGAACTGAAAGGTTTCCAAACAAATGTTGCCAACTGTCTGCCAGAGGCCCACCAGATCCATTCATGTATCTGTGAGAAATCAGGGAGCAAATTGGAACAAAGCAACACATCAGTGAAAGCTGCTAATGAGTACTGGAAGGATGTGACTAGGGCTTGGGACACCAGTGACTCTGATACAGACAGTCAATGACACAGTGTAGGAATTGAACAAGAGAATACGTGTAGCCATAAAGGTGCATCAGTGATTCTTTTAATCTTTGAACATTCTGCCACTGCGTAAAATGATAATTCTTGATCATATTCACCATTTCTCTGTGAGAAAGTAATGAATTTGCTTAACTCTCAAAGACAGTCCATCCGGGGTTGAAACCAAAAAATGCTGGAGATCACAGTAGGTCAGGCAGCATGCATGGAGAGAGAGCAAGCTAATGCTTCAAGTCTAGATGATTCTTCATCAGAGTTTTGATGAAGAGTCATCTAAACTCAAAACGTTAGCTTGTTTTCTCTCCATGGATACTGCCTGACCCGCTGTGATCTCCAGCATTTTTTTGGTCTAAGTACTGATTGCAGCATCTGCAGTAATTTGCTCCTACATTTCAGTCAGGAGGTGTTTAATGCATCTGTATGTAGCTGAGGTCCATCAAATGTTAGTACTATCTTCAGCAGAAGTGTGGAATAGCTTGTGGCACATAGGTATAAGGGGTAGTTGTGACCCGATCAGCCTGTGGTCAAGGAATACATGCAGTTAAATGATGCTGTCTGTTGACTGATTACATGACTTAACTTTTGAAAGCTACACCTCGGCATATGAGGTGCTCCTTGGTCATACAGAGGTAGGGGTGCCTGTGCAAGTGGATGACGTTTGCCCGCAATGTTGCTCGCTGACGTGAAGTCCTTCTTGCTTTTCTTCTTGTAAGAAATGAAGATAGAAGGAAAATGGCAATGCAAATTTGTAAGGAGATCTCAGTTATCTGTAAGGATAATTGGGTGGTTATGGAAGGGACTTTTAATTTTCCAAACATAGACTGGGACTGCCACAGTGTTAAGGGCTTGGACAGAGAGGAATTTGTGTGTACAAGAAAATTTTCTGATCCACTATGTGGATGCACCTACTAGAGAACATGCAAAACTTGACCTACTCTTGGGAAATAAGGCAGGGCAGGTGCCTGAGGTGTCAGTGGGGGAGCACTTTGGGACCAGCATCCATAATTCTATTTGTTTTAAAATGGTGATGGAAAAGGATAGACCGGATCTAAATGTTAAAGTTCTAAATTGGAGGAAGGCCAATTTTGATGGTGTTAGGCAAGAACTTTCAAAAGTTGATGGGAGAGCAGGGGTGGATGTTTACAGGTAAAGGGACGGCTGAAAAATGGGAAGTCTTCAAAAATGAGACAAGGAGAGTCCAGAGACAGTATGTTCCTGTTAGGGTGAAGGGCAAGGCTGGTAGGAGTAGGGAATGCTGGATGACTGGAGAAATTAAGGTTTTGGTCAAGAAAAAGAAGGAAGCATATGTCGGGTGTAGACAGCAGCGATCGAGTGAATGCTTAGGGGAGTATAAAAGCAGCAGGAGTATACTTAAGAGGGAAATCAGGAGAGCAAAAAGGGAACATGAGATAGCTTTGACAAATAGGGGTAAGGAGAATCCAAAGGGATTTTATAAATATATTAAGGACAGAGAGGTAACTAGGAAGAGAATAGGGCCCCTTATAGATCAGCAAGGCTGGCTATGTATTGAGCTGAACAAGACTGGGGAGATACAGAATGAGCATTTTGCATCAGTGTGGAGAACGAAATGGAAGATATAGAACATTGGGAAATAAGTAGAGACATCTTGAAAAATGTCCATATTGCAGAGGAGGTGGTGCTGGATGTCTTAAAACGCGTAATTGTGGATAAATCCCTGGGACCTGATCAGGTCTACCCTCGAACTCTGTGTGAAACTAGGGAAGTAACTGCTGGGCCCCTTGCTGAGATATTTGTATCATCATAGCCAGACGTGAGGTGCTGGAAAACTGGAGATTGGCTAACATGGTGCCACTATTTAAGAAAGGTAGTAAGGAAAACCCAAGGAACTATAGACCAATGAGCCTGACATTGGTGATGGGCAAACTGTTGGAGGGAATCCTGAGGGACAGGATCTACATGTATTTGTCCCTGATTAGGGATAGCCAACATGGCTTTGTGTGCAGGAAATCGAGTCTCACTAACTTTATTGAGTGTTTTGCAGAAGTAACAAAGAGGATTAATGAGTGCAGAGCAGTTGGCGTGATCTATATGGACTTCAGTAAGGTGTTCGGCAGGGTTCCTCATGGTAGACTGGTTAGCAATGTTTGATCACATGGAACACAGGGAGAACTCGCTATTTAGATACAGAACTGGCTTAAAGTTAGAAAACAGAGGGTGGTGATAGAAGGTTGCTTTTCAGAATGGAGGCCGATGACCAATGGTGTGCCACAAGGATTGGTGCTTTTTGGCATTTATATAAATGATTTGGATGTCAATATAGGAGGTATGGTTAGTAAGTTTGCAGATGACACCAAAATTGGAGGTGTAATGTACAGTGAAGAAATACAAAGTAAAATGCGATCTTGATGAAAAAGACTAATAGAAGTGGCAGATGGAGTTTCATTTAGATAAATGTGAGGTGCTGCATTTTGGAAAGGTAAATCAGGGTAGGACTAATACACTTGGTCCTGGGGTGTGTTGCTGAACAAAGAGACCTTGGAGTGCAGGTTAAAAGTGGAGTTGCAGATAGATAGGATAGTGAAGAAGGCATTTGGTATGTTTGTCTTTATTGGTCAGTGCATTGAGTATAAGAGTTGGGAGGACATGTTGCAGCTGTACAGGACATTGGTTAGGCCACTTTTGGAATACTGCATGCAATTCTGGTCTCCCTGCTATAGGAAGGATGATGGGAATCTTGAAAGTATTCAGAAAAGATTTATAAGAATGTTGCCAGGGTTGGAGAGTTTTAAGAGGCTGAATAGGCTGGGGCTATTTTCCCTGGAGCATCGGAGGCTGAGGGTTGACCTTATGGAGGTTTGTAAAATCATGAGAGGCAGGGACAGGGTAAATAGACAGTGTCTTTTCCCTAACATGGGGGAGTCCAAAACCAGAAGGCATAGGTTTAGGGTGAGAGGGGAAAGATGTAAAAGAGTCCTAAGGGACAACGTTTTCAAGCAAAGAGTGGTGTATGTATGAAATGAGCTGCCCGGGAAAGTGGTGGAGGCGGGTACAATTACAAAATGTAAAAGGCATTGTATGGGTATATGAAGAGAAATGGTTGAGAGAGATATGGGCCAAATGCTGGCAAATGGGACCAGATTTATCTCGGATATCTGGTTGGCATGGACGAGTCGGACAAAGGGTCTGTTTTCATGCTGCACAGCTCTATGACTCTGAAAGCACTGCAGCTTACTGAAATGAGATATAAGTGGCCGCAGTGATTGGGACAAAGAGAATGAAGAAATAGTTAACTTTTGTGGATGAATCAGTCTGAATATGAAAGGCTACATTTAATCACAATAATGAACATAGATCACCCTATTGCATTAGAAACCGTTTTCCCAAAAATAGCACTCTTGCCACCAGTGATTAGGGCCATGTTTTCCCATTCCCCTAAAACTGAAGAACATGATGGAATGAACTGATCACTAATGGCTTGTTCTTGCAAAGACCTGTTAAGCCATTGCAATGGTCATTTAGAAATTGATTTGGTAAAACTTCTGTGTAATGCTAACTTAATATCCTGTTCATTTTTGTAATTGTGTCATAAGATTTGCAAAATAAGCAAAATTCTTTCTGTTTGACTTGGATTACATTGCATGAAATATATATATTGGTTAAGAATTGATTCCGGAAGTAGATCTTTCTTCTACAGAAAGATCATGATTTCTAATGTCGAGTAATTGCCCCATTGAGTAGAATTGTGTTAAGTTAAAGGGTATCATTTATATCTATTCTTGTTGTGAATTCATACTGAATTCTTAAAAATATTGTGGATTAGCAACATGAATTTGTGCTGGTTGTTGAAGACTCCTAGTAATATTCATGCATATACAATATACTAAAAATAAGATGTAATGATCTTTTCCAGGCTCAGTGTTGGCACCAAGGTGCAGCTTACTTTGGCCGCACCTGGCAGCCTGGTGATGTAGTTGGCTGCATGATTGATCTGCATGATAAATCAATGATATTTACTCTGAATGGAGAACTGCTCATTACTAATAGTGGCTCAGAACTCGTATTTACAGATTTCCATATTGAAGATGGTAGGTTAATTTTTTTTATTTTATTTCAACATTGACAATTTTAATTAGACATATGTGTTGGATTACTGATAGTCTGCTCCATTGTAATATTTCATAATTGCATAGTACTAAGATGATAAAGGTGAAAATGTGAAATTATTGCTATCGTAGCTAAAATATGACACACATTAATTTAAAGGGCAGTATTTACAAGATAGATTTCAATGAAGAAAGCCCTTTGGTCGATTTCATCTCATCAACCAGAATATTATGCCATTGGCTTGCCAATGGCAATGCCTCTTGTGTAGATTTTGATACATTGGCTCCCAGCTACTAGGAGACAAATATAGTAAACCTGACACCTACACAATTCCGTGCTTGGTGACCAAAGCCGTTTTGAAAATCTGGCTTCATTTGAATTCCATCAGTGACTTGTTTGGGCAGAGCAACTCAGCGATCAAAAAGGTTGTCAATGTATAAACATGCAAAGTAGGAGTAGAAGTGGACCATTCATAATTTTAAGGTGAATTGAGGAAGGTATAGGGGAGATGTCAGGGGTAGGTTCTTTACACAGAGAGTCGTGGGTGTGTGGAATGCACTGCCGGTGGTGGTAGTGGAGTCAGATACATTAGAGACATTTAAGCGACTCTTGGATAGGCACATGGATGATAGTAAAATGTAGGGTATGCAGGGTAGTTTGATCTTAGAGTAGGTTAATAGGTCGGCACAACATCGTGGGCCGAAGGGCCTGTTTGTGCTGTACTGTTCTAAGTTCTATGTTCTATTCAGCCTCTTGTGGCTGCTCACCCATAAAGTAATATGCTGTAGAAGGGTCGAGACCCAAAACGTCAGCTTTCCTGCTCCTCTGATGCTGCTTGGCCTGCTGTGTTCATCCAGCTCTACTCCTTGTTATCTCAGTAATATGCCTGATCTTGTTTGTGTTTGGAATGTCACATTCTCATCTGCACCCAATAACCTTAGATTCTTGTTAAGCAAGAGAATTAATCTACCTCTGCCTTAAAAACATTCAGTGATCCTGTTTCCACTGAAATCTGAGGTAGAGTTTTCAGGTAACACAAACCTTTGAAAGCTTAAAGAAAAAAATTCTTCTCCTCTCAGTGCTAATTAGCATCCTAGTTCTGGACTCAGCCACAAGAGAAAATATCCTTCCACATTGACCCTGCCAAGACCTGGTACTTCTGCCCACTGCATCTCCTTGCTTGTTTCACTTGCAGTCACACACACCCAAACCCAACCCCTAAGCAAGTCACAAAACCCCACCCTAAGGGGTGCAATTATCTCCTGGAACGAAGAATCCAGGTAACTTTTCCTTTCCCTGATGACTTAGTAATCTGGGAATTTCTCTGGAACTCAGCTAATATTGGAAGGCTCGCATTGGAAGGGGGAGTGTGAGGTGCAGGTGTTCCCAAGGAAAGGCTGCAGCAGTTGGTAATTGGGTGAGCTGTTTCTTCTGGGGTAAGCAGAGCAAAAAGCTGCTTTAATTTTTTTTTGTGAAATGCCTGCAGTTAGCACCTCTAGACAACACAACGTCAATGGGTGGATCTTGCTTTAAGATTGCCTTGGAATCTGACTGCTATTACAAGGTGCTGACTTGCAGAGGATAATGTCTGTAGATGTAGCCTAGGTCATCTATTGCACATCGAAATAAACCAGGGAGAGGTCAGTTTTATTGATTTCCGTGCATCAGTTTTAAGGCTCAGAACCCTTGCTTTTGAAATCATCGCAATGAACTTAGAAATAACTTTGCTGTTTTGCTATGTGATGCATCTAGGGTCTTGGTATTATCATTTTGTGATCAGACATTTTTTATGCAATACCAATAATACGTGCTTTCACTTGTCACTTACGACAAGTATGCAACTGTTTTATTTAAATTACATCCCATAAATGACGATTAAATTATGCCCCAAAGAGGAAAGTTTGTTTCCTTGCTTTTCATCTTAATAATGTTAGCACAGAAATAAACCAAACCAAGAGATTGTGATTTGTTTTAGGTAGACCGTTTGTGACTCAGAGGAGGTCTTGAGGTGCAATTGGTCGTGTCCCAGGTTTGAGTCCCAACTCAGTACTTGACCAAGGCTGGTTCATAAAATGGCGAAACATTTTGAGTAGCACACACAACACTTTTCACTGTATTTTGTAACCAGATACAAATGACAATAAACAAATCAAATCAGATCAAATTAAATCCTTCCAACGCATGCTAGTGGCAGGTGGTGAGAGCAGTAGAGATTCCTGGCCAGCCATGTGATGGAAAAAAGTATTGGAGTCTCTACCATGTCTAGCCATTGCTGTAGACTACAATATGCTGATAAAAATGTATGTTGCTGCAGCAACTCAGAGTCCCTGAGCGAACTGTAACACACCAGTACCATGTGACTCACTTCAACTCTCACACTATGTAGTCTGGAGGGGATATCCTGGGTATTTGTCATTTTTATCAAATCTTGAATATTTCATGATGATCTATGTTATCACATTTAATAATTATCAGCACAGGTTTATTTTATGAACTTGTTAGTTATTATGGACAATATAGTATGCCATTGTACTGTTCCATCATGACAACTTAAACTTTGATATGTATATTACTCTTACTTCATTTAATAGCCATCTCAACAAACCAATATAGAATATGATTTTCTTTTCCTCCCTTAACTCTAGGTTTCATCCCAATCTGTTGTCTGGGCCTGTCTCAGATAGGTCGCATGAATTTTGGAAAGGATGCCACCACTTTCAAGTACTATACAATGTGTGGTTTACAAGAAGGTTATGAACCTTTTGCAGTAAACATGAATCGTGATGTAGCCATGTGGTTCAGTAAGCGATTACCTCAGTTTGTCCCTGTGCCAAGAGATCACAACCACATTGAGGTAAGTTTAAAAAATATTTACTAAACTCCAAATATATACATTAAAGATTGTGTGCATAAGCCAATACTATGTTGTTTTGGCAAATGAAAGTAGGAATAAACCTGAAAATCTATTCTAAGTTGCAGCATGCTGCTGAGCAGAAGGACCTGGGTGTCCTTGTGCATGAATCACAAAAAGTTGGTTTCCAGGTGCAGCAGGTAATTAAGGCAAATGGAATATTGTCCTTCATTGCTAGAGGGGTGGAGTTTAAAAACAGGAAGGTTATGTTGCAGCTGCGTAGGGTGCTGGTAAGGCCACACCTGGAGTATCATGTACAATTTTCGTCTCCTTATTTGAGAAGGGATGCACTGGAGGGAGTGCAGAGGAGCTCACTAAGTTGATTCCAGAATTGAGAGGATTGGCTTATGAGGAGAGATTGAATAGACAGGGACTGTACTCATTCAAATGTAGAAGAACAAGGGGTAACATATAAAATTATGAAGGGAATAGATAGGATAGAAGCAAGGAGGTTGTTTCCATTGGCGGGTGAAACTAGAACTCGGGGGTATAGCCTCAAAATAAGGGGGAACAGATTTAGGACTGAGTTGAGGAATAACTTCTTCACCCAAAGAGTTATGAATCTGTGGAATTTCCTGCCCAGTGAAGCAGATGAGGCTACCTAATGAATGTCTTTAAGGCAAAGATAGATTTTTGATCAGTAAAGGAATTGAGGGTTATGGTGAGGGGGCAGATAAGTGGAGTTGAGTCCACATAAAGATCAACCATGATCTTATTGAATGGCCTACACCTGCTCTGACTTTTATGTTCTTATGTAACCATGGGAAATCGCAGAGAAATCGCACAATTTGTTTACACAATTAAATTAAAATTTTCAGAGTCCCTTGTGATAGTAACTGATTAGTCACTCACTATAAAGCAATGATTTTGATTACAGAACATCTCTATGACACCTACTGTGGAAAATTGTTAAACTATGCCCTTAATAGTAGGTAGATTATTTTGGGGGAAAGCTTTGGAAGGGTATTCATCTTTGCAATTGGTTCTCTTTCGTTATTGCAACAGATTTCTAATTTCTGAAATTTTCACTATTTGAAACCTTCTGGGAATCATATTGTAATATTTGTGATGCATTTGTTTACAATTTCTTTGGAATGTGTGCCTCTGTCTATATCATACATTGGTTCTAACTTCAATTTTGAATGAAACTTTAATGAAAATAACAGAATTGTGCTGATTTTTTTTCATGTGCAAAGAGTTTGGTAATCCAGTAATTGAGAGCACCAGGAAATTAATGGACTTCAAAAATATTAATCTACATCTTTAGTGCATTGTATAGGTAGAGCTAATTATAACTGTAATGGATGTTGGTTACTATAGTTTTGTGATGCAGTGGTTAGTGTCCCTGCCTCTATGTAGAAGCTCCGGGTTTAAATACAACCTCAGGACTTGAAGACCGGGAAGCTAAGTGCATGGCATGCCCCAACAGATTGAGTTTCCACCTGTAAGTTCTTGCAATACTATTGGCAAGTGGAAACAGCAGAAGAAGTTCCTGCTCAGTCAAGTGATAGAACAAACAATGATTTCTGTACCTCCACTGCTCCAGACTACAATATGTACTTGAAAGTGCAGATTGCCACAGTATCTAGAACTCCCTAAATTATTATTAGATGTCTCTGGAGCAGGTGGGGCTTGAACCCAGACTGGGACTTGAATCCAGACTGTCCAGTCCACAACTACATTCCTATGAAGATCCATTTAGACATTAACAGTTAACTTACAATCTTTTGCTTATTGTGTTATTAAGCTAATGCTAGACCCTCAGTATTAATCCTCTCATTGAGGGTTGGGTGGGCAGTTTAAAAATTTGAAAACCAGGAACAAACACAACTCTAACCTGACTTGAAAAGATATCACCATTCCCTCAGTGTTGCTGGGTCAAAGTCCTGAAATCCCTCCCTATAACAGCACTATGGGCTATACCTATGCCAAATGCTCTATGGTGGTTCAAGAAGGCAGCACATCACCACCTCTCCAGGACAGTTGGAGACAGGCAATAAATTCTGCGTTGGCCCACGAATGAATAATAAAAAAAAAAAATCCATTGTGTCTGCCAATAGCCTTTGAATGTCTGTTCATGGTGAGATGGGATGCTTCTTCGGGATGCTTAAATTGGGCTGCTACAGTGCAATTGTGACTAATTTTAATTTGTTATGTAAATAATAATAAAACTTTAATGTTGCATTTTTGATAGAGAAACCTTACATAAATAACTAAAATTAAAATCCAAATTACAGGTAACAAGGATTGATGGGACTGTTGACAGTCCACCCTGTTTAAAAGTCACTCACAAAACCTTTGGCACTCAAAACTGCATTACTGAGATGACATACTACCGTTTGAGCATGCCTGTTGAGTTCCACGCAGCATATAAACACGAAGGCATTCCACAAATAGCTTATGATGATGGACTTCAAAATGCGGAAACAGTATCAGGAAAGCCTAAACTAAGGTGAGTTCACCTCAGTTGAGGAAGATGCTTTATAAAGGGTAGAAGCTCATACATCTGACTGTATTGCCTTGTTACCAGAAATATTAGCTTGCAAGATGTATGTGTACACTAATTGTCACATTATAGCAATTAACAGCAGATTTTTACCTTGCAAAGGCAAATACCTGCATTAACAGCACATTCTCAAAGTGCATAAAATACCGTACAACTAATGGATTACATTCAATTTGTGTAGCTAAAGGCATGAGCCAATTTTGCACACAGCGGATTGCCAAAAAACAGATGAGAAAACAAGCAGATTGTATGTTTGGCAAATTTAATTGACAGAGAGATGTTGACTAGCACCTCGGGTATCTCTCTCTGCTTTTAGTCAGGTAGTTCCATGAGGGTTAAAGCCATGTGAGCTGCCACTGCCTCATTTTAACTCAGCAGAAAGAAAATCTGGTGTGATTCCCATTCAGCGCAGGCCCACTGCTGCCCATGTTGGTCCATGCTAAAGTTGAATCTCACCCTGAGGTCTATTAACAATGTAGAATTCCCTCAGTATTGTGCTCTAGAATAAGACTTTACCCATAGGGTTTCAGGACCATAAAGCCAGAATGAAATTGGAGTCAGAAATGCATGCTCTTGGAGAACAGCCATTTGCTGTGATTTGCCATGAATTGACTGATGAGTGGGCAAGCTTGCTATCAAATTAAGGAAATGAGGAGTGCTCTTGAAGCTGGTCAGGAGGGACCACTTCAGCACTGAGTAAGCAGAAAGCTGGCTTTTCAAATAAGTGAGACAGTGCATCCTCTCTCCAGCTTCCTAAAGTGTTCAATAAAAATAGACTAAGAACAAGGGGTCACTGCCTGTTACTGCAGCTAAAGTCAAGCAAGCAAGAAAGAACACAAACAAATAAACCAGATCTGCAGATGGTGGATGTCTGAAAAATAAACTGAAATTAGTGGAGAAACTCAGAAGGTCCGGCAGCATCTGTGGAGAGAAAGCAGAATCAATGTTTCAGGTGTGGTGATGCTTCTTCAAAAGGACTTTGAAACCTGGGTGGAACCTCAGTCACGCTCAGACATTAGATTTTAATAGGTCTTTAGTAGCCTTAATTGGTTACCTCCCATTTACTGGCAGGTAGTCCTATTGACCCTGTGATTGTCCTTTAGCAAGGAAAAAAATTCAGCCCCAAGTCGGCACTGAGAATTAAGCCTACAGCTTTCTGATATGGAAGCAAAATATTAGCAATAAACCTGACAATCATAGATATTTACTATTGCTTGTGATAAATTTATTCAATGCGACTAAACAAATTATGCTAGTATTGTTATGGCTGATCTTCAGACAGCGGTTCCTAATCCCCAGACAAAGATAGAAATACTGACTCCCTTTCTTTATTCAGACACCAGTCTTTTGTGGGAAGTAAGTTGGGAACCATAACTGTTAAGTTGCGTGATTTCAATGGCATTTGACACTAGCTGTTGAGCAGTTGTTTTGGAGATTCTGGTTTCTGCGAATTCATTGGGAGGAGTTGTCTGTTTACCTGGTCCACTGTGCTTTTTGACTGGCAACTTGAAAGAGAGAGGGAAATTCAGTTCTTTTCCTTTTTACCTGAAAGCATAGAGGTATCCAGTAGATGTTCTTCAATGTTAACCTTCACAGCACTAGAAAACCCAATTAGGACATACACACTAGAGGTGTAGTTGGTTTTTAACTACTTCTCTTTGGCATTCCAGGCAGGATTAATACAAGTCGTGTCTTTCACTCAGACTGCTTTTGAGATTGGGTGTAATTCACACAGGCATTTTTCTGCTCAGTTACTGAACTGCATTTTCATCCATCTCTGGCTTGCGTATTGTTTTTTTGAAAACCAAACAACATGTGTACTGAAAAGTTCAATCTATCTATATATAATTCAGGACAGTGATCTGTAGTCATAACAGTTGTTAGAACCATAATCATTTTCACCAAATGAACTGTTGATTATCTAATAAAAGGTGATTTTTTTTATTACAATTGACTTGCCGGTGCCCATTAAAGTTGCAAACAAAAACATTTTGTAGAAATAAGTGATTGTAGTTTCCCAAGCCTTATGGGCTTTATAATGTAAAAATCAAGTGCATGGAGAATTGAGTGCAATGTAAGTTTTCTCTGAGCAACACTGACAGCCGCAGTGTTCTGCACTTTCAGATAGAACTTTTCTCCTGAAAATTCACATATTCAATCTTAAATTCTGTAATTTACATAATGTTTTGTTAATAATTTGAATACAATATAAGCCCTGTACCTCTACCTGTTAAGTATTAGCTAATTTTTGGATTGCAATTTTTTGAACAAGCTCTGGCTTTATGGAACTCGCAAAATGTATTGATGAAGTTTATTGTTTTGCTTGTAGGGGTGCAAAGCTCAGTTGTGATTTTCATGGAGGTAGAGATGGCCGAGAGATTGTTAGAAAATCAACAATGGTAATGTGCAAAGCAATAAAAATCACCATTTTCTGTTTCACATTTTGCATGATAACAGAAACTTGCAAAAATATACTTATTAAGTACTTGATTATTGTGTATAACATATCTATATAGAAATATTCAGAAGGCCCACTCCTTCATTTCCAGAAAGTGAAATTTTACAGTTTGATGTTCTCAAAATATAGACCTGCATCCCGAGTTGGTGGCACTTGAGTCCCAATCTCAGTTTATTTTAAAACTTCAATGTGTTCGCCTGCCAGTGCTTCCCTGAAGCTTCAGTTGATCTTTAGACAAAACTTGAGCCTAGAGATTCCATGATGCCACCCCTGTCTTACAACTGTAAAAAGGACACTGAAGTATCCAATACGATAATAAGGCAAAGAACTGCAGATGTCGTGTCCAGTATGGTAGCTAAAGTGCTCATGCCTCCCATCTGTCAATATGCTGGCCATCATATATCGAAAAACTTGTGTAACTATCCAGTACTTTTGTCTGAAATAAATGTTAGTCTTTGTACAGTCAAATCATACATGCAAATTAAACTGTGTTTGATTAAGGCCACCTTTGTAAAATCGTCATTGCAAGTTACCAATGGAAAGCTGTGTTTTTATCTTTTTCATTGATTTGTGGAGTTGGTGAAACAGGAGTTGTCCTCCCAGTTTCAACTGGCAACATTTTGCCAGTATTACTTCTCTCACTACTCCTCCAGTACTGACTCCCTCAAACAGCTTAATAACGGTGCCTCTTCAGACTGGTGAGCTGATTCTGGAGTCATGACAGGTGCCTGAAGTTTACTTGTGACAAATAAATGGGGTTGACTAACACATTTCCATAATTCTGCTACTTGCCTAATTAAACATGTTCAGTGGACTAATTTAGGGCATAATTCATTTGCTAGGCCTTTGAGTACTGAATAACAGGCACAGGAACATAGGAATATAGTAGGCCATTAATCTTCTTAAATCCATTCCAATGTTCAAAGCTGATCTTTGAAGTAATTCCATTTGCTGGCCATGAATGCTCATCCCCAAAATCTATTAATCCCAACCTTAAAGCTTTCTATGTGAAAAAGGTGCAGCCAGATTTCACTCCTGAAAGTCATGCTCTGATTTTAAAATTATCCTGCCTTGTTCGGGATTTGTCTTGTGAAACAGTATAACCATGCAATTTTGCACACTCAAATCATGTTTAAATAATCTTTCCCCATAATTTAACAATTTAAGTTAATGCATTGTTTTGGTGCCCCTTCCAAGACCAGTATATCCTGCCTGCTGTGTTGTTCCTGATGGTAGCTGACCAAGCTTATACACATGCCTTCCTCCTCTTTGTATTCTAGCCTGTTTGAAGTTTGGCCAATATTTTGTGCCTATGCAGTATCATTTTTTTTAACGATTTTTGTACCTGGTCACTAAAACCACCACTTGGTTCCTAGCTTCTTGATATGAAATAACTATCTAGCTTCTACTTCTACAAATTGACACTTGGCCACATGGAACTCTACTGCCACGGTTATATCCAAGCTGTTCATCTGTTGGTGCCCTCCCTGCTCTTCTTACGCAATTTATTGAATGTCCCTACTTAGTGTATTTGGCAAACTTGGATATTCCACTTTCTGTACTTTCATCTAACTCATCGATACACAAGTCCCTCTGACTTAGCTGTGTTCACATGATAATGAATGCCAGCAACTGTGATCCAGAAGTGAGGAGGGAAAGGTTTATGTGTATGAATAGCAACTAAAGTTGTGTTTTATATCATTAAAAAGATACCTGTAAACTACTTTGCAAATGAGCATCATCTATAATATATTATGAAATAGACAACTCTTAAGGATAAAGTGAAAATGGTGTGTGGTCTCTGCCACTTAAATGATATTAGTAAATTGCAAGTTTTGTGAACCATCTCTAAAATACTGCTCATATATTGATCTACATTAGTAATTCTGACAATGTCTATTCATCGTATTTGATATAAAGCACTCCTACTGTCTCTTTGCCATGCAGTATTGTTATGCAGTGAGAATATTTGCAGGACAAGATCCATCTCTTGTGTGGATTGGTTGGGTAACTCCTGATTACCATTACTACGGAAAATCATTCGATGTGAATAAAAATCGGACAGTCACTGTTACCCTGGGCGATGAAAAAGGCAGAGTCCATGAAAGGTAAGCCCTACCATTTGAGATCTTCCTGTAATAAATTACCATTAATTCACCTTTTATGTGAAGTCTGTTGCCAATGCAAAAGTTCTAACAAATCCAAAGTGAGTTATAACTTTAATTGTGATATGTGCCAAATGACAGAATCTACTTTATGGAAAACACAAATCTTAAAAATTCAGAAATATTCGATTTTGTCTTTCCAAATGAAAATGTAGTGTTTGAAAGTGTATCCTCCTTGTGGAACATCAGGTAGAATTACTCCTGACCTGGGCTTCAGCATCAAAATTGTCACCCAGGAATCGCTGCTCCCCTCATAACTCCATGGCTATTTGTTTCTGTACTTCCAAAAACATTTATTTAACTCTTAAACAGAAAAATGCTTTCATCATAATCCTATTTTAATATTATAATTTTGTTGGGATAAAAAAGGCAATCCAACAAATGCGTCCCTAATATGAAAATTTGTCCATGTTCTTCAAAAGTTGCATTGCATTGACTGATTGGTTATCAACTAGGGTTTGATGAATGCAAATATGGATCATATCTAGCTAACGTATGAACATATGAAAGAGGAACAGAAATAGACCACTTGGCCTCTCAAACCTGCTCTGACGTTCAACAAGATCGTGGCTGATTTGTTTGTGTTTTGAATTTGACATTCTCATCTATCTCAATAATCCTGATTTCCCTGCCTAATAGGAATATATCCACCTCTGTCTTAAAAATATTCAGGACCCCACTTCTACCACTTTGGAAGCAGAGAGTTCCAAAGTTGGCCAATCCTCTGAGAGAAAACAAAATATTCTAATCACTATCATGAAAGGACAATCCCTAATTTTAAAAGTTTCTCCCAATTCTGGACTGGTTCAAGAGGGGAAACATCCTTATCGACCTTGTCAAGATTATTCAGGATTTGCTTTTTTTAATATTTATTTCTGAAATGTGGCTGTTGCTGGCTAGCCATCCCGTTGCGCATTGCTAATTGCCCAGAGGGCATTTAAGAGTCAACAATATTGCAGTAGGTTGGGAGTCATGTGTAGCAGACCAAGTAAGGATGGAAGTTTCCTTCCCCGAAGGATATTGGTGAACTAGGCGGGTTTTTTTTTCCTGACCATCAACAATGGTTTCATTGGTCATCATTAGACTGTTAATTCCAGATTTTTCTTGAATTAAAATTCCACCATTTGCTGTTGTGGATTTCAAAGCCAGTTTCTGCAGACATTACCTGGTCTCTGAATTAACAGTTTAGCAATAATATCACTACGTCATCACCTCCCTGTGCACTTAAATCAAAGCACCCCTCACTCCTTTTTCTTTAGAACTGATTTGAGGCCCATTGTTTCATCCTAATTTTGATAGTAAAATATTTACATGAAGAGGTGTGATTACTCAGCAAAATGTTATTGTTATTCCCTGTCTCTAAGATAACTTTCAATAAAATGGCATAAAATGTCAAATTCTGTTGTTCTTTGTAGTGTCAAGCGATGTAATTGTTTCATGATTTGGGGAGGAGATATTGTCGACAGTTCAAAGGGAACAAACAGCAGTGGTACTGACCTTGAAATTGGATGTTTCATTGATCTAGCAACAGGCCAGTTAACATTCACAGCAAATGGAAAGGACCTTAGTACTCACTACCAGGTAAAATGGATGTCTGGTTAAATGTTAACATTTTTGGAATTTCCGTCTGTTTTACAAAACTCAAAGCTGACTGTAGGATCTCTAAAGTTATTTAATAAAAAGGGTGAGAATGAAGAAAGCTCATATTTAGAACAACCAGGCCCTTTGACCTGGTCTGCTTTTCACGAAGATCGTAACTGATCTTTGACCTCAACTCTGACCTTTTGCACTATTCCCATATCCCTTGATTCCTTCAGTATACAGAACTCTATCAGCATTTTTTTTTTGAATATATGTAACAATTGAGCATCCACAGCTCTTTTTCCAAGATTTCACTACCTGCTAGGTGAAGAAATGTCTCTGCATCTCCGTTTTAATGTTCAATCATTATTCTGAGACTATGGCCATATATTATAGACTCATCAGCTCCAAGAAATAGATTTTCATTCCTTATCCTGTAAAAGCCCCTTAAGAAAGTTACTTGTTTAAGATTCTCTATTTCTTCTCAACACTAGGAAATTGCTCAGTCTCTTCTAGGATAGTCCCTTCACACTAGAAATCAGCCCAGTAAATATTTTTTGTGGTCCCTCTAATGTCAGATATCCTGCAGTTGGTAAGGAGACCAAAATGATGTACAATACACCAGGTATGGTCTCACCTAAGCCCTACAGTGAGAGTTCTTTATTCTTGATCCTAGCCTAAAGGAGGTGGCATGGGGCTCTGGATGACAGTCCAGCCAATGTAAAGATTGCCTCCATTATGCACCACCTAGAAAGTGCAGGCCATTGGGTTTAGGGATTTGTCAGCTTTTAGTCCCAGAAATTTCTCTAACATTTTTTTTTACTAACACTAAATGTTTAAGCTCCTCATTCTCACATCTTTAGGTTCTCACTAGTTCTGGGATTATTTTAGTATCTTCTATTGTAAAGCCAGGTACGAATGATCGACACAGATCCTCATCCAACATGCTCACTTCCCACCTTTAAAGGATGCTAGAAGATGGTTAGCGGATAAACTTTCTTCAAGGAGGCAGATTTTTATTTTTAATATGGCAATGAGGTTGCACGTTTTGGAACATTATCCGCCTCTTCCTTTCACATAATACTCTAATACATCTAATCATCTAATCTAATACTTCAAATTGTCTTATTAACATTGGTTGGATGACATTTTATGCATGGCTTTTAATTCCTTAAGAGAATGTGTATTTGTTGTATTTTGTGTATTATTTCTTCAAATGTTTGCCTTTACTTACTATCGTCACATTATTTAATCTCATTTCCAAATTCACTGTTCTTAACTTTACAACTTGTAATTTTTAAAAATAAACTTAAGACATTGGTTTTGTATATAACGAAATCATTCCCAAGGTCAATATTCCATCATATAATGATTACTCTTCCCCAGAAACTCATTTACTGGTTTTCAGTCCAAAAGTGAATGGCTGGATTTCCAGTTTTACATCACATTCGATACTGATTGTAAGTTATGAGTCAGATTTCTGATGTGCTTTAGCTCCTCATAAACTGCCATAATAGTACCCTTAAAACCCACCTTCAGAAGGAGTAGCTCAGCTATACCACATCCATGGTCTTAAAGCTCTTAATCTAGTTGTTCTGATCCAAATTGAATAAACTATAAATAAAATTGAGTTTGAATTTTTTTCATTCAAAACAGAATGGTGATTATCAAAAATTATTCCACTTGTTGCATTCTGCAACTATCAGAGAGGAAACATTTACCTACTGTGTTTAGACAGAGCCACCACCCTGTTCTTTTCTCTCTATATATTTTATAAAAGCTGAAAACCTCTAAAGATAACACAAAAATACTTTTTAAATATGTGACTATTTTTCAGATTGAACCAAGTACAAAGTTATTCCCAGCTGTTTTCATGCAGGCGACAAGTTCAAATATGTTTCAATTTGAACTCGGAAAATCAAAGGTATTTGTTTTCATGTCTATTGCTGTCATATATAAATAGGTTGTGAGGTTCTTCCTGTTGAAATCCAGTAGAATAAGATGGGTCTAATGAACAGGGTTTTCATAAAGTGGCAGTTGAAGTGTACCGATCTGCAATTTGCAGAAGGCAGTGTCAATTGATAGATCAATGCAAAAGTAATGATCGGCTAACATCCTAATTGCTTCATTTAAGAGAAAAAAATGTAGGACAGAATGAGAGACAATTTGCCAGCCAGATAAACTTGCAGAAAACTGTCATTTATGCCACCAACTCCATCTGAAGGTGCTGGAACCCCTCTCTGGTAATAATTAAAAACAATATCCTTCAGAGGCTGGTAGAGGGGTCATTTTCACAGCTCTCCACCTATTGCATGGACATCCTCAATAAATTCCCTAGAACAGGGCCAGAAAAAAGACAATCTGATGTCAGCAGGCAGACTAAGCCAACAGGTAGTGGAGTGTTGTAAAAGTTGATAACTTAATCTCCTTTTCCACCAGGATAGCAATGCCACCAAGGTATTGCAGTGCAATTTCACTGCTTTGCCGGATCTCCCAAAGTAGAAGAAACTTCAGTATGGTCGACATGGTGTGTGGCTGAGAGGGGATCTTGAAGTGTTCCTATGCATCTGCTGCCCTTGTCCTTCTCGATAATAGAAATTGGAAGATGCTGTCAAACAAGCCTTGCTCGTTGCTGCAGCTTAGTAATAGTTAAAAAGTTGTGATTTGTTGACAGACAAGCACAGTTGGTCAGGTTATTGAAATCCTCGTTAAAAATAGAATCTCATTGGTGCAAAATTGAAACTGATGCTAAACACCGAGAAGGAAGAGATGTAGTATTGTACACTTCTGTTGTATTCTACCTCACAGGACTCATATTAATATACAAATTATGATGTGGAGGATCCTCTGGAATGGTGCAGCGTTTGCACGAAAGATAATTTTGACCTGTTTCATATTTTTTCAGATTTTAAATGCTGCCAATGTGATTAGAATGCAGTCCAATGACATGCCGATCTTTTTGAGAATGTGTGCTAAAAGGTTCATTAGTTTCCAATCTCAATAGTATAGGTTACTTCAATCTTAAATTATAATGAACTAATAATGTAAGCTAATGTTGTGTTACCTTCATGTCACTGTGCATTAATGTTTCGATTTTATCTTCGGGTACAGAACGCCATGCCTTTGTCTGCTGCTATATTTAAAAGTGAAGAAAAAAATCCTATTCCACAATGTCCTCCTCGACTTGATGTTCAGATGATTACTCCTGTTCAGTGGAGTAGAATGCCTAATGACTTCCTCAAGGTCGAAACAGCGCGAATTAGTGATCACCATGGCTGGGTAGTGCAGAGCCTTGAACCATTGCAGATGATGGCATTGCATATTCCAGAAGAGAATAGGTTAGTTTACGTTGTACTGCTGAATTCCCAAAACTTCCTGTATCCACCCAGAGGGCTGTATTGGGTGATTGGTGCCAATAACACTATATTAAGCATACAACTATTTTGTACAGTTCGGTACTGCATCTGAAGCCAAAATGTACACAGGGCTGATCCTATGGTTAGAAAATCTTGACCTGATCTCCAATTCAATAAATTGATCAGTTATTTGAATATTCCCAAAGTCTCCTCTTTCCATCTCCCTCCTGTGGTTGGTTATAGTTAATGTGAACAATGATAGAGACTTCCAGCAGGTTCAGCCAGCTATTCACATTATCTGAAAATTGGAAACTCTGTGCTTAGCATGAAATTGTGTCAATATCTACTTTAAAGTCTAGGCTCATTCAGATTAATTTTGCCATTCATTGCATGTAACAGGCAAATGATGTTAGCATAAACTTGTCCACTTCAAATTGTAGAAAATGTATGTGAAAACTACATAAATGCACACTGTGCCCTAGGTTTACAGTACATGTTTCGCATAAGCCCTGATGTTCAAATAAAAATGCTTCCAGATACCACAAAAAAGTTTATGTCGCCATAGCTCAAAGATTAGCTGCAATTTGTATATGTTCATTTCAAAGAAAGGTATTTCAAAATAGCATAGAATATATTTTATAATAAACCATTGAAGTTTTAAGTCTGCTCATATGGATGAACTGCCCAATTGTTAAACATCCAAAGTCTGGTCCTTTCATATCTGTCCAATCTATCTGTTTAATCTTTCTATCCATCTATCTATGTTCATTCATGGGCTTTGGGCATTCCTAGTTGCTCATCCCCAAGACTCAACCACTTTACAGGTGGGTCTGGAATTATGTGCAGGTCAGACAGGGTAAGGATGGGAGTTTCCATTCCTAAAGGACATTAGTGAACCAGATAGGTTCTACTGACAATCGACAGCAGTTTCATGGTCATTGTTAAACTCTTAATTCCAGATTTATATTGAATTCAAATTCCACGACTTGCTATGGTGGGATTTGCATCCACATCCCCAGAAAATTAACATGATTCCCTAAATTAAGATACATAAAGACAGAAATTGCTGGAGAAACTTAACAGGTCTTGCTGCATCTGTGTCGAGAAAACAGCGTTAGCTTTTCAAGTCCAGTGGCCCTTCTTCAGAACTGACAGCAGATCCCCGGCATCGACAGTTCTTTGTTTTGTCTCTGGATTAATAGTCTAGTGGTAATACCACTAAGTTGTATGTTTGTTTAATATACCTAAAGTTAAAATTACATGTTCAGAAATATAGCAAAGAAATTCTTATAGTAAATTTATAAATAAACTTTACCTTTTTAAAATTAAGAATCTGAATTACTTTGTTTATTGCTGGCTAGCCCCTAATGTGCCAATTTAAAGCAATTTTGAAGCACCTTCACTAACTTGATGAAACAATGCACTTCACTGTTCTAATGAAATATCCTTGTCAATTAGAATTGGCATCCTGTAAAGTAGTTTTGAAATTTTAACCAAGTATTTTTTCGTATAATTTTTGAGTGTAACATTATTATCTTTGTTGACTTGCCATCAAAGCGAAAATTGATAAGTTTCAGAAAGTGGTTATTTCATGAGGTTGTTGACTTGCTCGCCGAGCTGGCTTGTTCTCGTTCAGACAATTTGTCACCATGCTAGGTGACATCATCAGTGAGGCCTCCGATGAAGCGATGTTATTCTACCCTGCTTGGAATTTATACTGTTTGGTCTATTATAGTGAGTAGTGTCATTTCCAGTTTTGATCTGTATGGGTTTGTGTATGGGGTCCAAGTCTATATGTTCGTTGATTGCATTATGGATGGAGAGGGCTCTCCACAAACATATAGAATTGAACCCTATATACAAACCCATATAGATCAAAACCGGAAATGGCACTACTCACCAAAAGGGACCGGACAGTACAAATTCCAAGCGGACTAGCATAACATCACTTCATCGGAGGCTCCACTGATTATGTCACCGAGCATGGTGACGAAATGTCTGAACGAGAACAAGCCAGCTTGTCGAGCAATTCAACAACCTCACCCACAACCCAAGCTAAAACTTTTGCCAAAACTTTAAAGTGGTTATTTCATATCCGGAAGCATTATCAATTCCACAGCTGTGAAGAAAACTGATTTAAGTACAATAGGGTGATTCCCCAAGAAAAAAAAAGAAATTGCTGGAGAAAGTCAGTAGGTCTGGCAGCATCTTTGAGAGAAAGCAGAGTTGATGTTTCGAGTCTAGTAACCGATTCTATGATTCTAACTCTTCATAAGAATTGTAGCAGACTCGAATTGTTAAATCTGCTTTCTCTCCACAGATGCTGTCAGACCTTTTGAGTTCTCCAGCAATTTCTGTTTTTATTCTAAATTTTCAGCACCTGCAGGTCTTTGTATTATTTTAGGGAGATTTCAGAATCCCACACCTTCAACACTATAACTAAATATTTCCAAGGACTATCTTGTTTGTTTACTTTAAGAGAGTTTGTGATGTCTTATTTTTGGTAATTCAGCAATTAATTACCAGAATCCAATGCAACCAGTTGGGATAGTTGAATTTAGTTTTATTACTTTGGGTCAGGTTTTGAAAATGTATTTTGTTTCTCGGCTAAATCTTAAATTATTGTCTTCTTTGAACTTTACAGGTGTATAGATATTCTAGAACTAGCTGAAAATCAAGAGCTCATGAAGTTCCATTACCACACTGTCAAACTGTACTGTGCCCTCTGTGCTGTGGGTAATAATCGTGTTGCTCATGCACTTTGCAGTCACATTGATCAATCTCAACTTCTGTTTACAATTGAGAACAAATATCTGCCAGGACTTCTACGTGGTGGATTCTATGACCTCCTCTTGAGTATGCACCTAGAATCAGCAAAAGAAGCCAGATTAATTATGAACAATGAATTCATAATTCCAGTAACTGATGAAACAAGGAGCATAACATTGTTTCCAGATAAAAGTCGGACCTATGGATATCCTGGAGTTGGGCTCAGTACCTGCTTAAGACCCCGATTAAATTTCTCAATGCCATGTTTCGTCACCACCAGTGAGAATAAGCAACAATATAGTCCAAAGCTACCATTTGAAATTCTGAAGGTGAAAGCAATTGAAATGCTCACTGAAGCTGTCACAGGTGGTGGGCCACACATTAGAGATCCAGTTGGGGGCAGTGTTAAGTTTCAACTTGTTCCCATCCTCAAGTTGGTTAAAACCATGCTGATCACTGGCATGTTTGATGATAATGATGTCCAAAAGATCCTGGTTCTGATCGACTCTGACTTGTTTGGTGAACACCAAGAAAAGACAGTGGAAGAGAATAAAACAGAAAAGGAAATGGCCACCAGAAATGAAGAAAAGTCTGTAGAGGCAGGTGAAGAAACGACACCAGCAGCTCAGTCGTGTTTAAAAGGATTACTGGAAAAGAGCTTACCAGAATCTGTGAAACTTCAGGTATAAAACTATGTAGCAATTCAGTTCAATGCCATTTTCTCCACCATGTGGCAATTTTATGCAACTGCATAATTAATCATTTATTAGAAGACATTGTGTCATACTGATGGGAAGTTAGGGGCACTGAGATATGCCCACAATATAAGTAAGTTGATATTTGCTACAATGGTCTTCCCTTAAAAATAAAGCTAAATAAAATGGCTTTTTAATGGAAGTCCATTCGTACAAAAGTTATCAACTAAGTAAAGGTAATGGTCATTTGATAATAATTGAATTAATTGAACAGATTTATAAATTTAGGGGCATTTAATCCAGTGAAGATTCCCTTACATTGATTATGAGCAGATAAACTAGTCTTCAACCAAAATTTGTTGAACAAGAAGAGGTAGTTGAACGAGATGTCGTAAAATTGATTAACTTAGAAAATATAACTGGACTTTTCAAAAATATATTACATAACAATACAAATAAAAAAGGAGGTGGTCTTGTAACTTGTTTTAAGGTTTGTGTAAAATTTATTCACAAACTAATCGCAAGGAATGAGTGTGCATAAATTGTCATCTATGAAGATGGATAACACTAGAAAGTAATTTATTTGAGAAAAAGGCCAAGAGCAGAAAAGTGGCAGAATGTACAAATCAGCGGAATGCACTTAGAAAACAGAGGTAGGATTAATTAGAGTCACTGTGGATTTATGAAAGGGAAATTGTGCTTGGTAAGTCTACTGGAAGTTTTCAAGGATGTAACTAGTTGAGCTGGTCAGGAGAAGCCAGTGAATGTGGTTTACTTGTCCATCCAGAAGACTTTCAATACGGACCCACATGAGAGATTGGCATGTAAAATTAAAGAAGATGGGATTGGTGATTATGTGCAGACATGGATAGAGAACTAGTTGGCAGATAAGAAACAGAATAGTGATTAATGGGGTACTACAGGGATAAGTGCTCGAACACTGACTATTCACTATATATATGAGATGAGGGAACTGAATGTAATACCTCCAAATTTGCAGATGACAAAGCCGAGTGGGAAGGTGAGCTGAGGTGGGTGCAGATTTCAATGTGATTTGGTCAAGTTGAGTGAGTGGGCAAATTCATGGCAAATGAAGTATAGCATGGATAAAAGTGAGATTATCCACTTTGGTATCAAAAACGGGAAGACAGGTTATTGTCTGAACGATAATAGATTGTGAAAGGGAGAGATGCAATGAGACCCGGGTGTCACTAACAGTCACTAACAATAAGTATGCAAATGCAGCAGGTGGTGAAGAAGGCAAATGGTATGTTGGCTTTCACAGTGAGGTGATTCAAGTACAAGAGCAGGGATGTCTCGCTGCTATTGTACAGGGCCTTGGTGAGACCACCTCTGGAGTGTTGTGTGCAGTTTTTGTCTCTTTATCTCAGGAAGGATGTTCTGGCTATGGAGGCAATGCAGCAAAGGTTTTCCAGACTCATTCCTGGGATGGAAGAACTGACATACGAACAGAGACTGGATTGGTTAGGACTATATTCTTTGGTGTTTAGAAGAATGACAGGACATCACATAGAAACCTATGAGATTCTAACAGGATTAGACAGAGTAAAGGCAGAAAGGATGTTCCCAATGACTGGGACATCCAGATCCAGAGCTCCCAGTCTAAGTATATGGGATAGGCCATTTAGGACTGGAATGAGGTGAAATTTCTTCACCTAGAGAGTGGTGAACCTGTGGAATTCTCTGCCACAGAAAGCATTTGAGCACTAAAACATTGAAAGCATTCAAGAAGGAGTTAGATATAGTTCTTAGGGCTAAAGGGACATGGTGTAAAAGTGGGAACAGGGTTCTGAGTAGGATAATCAACTGTGAGCATAATGAATGAGGTGGAGTAGGCTCGAAGGGTCAAATAGCCTATTCCTTCTATTTGCTACGTTTTAATGACAGCGAATCAGTGGAGAAACAAGGGAAAGACAAGAGTAGCGTTTATCATAAAACCGGTAAAGAGTGCAAGACTTGAACATGTTCCTTTTGTTTGCAGAGAATGGACTCCTGCAAATGCTGTACAATGCTTACTAGCTCCAATCATTATCTTAAAGGGTTGTTAGTGTAGCTATTAGAACATTCAGGATTGTTCAGCAACTGTTACCTAATTGTGGAATTGCACCAAAGCAGTGGACGTTTTGTTTTGGGTTTTGCAATCACTGGTTACTTGAATACAGTCTGGGTGCTGTCTGTTACAAACAGCCAGAGAAACCTGTGGCATGGTTTGATTTGATCAATCAGTTTTTGGAATGTATGGCTTGAGGACTGGTCTCTGTGTGTGAATGTATGTCATGTGTACCAGGCATGATTGAGCTTTGTTACAAATTCAACTGATAAATGGGTTGTTTGTGTAGCTATTCTTTGGATTCATAGAATCCTTACAGTGTGAAAACAGGCCACTTGGCCCAACAAGTCCACAGCAACTGTCCAAAGAGCATCCCACCCAGACTCACCCCCCTTTTCCTAACACTATGACCCTGCATTTCCCATGTCTAATCCACTGAACCTACAGATCCCTAAATACTAGGGGCAATTTAGCATGGCCAATCCACCTAACCTGCACATCTTTGGACTGTGGGGTAAGCGCGGGATATCCTAAAGAGGATTAATCAGTCACAGAAGTGGCTACCCAAAGACACCTCTTTCCAAACACAGTGTCTGTTGAATGACCTTCATAAACCTTCATCTCTGTTCAGATACTTGACTGAGAACGCCGGGGGTCATAGCCCTATCCATGTCACCAGTTGTCCATCACCACAGGTCATGGCAGATGGACCCAAGGAAGAGGCCTGCCTGTGACTCGTTGCATGTGGAGACCTTGTGACACTATCATTGTCCACATGATCTTGTTGGTTTTGATGATATTTTGAACCAAAATGACAAGATCCATCTTGCTGCTACTCTCCCCCTTGCAGTTGATGAGACACGCAGTCTTCCTTCGATGTTGTGACATTGTGAAATATTTGGACCATGCTTTGTCTGAGGTCCCCCTCTGACTGTGACACTATAGGTTGCCATAGCAGAAGCAAAGAGCTCCAGTGGCATTGCTCAAGGCACCATCTCTCAAGATGGAGACCCATGGAGGGGAATGCCCTTCACTTGGATGACCTTAATATATAATTAACATCAGCATATTCTTTCTGCTCCTAGGACAAGCTACATTTAGTTTTGCAAAACTTAAAAGTAAATAAGGAACAAAATTTTGATTTTGTTCAATTAAGCAGATACTTGAGAAACTCATGGATATATGTGTGTGTGTTTGTTTATTTAAAAATGTATCTATCTACTTATTTATCTACTAATTGATCTCTTACACAAAAACATAATTTATTTTGTTTTTCAGATGTGTGAATTACTGCACTACTTCTGTGATTGTGAACTTCGACATCGAGTTGAGGCCATTGTTTCTTTCGCAGACAAGTTTGTTGCAAGGCTACAGAGGAACCAGAAGTTTCGGTACGATGAACTAATGCTAGCCTTCAACATGTCTGCAGCCTTAACTGCCAAGAAGTCTAAAGAGTTCCGTTCACCTCCTCAGGAACAGGTAACATCTATCATTAAAGGAGAGGTGTTGGTGTAGTAGTAATGTCATTGGATCAGTAGTCCAGAGGTCCAGGTTAATGTGCTGGGCATATGGGTGTAAACCCTATCATTGGCAGGAATTTAAAGAATTAAATTCAGAACAAGTCTGGAATTGAAAAAGCTAATCTCAGTAACAGTGTTTTTTTCAATAGACTTAAAAACACATTAGGCTCTCTTTAACAAATTAAATCTGCTTTCGTTATCCAATCTGGCCTACATGTAACTCAAGACCCATAGCAATGTAGTGATTCTTAACTGCCCTCTGAAATAGCCAAGTAAGTCACATGGTTCAAGCACAATTCAGGATGAATGCCAAATGCTGGCATTGCCAATGGTGCCCACACCCCATGAAAGAATAATAAAAATAATGGGATCAATGGAACTTACTTCATAGCATTCCCATCATTGACATCCTTTACCTTGATAGTAGTGCTACAAGGTAAATAGGTCAATGCTGTTTCCTCTCTAGAATCCAAAACCAGCCTTCCTTAGTTAACAGGAAAGTTCTAGTAACTGGGAAGTTTTTAATTCAATCCATTCAGAATGTGTACACTTCCACAGCAATGCAAAGTAATTCTGAGTATGCTTCAACACAAAAAAGACAGTTTATCCATTGTCTTCTGAAGCACTGAGCATCTACCTCCTTTTAAGAGGACTCCTTACATCATTTTCAATATGCATAGTGTTGTGGATTTTCCAGCGGACAGTTATTCATTCGCAATTTATTACAATCTGAAAGGGTGGTGGGAACAAATTCAATAAGAACTTTCTGATGTAAATTGTCTAAGTACTGGGCTGTACTTGTGGCCAGCATTGATAGTTGTACCTGTTGAGTTTCTGGTCCATGATAATTGGATAGCTGTGTACTTTTGTTTTGTTCATGGGATGTGGGCATACTTGACGCAGCCAACATTTGTTGCTCCTCGCTACTTTTCATGACAAGGGTTATATAATCCCAGTTGATGGCAATGCTGAACAAGTCAAATCCCAGATTGAAATCTGGCTTGATAGGTCATTAATTAATTTTTAGAGCTTGGTTACCAGGGTGGTCAGTTAATGAAACATATTTATTTGAGGCTGCAAGTATTCTTTAACAATAGAATTTAGGTTTATTCAGCATAAACTATAAATACTTATATGAATGACAGTTTTAAAGGATCTTAACGTAAATAGCAAAGCAAAGTTTCAACCTACTTGCCAGCAATCTCCAGTACAGATACTCAAATCCAAGAGAATAGCCCTCATAGTTCAATGCTTTAAATTTTTACTTAACTGACTATGTCCACTTTTCCCTCTGGGACTACAGGGGCAGTTTTACAGAGTTTTTCCAATTCTGCTGGCCTGAACTTCCTTTCAGTTCTGAGGCCCTAAACCAGTTGTCAGTTCAGATAACTTGAGAACTATATAATGGGAAACTTCACAAACTAAAACACTTCTGCAATGGTTACTGTTCTTCTAAATTATTTCTTTGCTGTTCTGATGGGCGGAAACTTTTATTCTGAACTAAATTCTTGACTGAAGTAATAGCTCTAGAATATTTTTTTCTTTTCTGTTTGTCATAAGCTCAGCTGTACAAAACTTACTCAATTAAGCTACAGGCATCCTGCTAGGCATTTGAGTAAATCACATGCTTTATCAGAGATTAGATGTTTAGGTCACTGAACAAATGACTTCTTTCTTTTTTAAAAGCATATTACTTTCACAGGACTGAAACTAAAATCTCTCTCCCACTATTTAAAAATCCAAATCCTAAAACTGATATTATATACATATATTATGACAAGGTAATGGTGAACCACTTTTTTGATTAATTACACTGTTTAGTTTAGGTGCACCCACAATATTGTTAGGGAGGGAGTTCCAGGATTTAAATCCAGTGACATTCATGACACACTGATTGTGCCAATTCAGAACTATATGTGGTTAGGAGAGAAACTTGCAGATAGCAGTGTTGGATTTTGTCAATGGTCAGGGAAAGGAGTTAGTGAATGTGAGTAAGGCAGTTGAGACCCAGCTTTACCAAATATACAATAGATTTGAGGGTTTATTTTTGGCTTGTGTGAATGGGAGTGAGAGCCACAAGTGGGTGATCTAAGTGATCATGGCACCATGGTACAAGAAGCCATTCTGGTGGGCAGGCAAAAAAAAAGGAATGTAGTGGTAGTTGGGGACAGTATAGAAGGGGAAATGGACAGTTTTCTCTGTAGCAAGGAGTAAGAGTACATTAGGCTGTATTGGTTGCCTGGTGCCAGAAGTTAGGTTATCTGATTAGAGCTGGAGAGGAATCTACAGCGGGGGGAAAGGGGAGCGAATCCAGTTGTCATTGTCAATGAAGCTAGCAATAGGATATACAGATTAAGAGAAGGTATTTTGCATAGTGAGTATGAGAGCAAGGTATCGAATTAAGAAGCAGAATCTCAAAGATAGTAATTGCCATATTATTAGCTGAGCAACATGTAATTTGCCATAGGGCAAATAAGATTAGAGAAGTGAATGTGTGGCTGAAAGACTAGCAGTGATGTGACTGGGCTAGTAATCCAGAAGCTCAGGCCAATTCTCTAGTACATGGGTTCAAATCCCACTGTGGTCAAAGGTGAAATTTGAATCCAGTGACTAAATTAGGGATATAAAGCTAAGTCTTAGCGATGGTACTCATGAATTTAAATTAAGAATTGATCAATAGAGATGTAGTAGCAGACATTTCAGGGAATACTTCAGAATACACAGAATAGATGTATACTAACAAGAAAAGAATTCTAAAGAGAGAATCCACAATCATTGGTGATCTAAAAATAAAATTAACATGTGTATCAATTTAAAAAGTATATAATTATGCAAAGATGGGTGCACGTCCGATTATTGGACAGAGTATTTAAAAGAAAGCAAAGAATGAATGAAAGGTTCATGGGGGGTCGGAGTTCACATGAGAGAAAGCTATCTAGAAATATAAAAACAGATAGAAAAGGCTTCTATAGATACATAACAAAAGAAAGAGTTATAATGTGCATTGATCCTATAGAAAGTGAGGATTGGGAATTAATAATGGAAACTAAAGAAATGGCAAATGACTTGAATAGATATTTTGAAAGGTATTCATTGTAGAGAATACAAGTAGCATGTCAGAAATAGCTGTAAATTGGAAAATGGAAGGGAGAGCAGAACTTGAAAATATAATCACCAGAAAGCTGATACCAAGTAAATGGTTGAAGTTGTAGGCTGACAGGTTCCCAGGCCCTAATGGACTTCATTGTAAAGTTTTAAAAGAAGTGGATAATGAGTTCATTTTTAACATTGGTTTTAATTTTCCAAATTTCCCTTGACTTAGGGAAAGCTCTGTTAGATTGGAAATATTGATAATAACCCTTCTAATTCAAGTAAAGGATGGAACAACAAGCAGGAATTTACAGGCAAGTTAACTTAACATGTGCCAGAGGGAAGATGTTATTCCTAAAAGCATTATAGCAGGACACTTAGAAAAATTCAAGGTAATCAGGCCAAGTCAGCACAGTTTTGTGAAAAGGAAATTACATTTAAGCAAACTTATTGGACTGCTTTGAATAAGTGATATTTTGTGTATAAAAGCAAACCAGTGGATGTATTGTGCGTAGACTTCCAAAAGGCAATTGATAAGATGCTGTATCCAAGGTTACGGTGGAAAATAAAAGTTCTTGGTTTAGGGAGTGACATATTGACTTGGGCAGAAGATTGGCTAGCTAATAACAAACAGAGTTTGCATTTATATGTTATTTTCTGGTTGACAGGATGTAACGAGTGGTATACCACACAGATCAGTGCAGGGGTTTAAACTTTTTGTAATTTATAGAAACTAATTGGTCAAAGGGAATGATGCTATGGTTGCAAAATTTGCTGATGATGGGGAGGTAAGAAAGTAATTGTGAAGAAAATATATGAGGCTACAAAATGATATAGATAAATTAAGTGAGTGGGAAAAGATCTGCTAAATGGAATATAATGTGAGCACGTGTGCATTTGGCAATTTTGGCAAGTGGGATAAAAATGCATGTTATATAAATAATTAGCAATTGCAGACCATGAATCATAGAAGGTTAGTACACAGGTACAGCAAGTCATTATGAAGCTGATAGAATGTTATTGTTCACTGAGAGGGAATTTCAATTCAAAGTAGAAAGGGTATGCTTCAGTTACATAGAGCATTGGTGAGACCATATCTGGAGTACTGTGTACAGTATTGGTATCCTTATTTAAGGAAGAATGTGAAAGTTTTGGAAGCAGTTCACAGAAGGGTATCTAGTCAAACAGGAGGCTGGAAGAACACAGCAAACCAGGCAGCAACTGGAGGAAAGGACCAGTCAATGTTTTCGGGTATTACTCTTCTTCAGGACTGGATGTTGTGGTGGGGGAGCTGCAGATAAAGTGGAGGGAGGGGTAGAAGTGGAATGGTGGTGATAGGTGGACACTGGTAGAAGGTACAACTTGGTTGGTTGATGGACGGATGAATTCTGTTGGTGGCTGGAAGGGAGGGTCAGAAGGTGGAATGGAAGGGAGAATTGGGGCTGGAAGGGGAGCCGGGGATGGGTGGGAAGGTTATTTGAAATTGGCAAACTCAATGTTGAGTTCTTCAGACTGTAGGATGCCCAGGTGGAAGATCAGGTATTGTTCTTCAAATTTAGATTTAATGACATGGTAGGGTACAGGGTAGTGTGTGTGGTGCATGTATTGGCATGAATCAGCAATTAGTTAGCATAAGGAGCATAAAGACCCAGAAGGGTGAGCAGAAAATCATAGATTAGCATGGAGCATATAGCAAAAAATGTGGCTTGGGTACAAGGGCATGGATTGGCATAGAAAATGTGAAAGGCTCGGATATATAGGCTGAGATGGCATGATTGCTTTTGGGGATGAAGTTGTGTGAGGGGCAAAGAATGAAAGAGCCCCTATTTTTAAACAGAGATGATTTACTCTGGATTTTCCAGCAAGAAGAAACATCCTCAAAATATCCATCCTGTCAAGACTCCTTAGAATCCTTTATATTTCAGTCAAGTTACCTCTTAACTCCATTAAAATCCAGCAGACACCAGCCTAGCCAGCACAACATTTTGTCATAACACAACTCCTCCTATTCTAGGTATTTGTCTAGACAGAGACAAAAAAAAACTGCAGATGCTGGAATCCAAGATAGACAAATAGGAGACTCCAGGACCTATGCAAAGATGAAATAAAATGAAGTTTTAAGTGTCTAATGCAGACATTGCTGCGTTACAAGAAAAATGTCTTATTCATTTAAAAAAAATGTATTTACATTCCCTTTCATGCATTCTGTCTAATAAAAACAAGCATTGGAATAAATTGTCCCACTTCAAAGATTCTACAACCACATGAAGTTAAATGACAGATTCCCTTTTTTGACAGTGGAAGGTTGTCAAATCAGTCATGCATAATTAATACAGTGATGGATTATGGCTTATGGCAACAGACATAGTGAAGTAGCAAGCAGTGACTTTTTTTTTAAACAATCCAATGTTTTATATTTTCATATGTTTATATGGCAGGTGTTTTGAATGTCTTGACAGCTCAGCTGTTCCTTTTAACAGCCTTTTTACACAATTGACAGTTGTTGTACATTTCTTCTTTAGCATTCCAATGAACCTCAGCTCCAACACATTCATGGCACTTTTAACAATCCCAAGCATCCCCTGACCTTTCTCAAAGGGCAACTTGCCTCTCTCAAAAGTCATCAGGTCTCCTCCAAAGACACCACATCCAAAGGGCTGCCATATCTCTCCAAAATCGCACTCTACCTATCCAAATGAATTCACAAAGTTCAAAGAAATGTCTAGCAAGTCGAATCTCCACAGTTCATGTTTTATACACCTACGTCACCAAAATCACATAAGTGAAGGCAACTATTGATTTATGTAGGCAACTACCTCAGTAAGATGCCGAAGCCCGAAAAGTGACTTGCTTCCCTTCCCGTCTTCACAAAATTGGTAGATACTGTATTTGGATGCGGGATTTCCGATTTTCAGCCATATCCACCATTTTCAGATGGTAGAGAGACTCTTCTGGAAAATCTAGGCCCAAGTGTTCACTAATTTTTTTTTAAACAAAATTACAAATGTTAATTCAATGAAAGATGAAAAGGATAATAGTTTTCCATTTTCAGAAGGTCAGTAATCTCAAAATAAATTGTATTTGCATGGGACATGAAAAAAGGCAAATTTACGAAAATAAATTGTGTTCTTACACAAATTATGCAATGACAGATTAGGAGCTGTACCTTAATGGCTTTTACTTCATTTCTTACTTTCCTTTATACTGCCAACAGATATAGCATGTTTGTTGCATTGCAATGTCCTTGCACAGTAATAGGTATAAAAGACCATATTAGTACCATTTATTGTACCCCGGACTCTCAGGTAACATGAAAATATATTCTGCACCCACTTTCCTTTAATATTGAGTTGTAATATTTTCTTACAGATTAACATGTTGCTGAACTTTAGGAATGATGATGCTTCCACTTGCCCAGATGATATGCGTGAAGAATTATGTGACTTCCATGATGACCTTCAAACACATTGCGGTGAGTAATGAAATACTGAGGTCCCAGGGTATGGCATTTCAACTGCTTGGAGTTGAGCCACGTAATGGTAGTTATTTATAGAGATAGGTATTATTACTGTGCCTCCTTCCAAATGACTGAATTAATGAATTTTTGTTGTGGGAATAATCAACAAATGACATAAAGAAAATAACTACCAAAAAGATTAAAAGTAACAGTGAAATAAAGTGCAGAATGTAGCTGTATATTTCATTGAGAGGATTAACTTTTACATTTAATATCAAAATCAGTGAGTCCATGTATAAGCTTTTCATCAGGTTACACATTACTGAGTGATTCATCTTGATAATAACTGCTCAATTAACTTGTCAAGCAGAACACCTTGTGGAATTAGTTGGGGTTAATGAAGGAATCAGGGCAAATATGAAGGAGGAAATACTGCCAACAGAAATAGCATGTTTGCTGCTTTGCAATACACTTACACAGTGATAGTTTTAATAGACCATGTTAGTATCATCTAATGTACCTTGGGCTCTCAGGAAACTTACCATGTAGAAATATATTATGCATGCTCTTCAGCGGCTGCCTCCTATCTAAAAAGAAAATTCTCAGGTATTTCCATTGTAAGCATAGTCTCTGTCAGTTTTCTTATATCTCTGGACAGCAAACTGGCTGTGTATCTTATGACCTTCTGGAATCAGCCTGATAGAAGTGGCAACACAGACAGGAAGAACTCTTTTAGTTGTTTAAATTGTCCAGAGGTCCCTAAAGCAGATGGTGGTGTGGATGGATTACATTTAAGATCCTTTCATACCATAGTTGGAATCTTGAAAACTCCAGGCAAAGTTGATGGTTCCATAACTGCATTCTGAGGTATAATTGCCCTTCCATGTGGTGCTCCCTCTTTATATTGTTATTCTCATTGAACTTATTCACGGTATTTTGTTGGTTGTAAACAGTAATGAATGCCATCAGAATGCCTAAAATGTAAAACAAAAATTTTTGCAAAGAAATTAAAAATCAAAAGGCAAAATGAAATATAAAATTCTCTAGTACTGTAGCATGAAATCATAAAAGAAGTTTTAAGATCAAATATGCAAAAACAGAGACAATTTTCAAATGGATGCATGTTTGCATTCAAAATATGGATCGTCCCTGACTCGACTCTGAGTCATGGAAGGTGTTGTTAGAACATTTTGGTTACATGAGACAATGAGAGAAACAAGGTTGGTTTCCTTAAGAATGTGTTTCAATTAAAATAGAACATAGAATCACAGAATATAGTGCAATAGAGGCTGTACAGACCATCGATTCTGCACCCACCCTCTGAACAGCATCCCACCCAGACCCACCCCCACCCTATCCCTGTAACCCAGCACTGCTTCATTGCAAACTTGAGCACCTCACATTCTCTGAATTCGGAGGTGCTCACACCTCATGTTCTCTGAACTCAGGAGTCTGATTGCTGTGGCTCCTCTGAACTTGGTAGTGCCAGTATTCCATGCCCAGGAGTGTTCTCTGAAAGCTTTAACGTTAGCTGTGAGCTTTGAAGCCTGCATGACAATGACCGAATCAAAGTACACAATGCAAAACAAATTGTCCTACTTCAGGCAGGATCAGCTTACACATTCCATGCAGATCATTCGTTGTTTCTTGTCCTCTAAAGAGACCCATCAGAAAACCAATCCTACCTGCATGTCCTGCAAATAAATGCTGTCTTTGCTCTCTAACAGGTCGAGTTAAATCACTCGCCTGAAACGCAGCCAGCTTAAACTACCACTTAGCAACCCATTCAAAGAATTAAAGTCTCGAAGACCAAATTTTTTCAAGACATCAGTGCTGCTTCCTGAGCACAAGTGGGTCTCCTAACAGCTCTCATGCACTGGAAATGATACACGAAAGAGATTATAATTTCTGATTGATTGCTCACGTTCCCTTTCAATTCCTGTATGCAGCTCTTCTAGTTGTTCTCTGTTTGGTCTGACTTCTGAGTCCATTTTCAGGACACATTTAGGACGACTCTTAGAATGTTTACCAATATGCTGGAGATGGAGCATAGTCATATTCCAAATCTAGTTTGTCTATGGTGTGCTAAACATTAACAGCCCATTAACAGGTTGTAGTAATTTTAATACAGGAACATTATAGGCGTGTGAAATAGACCCGGAGAGTTATTTATACCCTTCCTGAGGATGTAATCAACCGTTACTAAGCCAAAAATTTTTAATGTCTGTTATAGAAGGACTTTTGTAGGTTACTAAGATATAGTAGTCTCATCCGAGTGTACGGTTACCTAATCTATTTACAATTTAGTGAAGTATCCAACATTTTGACTGTTTTGTACTTGGTTTATTTATAATCTTGTGGTCATACAGGAAAGTCACCAAATGAAAAAGCAAAATTGTTCAGAAAGTGAAGATTGCCTACTGTTCCATTGTTACAGCTATTGGTGAAAATCTGTCAATTCTATGACTGGGTTGTTCACAGTTCAATCATGCCTCTGTACCAGTTGATTCAAGGCTTTGCTGTAATTGAGAAATGGTGAAGTCACAAGAACATAACAACCTGTATCTGAAGGCCAGAATGAGTGTGTCAATCATGGAGGAGCCATTGTCCCTTATGCTGACTTTGATACAATGTCCAATATAAATGGCATATATCCAGATCTCTCTCATCAAGCAATCCCTTTAACTCAATTAAATATGGATTCTAAATGGTACTTTTTAAAGTAAAGTTTTCCCAAGCTTTCTATTTGACGATATCTCAGTCAATTCAAGTCAACTTGCCAATCAATCAGCATCTGTTACTCTGGTAATATAAGTGGTTGTGATCATCTGAAATTTGTTATTTTTGTAGTTGTCCGGATGAGTGCAGGTGAAAAGTTTTAGCAATATGCCCCTTTTTCAAGCAATATTCAAATTCTGTTCCGATTGAATTAAATTTTGTTGTGATTCAATCTCATCAATACACATCTTGAAACATTTGTTCGAATTCATTCTGAAATTTAACTAAACAGGGGCCAATGTTGTGGAATATAAGTTGAAAAACTGGTGTGGTGAGGTGGAGGTGATGAGATAAATAAAGAATATTTGAATTTGAAATAGTCACATGTTCTTCAAGCTGTTTTATTCTTTTTGACTTCTTGCTGTCGTCTGAATTTTATGACCAAGTTGATGACTTCTTTTTTTATATATACCTGTAAGGGATTATGAGCTGAATGGCACGATGGCTCAGTGGTTAGCACTGCTGCCTCACAGCAGCAGGGACCTGGATTTGCTTCCACCCTCAGGTGATTGTCTGCGTGGAGTTTGCACATCTCCCCATGACTGCATGGGTTTCCTCTGGGTGCTCTGGTTTCCTCTCACAGTCCGAAGATGTGCAGGTTAGGTGGATTGATCATGCTAAAATTGCCCATGGTGTCCAGGGATGTACAGGCTAGGTGAGTTAGTGATGGGAGATGCAGGGATGGGGTAAGGGGTGGCTCTGGATGGGATGTTCTTCAGGGAGTCAGTGTGGACTCAATGGGCCAAATGGTCTGCTTCCACACTGTAGGGATTCTAGGATTTTATGTTTCTATGAACCGTATTGTTCTGACAGTGTGTTCTGATTTTAGGCATTCCATACGAAGAAGTGGAGGAAGAAGACAAAGATGAATCTCTGATGGGCAAGTTACTTTACCTAGTGCATAAAATCAAAGGAAAGCCAAAGAAAGTCGAAGAAACTCCAAGTGAGGAGGAAGAAAAAGCGCCCAGTAAGTGCCAACATTGTTAACTGAAATAACATGAATTTTATGGACAATCCATTTCAAAACCTTTATTTCAGAAGAGTAGCAGCCTAGTTAATTGCAATAGGATTTTTTTAATGGAAGTTATATATTAAAGTGTATTTAATCACATCAAATAAACTGAGCGTGAAGTACAGCAAGCAGCATCATAGGAGCAGAAAGGCTGACGTTTCGGGCCTAGACCCTTCAGGG